CTTAACCTCCAATAATACATAAGAAAGATGTAAATAGAACACAATACCTGCAAAATTTGGGGGAAAAAGAGGAGCAGAAACGATAAGCCTCTTCTTTTCACTTCTTGCCAACACTAAACAAGGATTTAGACGTCAGTCTAGTCATTATACATGAAATTGTGTCTGCTCCCATGGCTTGATCTCTCCGTTCGTGTTACGTAACTTGAACTTATCTTGAGTAAAAGTCATACCCGAGAGGAAAAATGAAGATAAAACATTATCACAAAGATTGCACGACCAAGTTGAAGTTATACTTGTGTAGGTTCACAAAAGGCGAAAAAAATACTTGGGAAACATCATGTTCCTTTTTTTCTTTAACAAATCCATACAGAATAGAAACCCATTCTTACCCAGACACAGAGGAGGGACGAGAAGAAAGAAAGCAAGAAACCCAGGCAAACAATTTCCTTCCACCCCATTTTCCATAAGTGTTAGTATTACAGAAATGCCTTCTTGTTAGCTGTAATATCGACGTAATCTCAAAATCGGTGATTTGCTATAAGGATCAGTCCTTCGGATGGTAATAAATATGATAACCACTTTATCGGTAGCCGTGCAAATGGCGATTTTTGATGGAACTTATGCATGCATGCATGTACATATTTGTCAATCACATTTTACGAGAAATCACCACTTCACTTATTTTTTACGTGGGTAGCTCATCGTTACGGAGAAAAAGCTTTAAAGTTTTTATTGGCAAGGGCTTCAGTAGTTTGGGCGGAAGAAGTTGTTGGTAATATTATTATGATATGATTAATGTGCGCGATAATGATAAAACTTTTGGAATAGTTTAGGTCCCCTCGTGTAACAGTGCAGAAGAAGTCAAGGTAGGCAGGCATACATAGATAAACAGAATGGCACCTTTGGTCCTCGCTACTCATATTCCACCCACATTCCAGGGGGGTAATATTCCAGAAGTACTTATGAATACCTAACAAGACGAGTTCAGGTGTGGAGGAGACCTGAAAAGTCAAGAGGTTCCTGGATGGATAGAGAGTTTTAAGAAGTTTATAAGAAAGAAATGGGGCATAATTTGCATTTTACAATTTCACACTAAACTTCACACTACTACTTACTCGTAGAATCTTCCTTCGAGAAAAGGATGCCAGTAGCAACAACAACACTTTCTCGTTATGACCGTGCCAGTAGTAGCACGAGGAGAATGAGGAACCATTAAGTATTCTGCTGCTGTTGGAAGGCTCGACAACTTTTATAATAAAATGAGTCCAGGAGACGAGCAGCGATCTCATTCCTTTGGAAGAGCGAGGTATCATCATAAAATTCAACTCGCTTCTTTCGCCGGTTACAAAAAAGTGTCTGTTTGCCGTGGTGTGGGTGGTGTACGTAGAGGTTAAATTGCCCAAGGCCCGGAAATTCGACTGGTTTATTCAAGGTAAAAATCTGGCCAGCAGGATGCATATCGTTACGACCGAAATTGTATGTATAAATCCAAGCCAAAAGGATGCAACGTTAAGAATGGGAAAGAATGTTAGTTACGTAATACTATACCGCCTGGAATTTTGGGCTTTTGTAATTTTCGGAAATTTCACAGAATAAATTCCTAACTTGTAAGAGTACATAGTGGCAGAAAATTCTTTTCATGTCAAATTTTTGGCACCACGAGGAAAACTGGGGAAACAAAGAGAAGAAAGAAAGGAGGTGATGAGATGATGTGATCATGATCAAGATAACGTGACATGACACAAGTTGCAACTTGGTGGATGGAAACGAGACTGGATGTTGATACGAATAAAGAAGAGTCAACTTCTCCACAAGTGCAGCAATCCTCCGTACACATAGACTTTCGTACACTTTGACTTGGCACTGCTTGTGCAAAGCATCGCCATTTGATTGCATTGCCGCCATTACGTAAGAATAAGACAGTGGCAGAAAGGGAGAGGAGGAAAGTTGTGGCGTGGTTGAGCGTTATGGTGTTGGCGAATGAGCTGGACGTTAAAGTCGAGTCGATGCCAGGAAATAATTTTTTCCGATGTAGATCCTGATTGTGAAACGCTTTCTCTTTCCTCTTACTACTTTCTCTCTTACTTATTTTCTCCCCAGTTCCCTGCCCTTTACGGACATTTTATATACTTCCTCTCTCTCTTAAGAAAAGTAGTGTTTTTTACGTGCAAAGTTTTCTTGGCCTTGTGTGTGTTGTGTTGTTATTACTCGTTGCATGCATATTGTTGAGGCTACATGGTGACCAATATAGCGGTATCATCGATTCGGACGGAATTAAAGAGTCTTATCAGGAAAATGCCATCATTCAGACTGCGGTAATACACACTTCTCCAGAGTTGTTGCATGCATGTCAGGGTTTCTCTGATATGTATGGGTGTAAAAACGGCGTAAAATTGAGAAATAGCGAAACCGACCCGGCCTAATAAATAAGGCAGAGTCGTACGTACAGGGCCGGTTTCTTACTTTGCACATACACCATAATCACCAATATTTAAGCGTTTTTCTGTATCGGGTATCGACTATCGATATGGAAAATGTAATAAAAACGGGTAATTCAAACTAGAAAATGGGAACAGCTAGCTACTTATGTACATACATATTTATAAATATTGCTCTTCTTTACGTACAACCCAGCGTCATTTTTTGCAAAGTCATTAACATTTAATTGGCAATAATAGTTATTGCGTCACAGCCAAGAAAGACTGCGGAAGTAAAAGCATGCTAAACCAGTGGAACGATTGATTCCATTGTTTTGCAAAATAATATACATACAAATACCTATTCACATATGTATATTTAGAATATGATGACGGGATATAGACGTATTATTAAGATGTCAAATAATAACGAATATACGAAAATTGATGAACTCTCAACCCAAGTCGGACATGTGGCAAAAAAGTAAATGATTTTTTTCTCCCCATTGTGAATGAATTGTTACTTTAACTTTTTGTTTGTTTGTATTTAAAGCTTTTGCCTCTGCTTTGGTTTCCCTGATTTTGGGAGGATTGCCAAAAACGAGAGACATTCACCTTTAAGCCCCACCACCATAGCATACCACCCATCGTAACTAAAAACAACCCGCCTGTACGACAACGTAACCCAACCCTGTATCTGTCTCCAGAACAGAACAGACCAGACCTCTCAATGCCTAATACTACTGCTCCTGCTGCTGGTTTGAAACCTTTGGCATCATGCGGATCGCTTGGCTCTTGGCTTGGCGTCGTCGTCCCGAGTCTTAAATTCTCTCGGATAGATGTACACACAACTTTTATTTTATGCGGGGATTTGTACCCGGTTTTACTCCATTCTCACGGGAATTTCTTGAATCCATGCATTCAACTTGAGTAAAGCAGCAGCGCACATAAAGTAAACCGAGGAAATATCTACGCGAAGAAGAATGAAAACATTGTATGGATATCGTGTCAAACACACGCCACGCCACACGCATTTTACAGGTCTCGTGGCTTTTAAACTGGGCCTGGACCATGTGGCTCGGGTGATGTCATATTTATGAACCGATACATCCGCGAATACATAATCCAGCCAAATATGTACAGCACAACTGACGGACCGGAATAATAAATATGTGAAATGGATAATGTTTCTGTTGTCGTGTAATTCTAGACGAGCGTTTCTGCCTGGATGCGATGATGCCTCTCGTCCGCCTCATTGATTGCTAAACTGATCTACTTAAGTTTAATATATGCTCGACTCAGCGGGTAGGAAAAGAGGTGGTTCGGGTGTAAAAGGTATTTAATTTGTGTCGTGTCCTTTTCTTCTCAAGCTGCACAAGGGGTTTTTGCCCATATTGCAAATTTCCCCACTAAAACCACCACATACACCTGCGGCTTTTGTGGAGGAATGATTATTCTTATGCGTCATGCATTTCTGCGGGAAGAGATTCTAAATTTTGCAATATTTTAGCAACCCAAGTTGGAAGAAGAAAGAGATTTCTGCACATATTTACCACCCTTACGACGAGGGAACAATAGACGACATGACATTCCATTTCATTTGAATACGTGTAGAGTTTCCTTGTGGAGGAAGTTGAATGAAATTTAGCTCACTTTTAGTTACTTGGCTAAATTGTTGTTAGTCCATTTGTTTTATTGCACACACGCAACTAAAATGGGGTATAAATGTGTCTAATAAATGTTTGGCATGGTATCGTGCGGTAGTATTGACGGCATTGCATGCCTGCATTTCAGAGAGTAAGTAAAGTAAAGTACGTAATATGCTTCTGGATAACTTTCTTTTGAACTTGCTCTCGCTTAGCCATGAACTGTTGCCTCTCTATTCGCTGTGACCGATTCTGCTGCCAACAGCCAAACTAAAGTAAAGAACAACCACTCGCACTGCGTCCATTAAATGGAATAGAATGGAAATTGCAAGGCAATTGCCAAACCGAAACCGGAGCGAATTCCGACAGAGTCAAATTGCTAATTTTCTTTCATAGCTACAGATACATACAGCTAAGCCAAACCAACCTACTCAGTCAGTCAGTCACTCAGGGGAATGAGGGTACGTTGTAAAATGTAAATGGACATGGAATTGGTAAAACGATGCAAATTTAGGCGATATTTATACACTGCTGCGTGAGAGACGCACACGTATTTTGCATTACGTTTGGAGAGAGTTTGTCCACTTGAGCCAGAACTCTCCACGGATTTGTACTACTTGTCGTCATCGTCATCGTCGTCGCGAAACAAAACAGCTCAAAGAACAATGTACTAAAATCAACAATGAAATGAAGAGATAAACAAGCAGAGGAGAAGAATATGCAGGATGGAGGATATTGAAATTGCAAATTCCCCAATGTCCACGTAACCCAATCTTTGTCACAATTAACTTGGGATTAGCGATATAATAAATAATTATAATTATATCTGGGAATTAATTAACCCTTAGTTCAAAATTGGAGAGTGGGTGGTGGATATTGGATATCTTATCTGGCATGATATTACAATATTTAATCAGAGAAGAAAGTAATTAATTACCTGGTTCAGGGATCGTTCTGGTCTGTTCTTAATTCTCGCTCTAATGCTCTAATATGGAGAGAGTGTAGTTACAAAATCCAATCCACACCCACACCAAATACTTACTTTACACCCACCGAAACTCGTCTGCTATCCTAAACCACACACACTTATCTGTACAGCTACACAGATATTTATTTATTTTGCTCAGCAACCGGCAAGACGAAATTGCTGAGACTTCACTTTCACTCACTCACCAACCAAGCAGACTTTTCTAGCTTGCTTTTAGGGAGGAGAAATCTGAATCTCTTGTAAATTTTGGGAGGAGTGAATCCGAAAACTCACCAACTTTCTCAGGAAGGAAATTCACTATAGTAGTAGCTCCACACTTCTCTGAGAAGAAATACTTGTCCCCAGTTGTTGTTGGTTTTTGTCAAGTTATAACTTTCTCTTCGCAATAATCAGAATGTGCAACTTTCACGACGAGACAAACTGTTCCAGACGAGAAGGAAGAAATATTAAAAATTTTCTCCAGAGAAAGTTGAGAATTTGACGAAGAAGAAAAATATTTGTTTGTTTGTATATTTCCTGAAGAGAAAGTGTGCAAATTGTTTTCCCGACTTTATAAATATTCCATTTTTAGTCGTCCAATTCAATTGTTTTTGCTGTTCTTATATTCCTGCCGAACTTTTGTGCACTTTTTTCTCCCCGAGACAACTTTATTATTGGGTTGACGACGAGGTTGACATCATCAGTTTATTCCGTTTTGTCGTCTGTCGGCTACTCTGAAATTGAGGGAGAGAAAAGAAAAGGGCACCAGTTAGTAAATAGGTTTTGATAAAAATAGGAGTCTACATGCATATTTAAACTGTGTCATTATTTAGTAAATTGCACGAGCAGAAATGGGACTCGTTACATACATAAATAAATAAAGTGCTAAATACGTTAATCATTATTATTTTAAGTAAGTATACGACGAGAGAGTTTGGTTTTTTGACGTCGTCCTCATTACTGCATTCTTCTGGGTCGTCTCATCAAGAACAGACCAATGACCACGCAAGTACTCGTATGTAATAGTTTGTTTGCTTTATTGTCTACAAATACCGTATTTTACTGTCTCACTCATCGTGTCTGCCCACTATGGGAAAATATGCATGCTATTTTTGCCAAGTGTCATCACACCTACGTGTTTGAAGAATTGCGACTAATAAATACTTCAGTTGTGCTTAACCCTTCTTGAGTCGGGCATTTGCAATGTGTGAGCAAAAGTAAAATTGACAACTTTCAGGGACAGCAGAATCATTACATTTACGTAAAAGTGGTAGTAGTAGGACGACGACGACACCATTACTTACTTGTCGACACATATGTATTTATGCAAGTTCTTACATATGTTATGTTTGTGGGTTCATTTACTTACTATGTAGTTCTGTTTCATGAGACACGATGAAATGAAGGGCCACTTGGTCTAGATGTTACTCTATGGACTCTTTTACTGCAGATGATGATGAGGAAATAGATGATTGAGGTTTGTGATACATATTTATGCAAAATCTGGCTGAGTGGCTCATATATATCTGCACACAGTGGCCGCGGAAGCCGTGGGGACATCTGGGGACATTGACATTATAAGATAGGGGAGGGAGGGGTCTATATAACATGGGCAGACGATGGGGACACCGAATAACCGTGGGGACATTGTCCCTGGCCCCGCACGCTTCCGCGGCCAATGCATACATACATATGCACATAACGTAACGTACGTATGTAATCGCAACCATCATGAAGTAGGACTCGTGAAGAAGCAGCAGCTTATCAAAGGACTGATGATGACACATTCATTAAAGTCCAGTCCACTCAGCAAATGTGGGATCATCAAAGGGAAAGAAAGAACAGATCAGCAAACGCGCAACGTGAATGCGTGCAGCACACTCGACCAGTTTTCATACATATTCAATTCAACCCACCAGCTCAGCTATTTATTTATTATGACACACTAAAATCCGCTACAGATTACGTACATATTACGCAGGATGAAAATCCAGCTAAATTACTAATATTATTGGTCAAAGAAGTATAGATATTTGCAAATTCTATATAGAATTTAACGCTCTACAAGCAATAATTAATTCTGTTTTTGCTGTGTCATCAAGAACGTCAAAAATCCTTTCAATTTCTAAATAGATGACGAGTGAATTTAGTTATATATTTATTTTGAAGGTAAAGAAATTGTGTAAATTAGTACAAATTACTTCAGTATCCGCCATAATGGAGCTATCTGGCGAACTTGAAATTAAATGGGTCCCTAATTGCCTCCATTTTTCACTTATCTCCCATCTACTTTTTCTTAGGACTTGCCAAAGTGACGATGACACGGACACTGGTGACAATCATAACGCGATAATAATCATTTCTGGTCTGCCTTGAATGCTAGTTAATTAATTTAAGTCCAGAATTTCTTGCCCACTTTATCAAATCCAATATCCATCCATCCATCAAGATCAACTCGCTACTTGTGCATACGCACAGATCAGATAGATATCTCCAATTCTTTACAAAATTGTGGGAAGAAGAATACGACAACGACGACGACATGACACTTAGTTTCAAGTTTGGCCAAAATTCAAATTCACAAAATTCTTGTCATTGTCAATCTCAAATCTGAGCCTCAATCTCATGACCCTGCATAAATTCAATTCTTTACATAAACTCGTGACAAGGTTCTTATCAGGATGAAAAAAAAGAAGAAGTGGATGGAAGTGAAGATAGATAAGCGACATGAATTTATTTGAAATAAAAAAAACTTGAGTGCTGGGTGCGTGCCTTTTTGATGGAATTGAATTTTACTTGGGTATTACAATGAGTGGTAGGTTTTACTAAATTAATTTCTGCTCATCTGCTTGCCCAATGGTGTTAGCAAACTGTCACTGAAACCGTTAACGTGTCAATCCATACGTAATAATTTCATTTCTTCGTGATCTATGACAGACAAGCAAATCACTACAACTTGTAGTCTACAAGTGCAATTCTCGTTATATAATTGATAAACTTTGCAAAAAAGTGGTAGTGGTGGTGCTAGAAAATTCGACCATCTGCTCTTTAACAGAAAGAATATTTAAGTATGCAATACTGATACTTTTGTAGGAAAATTTATTTCCACTTTATTATCTCATGTTTTATCATACAATTTAAACTGCAGGTCGGTGATGCATGCAAAATGCAAATTGTACGTAATAATAAATGGCGAGGGAGAAGAAGAAGAAGAATGTTATCCTGCTTAAATTTATTTCTGCATCATTTTCTCCTCTCCTCGTGAAGATGATGGACAGCATGGGAAAATGAAGATTAAGCCAAACTCGCCTCCTCTCATGAACCATACTTTGCTTGCTCAAAAGACGTTAAGACAGGCATCAAAGAAGAGAGAAGATGAAGAAGAACAAGACGACGACGATGACATGACCCTGCTTAATTCAATTTCATTTAATCTTCCACTTATGTACATGTACATATTCGCGAGGAGTGAAACTCATTTCTCAGTTTTTCATGCATCTCCTCCAAGAAAAATGGTATAGTTGTATGTAATAAGTAATTCGCTGTTTGACTAGTTTTCGACTAACTTATTCCTTTCATATCACTTACTTTTCTGCTCAAAGGAGTCGAAAAAGTGTTAAGTTTTTCAAAACTTGAACACCATTGTGTCGTATATGAAATTGTGTGAAATTTTGACACGTAGTGAAATACGGGTTTATGAAATGTCCATTATTTCATTTTATTTTATTTTGCATGCATTGTTTTTATTGACTCTTGACACATTTTAGAGACGTGATAAGAGATTTTTTATTTCGCCGACAATGGAAATTGAGGAGAAATTCAGTGTTAAAAACTGTTAAAGAAATCTTTACGATGGATGGAAAAGACGAGACGAGCCGGATTGTTTATTTGGTCCGGTTGTCGGTACTTGAACTTGGATTTTTAAGTAGCATAAGTGAGATATCGGTATGTCGAATAAAGATGCGCTTTTTTTTGTTACTGACTGGTGACTGTTGACCTTTTTTACTGTATAATAATTGAGACGAGTTTTACGAGTTGTTTCCTGATAAGTGGAAATTAAGTTGGACCAGACCGACTTGGATTCAATCGTGGTGCTCAATTTCATTAAGAAGAATACGAGCAAAAAAAGACTGGCTTTTGACTCGAGCCTCGTAGGTCATAATTTTATTATTATTGCGAATTAACGGCGATTTTTGATTGACATTAAAGCCGTAAATTTTGTACAGATTTTTAAGTCAGATGATTCTTAACAGTATTGACACGAATTGATGAACGACATGATTTTCTACTTTATACATTAGCCGAGTAATGATATTTACTTTTTTGATAAGAAGATTGCGACTTTTTGACAGATGAGGACATCCAAACTAAAGAATCAGAAAAAAAAATCTGTTGGAATCCTATTATCTCTTTTTCCCCATTATTATACGAGTAAATAATTCAGCATTTTTTTATAGGACGGACAGGTAATAAAAGCAAAATCAAATTGTGTCAATTTTCTCGTCAATATACAATAAAAAATAAATAAGATTGATTTTACGTTTAGTACAACAATGTCCTTCAACCCTTTTTTTATGGAATAATTTGACCCCACAACTTACTCAAAGTCGTGTAAAGTTGACTTCTTTACCATGTCCACGTTCAAGTCAAAGCAAGAAATAAATCAAACAAATGTTCCTCATTTTTATTTGCATAGTGAAACAAAGCGTTGCAACCGAGTTGTTAATTTGTCCAGTCCAGTCAAAGTCCAACACTAAAGAAAATTTATTTGCAAACTGGACTTGTAATTTCTCAAGGTATTGCTCAAATTGAATAATTTGCAGAGTTATTTAGTTCTCATGCATGATCACAAACATTGCAGAAAACTGGGCCTAGGTGCAGAACTGAACTGAACTGAACATAAAACAACAAAACAATATGCCTCATACTGTTATAATACGTATGAAAAATGTAAAGTAAACCGGTTTCCGTGTTCCATTCCATAATTTATTTTCCATTCTTTACCCAAGTTCATCATGTGTTCAGTTCATCATCTTATTTGCATTTCATTACCATCATTACTCGAGTAGAGACACCGGCTTAACTATATTTTAAGAAGTTATGTATTCATTCTCGGTCCCAAAAATGATGAAAGAATGGGCTTGACAGACTTTTTGGATGACTGACAGTGCAAATTTAAATTTATTTAAGGAGATTTCCTTCCCTACCAGGTCTTATCTTGGGTTCGTCTTGACACGATAATCAGTATTATCCATTTTGCGCATTTTATACAAATACGATAAGCTCTTTTTTCTTAAGTAAAGGTACAAATGACATGACATCCTGTTTCTTGAGTGAGGATAGAAATTATCCGGCCAGATTACAAAATAACTTTATATGCACATTTTTGACAGGATATTGAGACTAAACCAACCCAAAATCATACTTCAGGTGAATAAATATAGCTTAAAATTGCAGGTGCGTCAACCCCGTAAATTACATACGTGCCCTGTCCTGTCCTGTCTGTTTGTTTGTTTAGTGTAGGATTTAACCTTTAGCTCCTTCTTTAAGGAGGAGAAGATTACAGTTTTAGCCGGTATTTAGCTCATGTATTTGTCAACATTATGAATTTATAATTATGTGTCGTCTTTCAAGAAATGTGAATTTTGCGTGCATTCACTCTTAGAAATCGTAATTGATAATTTATATTCCAAGAAAACTAAATAAGTAAGTATAAAACTTGCAAAATTTTTAATTTGCAATTTCATTTCATTTCATACCAACAATAAGAACCAATTGGTCCCCTCTCTTTGTCATATTTGCATACATAACTCGATAATAACAGCCTTTTAACCAGATTAAGTGGAGAAAAAATTTACTTTTTCTCCCCCTCAAAGAACCGAGTCAATTCTCTTTTTTAAACTTTATTTTACAAGTTTTTCTACCTACATGCGAGTAAAACCGGAGAGAATAATAACGCTTTACTTACCAACCAAACCAACCCGGATATAATGGAACAGTGAATAGAATAGAATAAAATTCAAGCCAGGAGAACAGCTTGGTTTTCCTTTTGCTGTACTCTCAGCAACTTTACACAAGAGAAAAACTTGAAAAACTTTTACTTGTGCACAATTCCTCCACTCTTCTCGTAACCATCCCACATGAATGAATAGTAGTGAATTGACGGATAACGCGACCACTTGAGTTCACCCAAAAATCCAATCCTATCCCAATTATTAACTCCTTAAAAAGTTTTTTAGCGATTCTTCAAACTTTTTTAAAAAGCAACGTAGTCGTCTCAACTCACACTTTCGGATAAGTACGAAATCAAGGAGGGGAGGGAGAGAAGATTGTTAAGAAGAAATTCCAATTTTCACTTTCACTTAATAATAAATTGGGGAAAGGTTTCTTCTTCTTCTTCTTTCTTTTCGCCTAGTTTGCACTTTTACTTCACTTTAGCTAACTTTTTGTAGCCAATTCTCCATAATTTTTTAGCACGAGGTTTTCAAACGAGTTAGTTGAGAGAGGAGTGAAGCGGCGTCCTTTCACTTCGCAAGCTCTGGTACGACTGACTCACAAGATGTTCTGCATGCATGGCTAAAACTTGTACCACGAACTGGACTGCTTCGACGAGTGGAGTGCAGCACCGGCTTCGTCCTCGAATGACGATTTTTTCAAAGAGTAAGGTTTGTTTATTACAGAAATTGCATGACCATGATTAAAGAAGTTGGTGTTCTTATTAATTTTGCAAAGTCTTAACGCCATTTGTGAAAAATGAATCAAAATAAATATATTATTTGAATTGATTCAGATGAAAGTTGAGGTTAGTAGAAGGATAAAAATATGGAAAAATAACCCCAAAATTTCTGAATACTCTCCTCCACCCCAGAAAAAAAAACGAACGACATGGATGAAATAACCACACATAATATTTAACACGATGCACTAATAGCGTAGTAAATGGGATACGCGTATCTCTACACTGGAGGAATGACTTTGGCAATGCAGTACTTATGGATGGATGTACATACGTAACGTATTTACTACTATAGCTGCCTCATAGGCCTTGCGGCACTGTGCATTGCATTTTATTTAAGAGGAGAGGAACCCATAGCAGAAAGAGAGCTTAACAAAATGGGTCCAGGGGAGTACATCCATGATGGCATTTTACTTAAACAGACGACGAAACGACTGTTCACCACCCTTCATTCCAATGCCAATAAGTAACTGCATGCATGCACCATAAGAAGAAGAGGGGTTCATTTTCATTCTTTTTATAACTTGACAACACATCTCTGTGTGGAAAATGCAGCAACTCCAGCAGCACAACAAAATGCATACCTTATTATACAACGAAGAACGAGAGGGTTTAAACAGGAGGCTAATTCTCCATGAATGCAATGCAAGTAAAGCTAATGCTGCTGATAAACCGGTACAAAAAGCAGCACCATTCATGCCGTCTCTAAACTGACGATGAGGAGATGAGATGAGGACGAAAAGGTCGGTGTTACGTGGTATTCGTTTTGTGCAACTTCTGGCAAGGTTATATGAAGCGAAAAGGAGTAAATAAAGGCTATATGCGCAAGAAGAATGCATTAATCTTACAAATTCTTTACAAACCACCACGACCAGAATGAGGTAATAAAATGACATGAATATTTTGTTGACTAACTTTTCCACCATGTCCTCCGGGAATTCCGATAAACTTGCAGAATACGTATGAGAGCCGTGATGATTATGATGATGGAGATGAATAATCATTAAAAGCGCATCCAATTTTTACACGGGTTGCATAAACAGCTTCAATTTACTACGTGGTAAAAAATCTCTCAAGAGACTTGTTGGCAAATGCATTGCAAGAAAGAGCAAGAAGGGAATGAAAAGTTTGTACTTATTAATTAAAAGTCTTTCTCTAAAGGCAAAAAGAAGTAGTTGAATGGCAAAAAGTAAGGGAAAAGTTGAGATTAAATAGTTGGGAATGTGCATAAGGACGCATGTATTTGGAAGAAATTCTTACCAATGGGGATGGGATGCAGCAGCACTATTTCTTTTTATTCGGCTTTATATTATTTTATACTGGTGGTAATTTACGAGTGGGAGGGAAAACGTATAAGCAGATTGTTGTTGGGTAACACTTTTTAAATAAAAGACAAACCAAAAAAGAGGGGGTAAGACATGGAAAAGTGTTGAGTACATTATGTCCGACAAGAAAATAGGAGGACGACTACTGACAGGACGGGATGCTAATTTAAGGCATATTTACGTCGTCGTCTGGTCTTTGTCTCGTCAGGATGCACTTTCTCGATTAGAATTTGGATTCAGTTATGCATGTTTTTTATCTGCAAAATTCAGAACAACTGTAATCTTGTAAAAAGACTGGTAAAAAATTGTGGGGAAATTTTGCCACATTTTTTACACGGAATTTATAATACATTCAAATTATTTACTTGATATGTATGTATGCAACTGGCCTGGAGCGGGATGTAAATTTATGTGTGTACCAAATTGGTGAAGCCCTTCAGCTAAATATACATACACAATGCAACAATTCACATACTCGACCCTCGATTATCTGATAAATAGTTACGCAGGCAGCATAAATGCCCACTTCCTTTCTGACATCCGAATTTGTATAAATTACCGTCAACCGTGTGCAGCCAGCAGCAGCAGCCCTTTCCTCCCTTCATTATTTGGGGGTTGAATAGTAGCAGCCAAGCTATTCATACCTGCACAGTCTGCCTGCCTGCCTGCCTGCATTTCATGGAATTGAAAAGTGTAATAATTTCCGAACCTGCATTGCATCGAACAAAACCACGACCGGAAAAACCCTTCACGTGCCGGTATCATTATTATCATCATCGTCACTGGGTGTCCAGGAGTCCAACCGAATATATAAACAGTGGCCGCGGAAGCTGTGGGGACATTAACATTGTGCGATAGGGGAGGGAGGGGTTTATATAACATGAGGAGATGATGGGGACATCGAATAACCGCGGGGACATTGTCCCTCTGTCCCCACTTTTCCGCGGCCACTGTATATCCAGCTAAAACCCAGCGTCTGCCTATAGCCCCCACAGAATAATAATAAGTCAACCGTGTCCTTGCTGTCACCTGCACCGTGGTGCTTATCGTACGGCATCTCTCTTGATTTGACGTGATATAAAATCCTACACGGTCCTTTAACCAGTCCACTTTTATATCTTTTTTATTGTATTTTCCGCTCCCATAATAATTTGAATCATAATTCGTCCTCCATCAACAAAACGAGTATGTATTGTAAATACTGCATGCCAGGAGAAACTTTCAAACCGTGTGACGTGAATAATACAGTGAAAGAAATGTGTTGATTTGTTGAAAATGCGTTTACATACATGTGTATCCGTACTTGGGCTATTGTCAAGTTGTCACTTTTGACGTAAATAAAATAATAATATGTTACGTTCCCAGGATTGAATGGATGGATGGATGGATCGGTTTAGTATGAGAATGAAAATGAGGAGAAATATGACAACTGCTTATTGCGTGTGTGGCGTAAAATTGATTTCGTTTTCATGTAGCTTGGGAACTTTTGGGAGAATGAAATTGAAAATGTGTGACACCGAAATATCGCTGCTTTTTGTCCTCTTACATAAAACAATCACAACCTGGTACGCAGTTGGATTGGATGGATGTTTAATATTTAATGATAAAAGAGCGTACGCATTTTGTGTGTTTTCTCTCTTGTTGAAGAATTGTAATTCAGTAGTGTAATTCAAATTTTAATGGGGGATGGATGCTTGTCACTCGTCACATTGCCACCCTTTTCACCCTCAGTCAGTCAGACGGAGAAGAATTAAAACTTGGATTTATCACAGACTTGTTTTCATCAACAATACAAATGATGAAATAAGTCTGTATTCGAGCTCAGCCAAGCAAACCTCTTTCTCGGAGTGGTTGTGGAGTGGAGTGTCAGATCTTGCAAGGCGAAATCCTGATCCAAGCCGTCCTCAAAAGTTGTCTGCTTAATTAGATTCACTCGCTCACTGTCTCTATTAGTGAAGAATTAGCGGAGGGAGGAGGAGGGTGCTCTGGGGGCCGGGTTTAATTATTAATGCAAGTATAATTAGTAAAGCAGAATTGAAGAGGATGAGTCAACCCTGTATGCTGGATTTGAGGGGAAAGTGGTGTTTCGAAGGGTAGGAAACTGGGGGTGGATTCGTTTTTGAAAAAAATTGTAAAAGTAATAGCGTGGAATTTGCGGATCATTGTGTTCTACTTTTCATGACGATAATTTTACTCTAGATATAATTTTCCCTTTAATTAGGATTTGTATGGTAATTTTATATGCTTGGTAAAAAATAAGGGTATTGTTCATCACAAAAGTTTTATGACTATAGTGAAATTGCATAGAATTTAATTGTAGCTTAATAATTATGTAAACTGCGCTTAATAATAATATTTAGTATACTGCTCTTAATAGAAGGAGACTACAAATATTTGCTAATTTAGTAAGCAGCATACAAGGCTTGAACTCAGAATAAAATGGAACCCATTTCAGCATTTAAATTATTTTATAACAACGAAGTTTTTGAAAAAGTTGCGAAATCAGGGAACTTTGCTATTAAATTTACTAAAGTATGAGTTCAACGCCGTAATACGATTTTTTACAAATGTTTACTACAACTTGTATGACATCAGATACTTTTAACGGTACTTATCAACTGGTTTTATAAAATTAATAGAAAGATGAAGTCAAAGAATATAAAAATAATTATAATTAATGATAAATAATGAATATGTTAGTTGGAAGTAAAATTTAAAAATTATTAGTAAAATATTTTTAAAATGTCCATATTTTTATTATTAGTACTACATGTATGAAGTGTGTATATGCATGAGTTAAACTCCAGTTAAAAATTTTGAGCAACGTTAACAATAAACAAGTTATCCTTAGATGTGTCTGTTCTGAACCATAATTTCGCTACAACCGCCGGAGAACTGTTTTACACCCAAATCTTATAAAAATTAATTTATACTCTTTTTGGCTTCTGTTGTCGATTACTGTTTGATATCAATACTATTCAAAATAGGATTTTCTTCATATTTAGCAGAACTTGAAATTCAATTTCGATTTATTATTTCTTTTCCGCAAATAGTCTATAAATATCTAATTTGTAATATTACTAGCAGTGCCCGCGGGGACATGTGGGGACATGAACATTGTCGGATAAGAGAGCGAGGGGTTTATGTAATATGGGCAGATACGATGGACATCAAACAACCATGGGGACATTGCCCCTCCGTCCCTACGCTTCCGCGGTCACTGATTACTGGATACGTTTTTATAATTTCTTATGAGAACTGATGTTATTTAAGTTCTAAATAAATTTTTGTAAACTTTGTAGCAACAAACATTTTATAATTTGTAGAAAATACTTATTTACAGAAATGTACAAATTCAATTCCAGACAAAATTATTTAACAAACTTGTAATCACATTATAACATTTTAGATTGGCAGGACTAGCACCACCATTGGCAGGACTGGCCCTAGTCCTGCCAAACTAAAAAAAATTGGTACTACCAACGATGTTATTATGCAATGTCCCCAAAACTACTTAAGTAGTCCATTTACTTTATATATCAGGAGATGCCGACTGTATAAAACGAGATGAAAATATTTTATCGTCACTCATTCTACGAAAATATCAGCATCATGCATCTCCCAGAGAGATCTACATTCCGCCGTCGTCATTATTCCAGCGGTCTCATTGATCTCTCTCTCTCTTCCGTGTGGCATGTTGTCTCCTTGGTTTAGGTGACCTTCCAACTTTGATGACCACCCTAAAATACTGTCCCAATTCATAAACTCGACTCGAGAAAAACAAGCCTCCAAGTTCTTTTGTAATAAAACAATAAAATAAAGTGAACCAAATTGTTCCTCCAAACGACCTTACGCGGCCGTCTCCCCTCAAGTGATTGGTATGCACGCGGTGTAATCCATGATCTGCCGCCGACCCGGTCAAGGCTGCTACTGACTGGACTTTTGGAAGAGGAAAAGGCAGTGAAACGGTACATACGAGTACGAATAATGATTTTACAACGTGCAGTAAGAGAACGTATGCATTTTGCTGTGTGCAAACGTTCAATGTAAGTCAAAAGTCGGGATTGTGAAAGTCAAATTCTCTAGTCGTACATGGATATTTTGTGTGGTCTGGTCAGGTCTTGTGTGCGTTTTATTAGTTTTGTACTTTTTATTGTGGAATTGTAAGTACGACTCTCATCGCATGGTTGACTGGACGCACGGCTTTTTCTTATACCGGAAATGCATCCAGTTCCTGTTCACTACATACGCAGCAGTTAAATTAAAGGGAGAGAATTCAGTTCGTGGAAAATGCCGACGATTTTTTTCCCCCAACTAATTTTTATCAATGAAAAGAAAGCACGAGGCACGTTACGTAACTAGAAAATTCACCTTGCATGTTTCCATTACGAGAGGAATTAAATATAAAATGCAAATTTTCTGTACCGTTACACATTTAAAGATTGTGCATGTCCAGGAAGTGAAAGTTTTAAGCCGTATATTTCCCACCAGCAAGATGATTAGATAATTGAGACAAATCTAAACTACGATAGATTCAAATTCTCCGATTTACGAAATAAATCCCCGGATTCGGAGTGCATGCATTCATTCCTAATAAACCGCAAAGTTTGCCTGCCATGGTTTTGCCTTGCCTTGCAGTGAATGAGTGAACCTGAACCATGAAACTGCACTCGGTTGGAGTAAGCGTATCCGATAAACGTTACCCAATCACCCACACACGCACAATTGGGCTTATCTCTTCATCTCCCCGTAAGTGCGTAGGAGGGCGGATAAGTGAACGCGTGGCTGGGTGGGTGCGTATATTTCTCGTAAATCACAACCTGCAATTATACACCGGGCAGAACAGAACTGCCCACAGAGCTTACATAACTGTACACCCACCCATACGTGCTGCTGGCTGATTTGGTCACATTTCCCAGACCCAGATTCAACTTACTTATTGCAATCCAATGCAACCCTCATCTCGGATTTCCTCCTCGGTTACACAACACCACGAAATAATATCAAACCAGGCTAAAATTGATTTACGGTCGGGACAAGTTTTCTTTTTTTACCTAAAAAGAAAGAAATACCACGAAATGAAAGTAAAAAAAAGTTGTTCATGTATTCGAGTCGACCGTGACCATTCGCTTCTGTAAAGAAAGCAGAATTTGTGTGGTGTTGTAGTCCAACTTTACTTTTATCGGGATCAGGAGAGCTAAGAATCAGACGTCACGTACGTGGCTACATATGTCATGCCGGATGATGGTGCATGCAGTCGGAAAGCGTGTGCAGGGGACAGATGCACTATTGCATAATCTTTACAGAGTTCAACTTTTGGAGACATTTTCTATATAAAAGTTAACTACCAACTTTTTTTGCGAGAGGAAAACTATTAATTTTTTGCAGCCTCTTCGTTCGGTTTTTATTAAGACGAGGCCAGAGCATAGTTGAGTTTGTTGGTTGCGAGTTAAAAGTTAAATGTGCAATCTGACTGGTAATGTAATTTATAATCATTTGACTTTCTCGACTGCTCGCTCGCCACGATCTTTTTTTCTGGGGTCTCCTCAAGACGGAAATGAAATAAAGTTTGGCTGTGCAGTATGTACGGGTAATTAAATTTGTTTCAAATTGCTCCCTCTCTCCCCTTCATTTTTAAAGACGGATCTAATTTATGTATTGGGTGGAAAGAGACATAAAAGTTTTTGAAGGAATAACAACAACTGACAAGGTAATAAATTTTTGTGAAATGGAATGAGAAGAGGATGTAAAGTAATGAGGAGCATGAATTGGTTCAGGGAGAGAGAGAGAGGGTGTAAAAAATGGGATGATGACATAATTGGTAATGTGCTCATCCTCAGCTGTAGTGTAGATTTCTTGTGTGTGTACATAAGTAACAATTAAATGTGTGAGCAAAGATGCACTGGTCTCCTTAAATTATTTAGACTGTAAAATAATTGGCAGAAATTGGAGAGGAATAGGATCAAATTTTTGTATTTCTTTTATCAATTCCTCTTGGTCTGTTGTATAGGTGGCCTTTAAAAGTCTCGTGTAATTAGTAATTTTTTAAAATTTGTTAGTAAGACAGACATAGAATTTGCGAGAATTGGACGTCGAAATTAAATATTTTATTTATTGATAATTATTATATTCATGCAATGTAACGCTTGATTTTTGACCCGTACGGCAAAGAAGTATCTCACGAGCTACTTATTTAACATGATTTTGATTGAAATAAATTTTCTGGATTCGAACCTTACCAATTTCTAGTAATTTTTATTTATTTGAATATGATTTAAACTGGCAATTTATCATGAAAAATAAAAGTGGAACAACGTTATGGAACTAGATTTCCTTTTTGTGCCTGTTAAATTTAAATTAAATTAATTGCTTCAAAAGTGTCCAGTAAAGTGATGAGTGTATTTAAAAGAATAACAATACATAGAATTTCCTGGTCACGAAACAAATGCTTATTTTACAATATTTTATTTTTACTTTTTAATAACACCCCATGCTTTCCTTTTGCATGTTTCTTATACAAAAAATATTTTACATTTCATCCGACTTTACATCTTGTACGTGTATACAAAAAATCATCCAAGAATTGCATCTCGTGACAATCATTTCCCCCGTCGTCGTCCCCACATGTGCAAGTATGTACACATATTCAAAGGGTAGAAAGAGAGAGAGAGAAATATTATTATTGTCATCTGTGCCGTTAAGATAAAACGAAAAAGTTTCCCGAAATCTTTTTATCTTATCGATGTTCAATGTTGCTCTAGAATGGGAATGGAAATTGTTATATGAGAAAGTCAAGTTGCGAGAAGTGGTCGGTTGGTCGGTCGTCTGACTGGTGTCGTGGTTTGCTTGGTCCCATTTATTTTCTTTTTTTATTGTTATAATCCAATGACACAACTTTTACTTTATACTTTACTTCTCAATCCCCCATTTCATGGCACAAGTTGCACTCTGCGACGAAAAATGGGAAGAAATAAACATACGTGCTAGTGGTCAATTCTGTCCAGTTTGTATGTACATACGTCTTCTTGTTATTATGCAAGTTTTCTTTTGCGGTGGACTGGAGTGGAGGATGGGGTGGGAAAAAAGGCTCGAGTTGAAGTTGAGGGTCAAACCCGGGGGAATTTTACTTCACTTTTTTTTGGAGTGAAAGTCATTTTACATTTATTCCTTGTGGTTGTGGTAGAAAAAAACGGTAGAAAGTGAAAGCTGGACAGAAAGAGAAAGTGGATGTGAAAATCAATATTTTTTACGAGTTTTTTGATGCGTGTGTGTAACAGTGGGTGGACAAATAAAGATTTAGATAATGAATTGATACATATTTTATAATTGTATTTAGTACGGTACAACATTTAAGTATATAAAGAGACCATTTATTTACTTATGTATCAGTTAATGAAGAAGTGCATGAATACAAAGGCCCAATTTTCACATAGAATTGCTTATGTTCAGCTTTTGTACGGATCTTGACATGAATCGTGGAGCGAGTGAGATGCAAAAGTACTTTGTAAAATGTTGTCGCATGTTAGCGGACACTTATTTAAACCGAGAATACGAGAGAATGGAAAGAAACAAGAATGTGAAAAAGGTGTAAATTTCCGTGAGGTCGAAAATGTATCATTAAATAATGGCAACACCTATAAACCCCTAGGTAAACCAGCCAAAAGCTAAACCCTGGTGGATGAATGTGTAGGTTTCGGCATTTTGAAACAGGTCGTATTTCATGGCAGCAAGGATTATTATTATTATTACACCGTGTGAATGTCAATGTTGTTGAAAATTGCAGTGCAATATCGTCCTAGAGGACCTGACATTACGGGAGTATTTATTTAAATGGGGGTGCTAACTAGAGTTGTATACGTACGTGCATATAATAATCCATCCACTAGGCGAGAAGGATTATTTAGAAGAAGAATGGTGCGTGATTCTTCGCCATAAATATCTTCAAAGCAACGCTGCTGGTGTGTGGTGGCTTTACGGCTTTTTATTCATAATGAGAGCGAAATGAATAAATTTTGGGTAAAACACGTCTTTTAAATAGCACTTCAACTACATATTCACCTCCACTGCGACGCTATTTAGGAGGCAGTGGAGGCAAACTATTTAGAGAAATAAGTTTTAATCAGGAATTAACCTCGGAATATTTATGATGATAATATTGCTCAATTATGTAACTATAAAATTCCTGAAATTTACTTTGCATACGTTCACATATTGGAAAGTGAGTCGAGAGAAAGTCAAGAATTGTGGCATGGCATGCATCGTCGAATGGCACGATTTTTTATTTTGCAGAAAAACTTATGGATAAAATATGAAAATTTATATTTATGTAAAAACATTTTTTAATAATATAAGAACATACATCCAACAAATTGAGGAATCTACTATCGTAGAAGTATTAGAAATTTTGATTTTTTTCAATACGCCGTCTGCTTGGAACAAATCAGCTTGAAATCCTTATCTGACAAAGGTTTCCAGGCAAAGTTTCCCAAAATTTTGCCAATTTCGCGACCACTCTTTTCATAACTTTTAGCATTGAGTTTAATCCACTGTGTGAAATTATTGTCGAGGAAAAGGTTATGGTGAAACATGAAGTCAATCTTTTTTAAGAGGGCGTTTCTTCGGATGTTAAAGTCTCTCAGGTTTGGCGTCATACTGACGATTAGAAGAGCGGTGGATGTGCTTATCCGATCCCGGACAAACTACGGGATTAAGAACATTGTTGATAAGATGGCATACCAATTTATATACTAATTGGTTCGAAATACTGACCAGACTTGTGAGGTAGATGCACCGCCGACATAAAGTTAAAAGTTGGGCGTCAATTCGATTCACGAATTTTCGAGAGGAAGTAAATTTCGGGAGTCCGAGGTGTCCAAATTCTTTAATACTTTCGGAATATAGGTCAATCACGGTTATGACGGAGGTGGACGAGAACTAAGGACGACAAATTTCATGAAAAAATTAAAAATTAAAAAAAAAAGTTTCCCTATTCTCTCCTAACCTTGGTGAATGGACAATCGTACAGAACCGAGACTACGTTTGCCCTCTCCTGCCAAACCATGTCCTTGTCCACTTTTGACTTTGTTCTGAGAAAAACTTTGAACAAGTGGTTCACTTTAAACCAACTTTTTGCATCGACCCCTTGCGCATATCCGGTATAACTGTTCTGCACAATATGCAGTTCTCTCAAGTGTGCGGCATGAGCCAACATTTCGACCATCTCCTCCCCCAAGTTTTGCGGGGAAATGTAGAGAAATTGTAGGTTCACGAAGCAGGCGGGGTGCAGGAGGCTGAAATGATCTTTCGTGCCGTTGATTAACGTTAAAATTCTGAGATTTTGACACAAAACGGAACAAGCTTCGTCCAAGAGGTGGATTGCGTCTTCCGGAATGAGGAGAAGATCGATCAAGTCGAGACGAAGAAGGTGCGGAAGGTTGGAAATGATACGTTTTAATGAGCAAAGGATGTCACCCCCTAAAATTAGTGAAATTATGATTTTTAGGGACTTTGAAAATTGTGTCAAACTAAATAATGCACACCGGTTCCGATGATATAGTTTTCCGCACGGTTTGGAATATCACAGTAGAAAGTGAAGCGAAAATGTTGTATTTTAAATTCACAGGCTTGGACAGAATCCGGATCAGCTACAAAAAGAAAGACATGTATCTATTAAACTTTAACCTTTTAAGCACGGTTTTTGGCCAAGTCCCTTTGAAGAACTTACTCAAAAATCTTTCCGCATATGCAGAGACATGATTCATAAAATGGTAATGAGCAAATAATCCAAAGAAAGATGTCGGAGTGAGGGAAAGGTGACGAAGGTATTGTCCCACGTGCGAGATTAACTGTTGCGCTCGGTGATGGTCGAGGATGTACTGGGGAAAAATTAGTTGGTGTATTTTCTTACAAAATTTGTCACAAAAGTCACAAATTGCATGCAAATAATTTGCATATGTGTCCAAATTACCCTCCAACTCCTATCCCCATAGTCGAACTTTCTTCTGCACAGGGTGTAGTCATCCATGATAAAATCGTGCCACGGTTTCTGCAAGTAGAAGGCCAAGTACCACTGGCGACACGTGCAGGAGGCGTAATATCTCTGTTGGATGGACAGGTAGGAGAAGATCTTTTCTAAAATGAGGTCGGGAAGGAGGCCCCAGCCAGATTCGTTCACGCCGAAATGCTGAGCTTCCTCCTCCTTCCGTTTGGCTTCCAACTCGGCCAATTTCCAGTTTAAAAATTCCGCAACGCCATCGGGGTCCTTTCCGTGGAGTTCTAAAGTGTACGTCAAAAATAGAGATTTTCGGAGAAAATTGCATAAATTAGAAATGTCATACCTTCCGCAATAGCAATTGTTTCCGTTGTGGACAAGCTTCTGGATGATGATATATGCTCCAGAGCCATTTTTACGAGGGCGAAAATTATAACGATTTAAACGGCTCGATACAACTTTTAATTAATTGCGCATTTATCCGTGGATATGGAAAGATCTAGATTTTGCAAAAAAAATGAGGTATTCTGTAGCCAGCTGCAACTTGTTCCTCCTCACGGTTCACTAAAACACTGTTTGCTAAGACAATAGGCACAATTTTATTAGCTTGAGCAGATATTTACAGATCCCGTTTAGTTTGGCATCGTGCATATGCTCCAGATCCAATACTGACTGATATGTACGGAACTACTAACTAAAACTCTTTCTGTTTACTAATAGTGTTGGGAAAGCACCAGAGACGCGTGCCAAATCGTGAATCTATCTTTAGTTAAGCTAAGCAATATATACTTAGGTATGTATGTACAGATTCGCAAATAAACAGATAACTTTCGATCTTTTAGTATATTGTTGTGCTTATATTTTAGCACATTGTTCCGGCAAAGTCAACCCAAGCGTCCCATACAACAAACTATAGGGTATGGTAATCTGCATGACTTTTGAGATATTTGCGACTTTGCACATATTAGCGATACATGTACAATATGTGACTTGAAACTAATTTATGCACACGCTCAAATGATTATTATATATACACCGTGAAAATATTTGAATTAGCTGAGGTCGATATTCGACTATTTTATGAAAAAAATTTTAACTTGTCCACGTACGAAATATACTGGAAACTTATTCTGTTTGCAGCGTTCTGGTTCGGTGTATTAACTCGTATACAGCTAAAAATAGTCGACTTCTATAAGACATTCAACTCAAACGTTGTCAGTGTGTTTACCCCTTCACTTTCATTTCAGTTTTTGGCAAGGTGTATACGTACATATGACTTATGTTCAGATAAGCTTCCGGAAATTTAATATGCTTTTGCATTTCAATTGTACTACTTGTAAGTGAAGTTAATATGACAGACAAATTGCAACAATAAGCATGGAAAGATAATATCATTATGCAAAATTTAGACTTTTAAATTTTAACATGGAACTATTTATGTGCAAGTAAGCAGATAATTTTTCCTTTCACATTACATCTCATTTATTTGCAATAGACCATACATATCATATTTACTCGATTATAAACACGTTGTCTGCGAATTGAAAAGGTCAAGAAAAATAATCCAAGTTCCGTAATATTATCGAAATACCATATTTATCACAGCGTTACTTGCTCAGTTTTAGTCCGTGAGTTGGCTGAGTAGTGCCGTCCCCTTCAGGATCCAATAGTCTTCTGGATGATTGAGGGAGGGGAGTTGAATTGGTGCAATGAAGTTGGTAGAGTGACCCGTCGTGGAAAGCGTTCCTTGTCGCACGGACGTCTTGTAGAGGGGCGTCGTGTAGACGTTGACCGTCTGGAGGGGGTCCATCGATGGGAGGAAGTGCGTGATGGGGAGGAGCGGGTTCATTTCGCCAGGCAGCGAGTCGGCCAACGTCATCTCGTCCATGTCCCAACGAGCGGCTTCCATAAATAGGCCGTGAATGAGGACGCCTTCCTCGGGCAGCTCGATAGCTGACTCCAGTCTGGGGTCCAACTCCATCATCTCTTCCTTCACGACGGGAACCATGAAAAAGTGAAACTTCAACTGGTCAATGGGAAGGTTGTGGCGTCGGGCGTACGTCTGCAAAACTGCGGTGAGGAAGCCTTGTTGAAAGAAGAAACCGGACAACCAATAGCTGGACGGTGGTACTGGTTTCGTTTGCCAGCCCTGGTTTAAAATTTTGAAAATTGAATTTAAAATGCATGTATTAGAAATGTATTTGTTATGCGTATCTGCATTCAACTCACCCTGATGAAATTGAACCGAAGTTGAAAATCTTTATACCAACTGGCCAAGGATTTTAGGGATCCGTATGATTTTGGTTTCCATAAATCTGGAACCTACGTATAACAAACCATACAAAATATTTATAGATTCTAATAAATTAAAAATACGGAATATGAATTTAACCGAACCTGATTATTGAGGAAAGCTTGGTACATTTTCTCTAAATCTTCGGACATAACGACCAAACCACGAATTCCCTTTTTCAACTGGACAAGTGAATCTTTGATAACAGCAAGCAATTTGTTGAACCTAAATTATGGGGTTGTAATTTATGTAAAATATTTTAAACGAAAACGAAATGATTTCACTGATGGGTTGTTACCGTTCAATTTCTTGCTGGATAAAGATTGTGAGTGACGCCGTTCTGCCCCTCTCGTCCGGAAGGAACAAATACTCGCTACTCTTGTCCAGGTCCAACTTTTCCGGAAGTTTGCTCTCGATCTCTTCTGCCAACTCGTATGCAATTTCGTCACTCGCCGTGGCGGCGGAACCACCCGCCTGCTTTGGTTGGGCGGAGAGAAGTGCGTTGAGAAATGTGGTTGATTCTTGACGCTGGTTTCAAGCAAGAAATTAGTAGTTGCATATCATGGCGTAAACATAAAACAATTGGAGAAAGCTATTATCATAAATAAACCTGAAAAGTGATGGTGGCATTGTTATGCATCCCAAATATTTCTGGTTCGTCCATAATAGGGAGACGATCCACATACTCGACGAACTCGACCACGGTTGGCAAAACGGGGGCATAATAGAGTCCAGAGGGCGAATATTTATGCGTCACACTCAGAGTTGGTGGAGAAAAGAAGATTTTTAGAATTGTGGTTAGACACCGTTGGTCCCAATTGTCCGTAATTCGACCGCCGTAAGTGATTTGACCCGTAATATATTCTAAAGCGTCCCAAGGAATTATGCCGTTCTGACAAAACATGTCCAAGTTGAGGAGACAACATTCACGATCGCTATCGTTGAACTCGTATCTGCAAATTATGTCAATTCAGCAATTACCGCACTTTTTTGTATAATTATAATTTCCTACCGTATGTTCCAACCCAACGGTCCAAACTTCTTCCTTTCTTGGATCACAGCGTGGAAGAAACAAATTCCAAACACTATTCTTCTCCAGGGATCGCCCAGCACTTTAAAGAAGAGTTATTACGTTATCAGTAATTTATAAAAATAAGAATATGATAATCTGTTACTGTTGGCTTCAAAGAATTCCTTTTCCATCTCAACCAGAGCTCGACGAACATTGGCTCGAAGTCCTTTTGGTGGTTCGTTAGTGATTTTGACGCTCTCTTGGAGGATGGACACTGGAAAGGTCGACGTGGGCATGGAGCTGAGGTAGAGACGAAAACTATCCGCGACAGGGTCAGGATTATCGCTAATTTGTTTCACAATAGTTTCTAATTTCGGGAGCCAAGATGACGCCTGAAAAAATGTGAGTTTGTAAAAAAAATAAATCATTTGAAATGCAAGATTTATTTACCAAATGACAATTTTGCAGGAAAACCCAATCCCCAGTTTCTGTCGCTTTCCATATCATTTTCTCCGCAATGGGACCTTGTCCTTGACCAAGGGAGATGGAGGAAACTCGCTCTAACATTTCTTGTTCGGAAGCAAACCGATAAAATCCACCCATCGGATCTGATCCCACGCTTAACACAAAAATAAGCGTGGTAGATTTGTTGATATCTTTAAAAATTTCGTTCAAATCTGCGGCCGGACTTTCTACAAATTTTTGTCCTAATTCGTGCCTAACAAATTCTGTGACGGCTGCAATCAACTGCGAAATGAATTTGAATAATTAATAAAAATTCTAGTTAGAATGTGAAATAGGAATACTCCACCCACTTTTTCTTGAGCTACACATTTGACTAGAATTATTTTCTGGAATTTAGACAACTTTTTATCCCAATTGTCCGTCGGTTTGATAAAATTGGCTTCTTCGTCATCGTCTGAACGCTCAAATAGATTCTGACGCCAGTATTTCAATTAATATCCTTTATCACGTTTCATGCCAAACATTTCATATTTAATTCACTCACAACTTTGAAGCCTCCGATATGAATTCGAACCACGTTCTCAAGTGCAGAAAGTGTAATTCCGTCAAAAATTTGGAATGAATTTTCCAGATCGCAAAGGTTTTCCCATTGTTGAGCCGTGAGCCAGTACGCTGCGCCAGGTTTCCTGGTCCTTCCCGACTCCACGCCGGCTGCGCCACGGAGGAAGAAGCCCCACTCCGCCTCGGCTATGACATCTGGAAACCAATTTAATCAATCACAATTAAGTAACTGCATTATTTAAGGATTAAGAAGAGTATTACAGTTTCGAGGTTACCTTTGCTCTTTAGAACGTCACAGCAGAGCATAAAGCTAAAAATGAGCTTATCTTTCTCAAACAAGCCACGACTAATGTTGGTGTACGTAGCCAGGGTCGTTTCTCTTCGGAGGATTTTTAGCCGTTCCTCCAACTCCCCAGTCTTCTCAGTCAAGCTGATGCATTGATTAAACACCTGAATTAAAAGCATAGAAAAATTATAAATCCACTAATTAAATAACGTAAATTTATTAATGTGACCTGCGAAAAATATTTGAGCGAATATTGGTACATGGGATCCAACTCGGCCAATTGTGCCACCACAAAGTATAAAACACTTCCCCTCGAAGCGACAGGACGGTAGCGTTCTCGAGCTACGGAAATGCTCTTTTCCGTCACTTCCGCTTGGGCGACACGTTTTACAATTTCTGTCGAAGTCTTTTTACTGTTGTTGAGAGTTTCGATGAGCTCTTCGTCATCTAAAATGTTTCCTTCTGCGGCGAACAACAGTTTGAGAATCTTTGTCTCCAGTGACACGAGCATATTTTTGTCAGCATTGATTTGGGAGACGAGTGCTGCTCGCTGTGACTCCAAATCGGGGCGTTCCAAACTGACGACGTCGCTGAGAAGTTGGTCCTCCAGACCGGACGAGGTCACGGTAAAATTAATAATTGTAACTTTAATGCAAACTTCTGGCAGATAGTGAGGATTTGCCATTTTTGTGGTCATGTAGAGACGGAAGTTTGAGTCATAGTCAACATTTGAGTCTCCGAGACGGATCATGGCTCGTCCGTTCTATGTAATTATTTTTTTTTAATGTTAAATTTCTAGTGATTTTATGCGATGGGAATGAATATGCACCTGATAAAAGATTTGTTTTAGGAGGACAGGTTCCAGGGCAGGTTCCAGGGTTTCTTTTACTTCCTCCAGAAGGCAAGGGTGACCCAGACGAATGCAGTTTTCCAGTGTTCTCATAAAATTTCCATCGTTGAATTTCATCACCTAATCAGCGCGAGTATCAGCGTTATAATTTTTTCTACGTAATTTTTAATCGAGCACTAATACACCTTTAGACTTCTATCGCCTTCATTCTGTTTAATCCATCGGTTTGCCTGATCCTGTGGATCAATCATTAGAGGCCAGCGTCGCCCGCGTGTCGCCAATATGGCATTTTCTGTCGAGGTATTGTCCCTCGGAAGACCGTTCGCATTCCAGACGCGAACCTCGAATGGATCGGCTAACGAAATCAGACTACAAAGAAAACAAAATTGTAATAATTCAAGCAATTAGTAAATATTTAATTATTTACTTGAATCCTGGGGTGCACGGAAGTCCATGTTCTACACATTTTGTGCTCCATTGTTCAACCAATTCTTGTCGGTAGTCACTCGTAAAAACGCCAAAATATGCGATACAAGCCGCCCCGATGAAAACGTCGCCAATAATATTTTGCATCTCTTCGTCAAATCTCTGAATTGTTTCTCCCCATCTCGTCTGCTCGGAGGCTAAGGCTTTCGTCAACCGTCCAGCACGGTTTAGTCGAGCAGCGATCAGTTCGAGAGAATCTTCCAAGTCGGTTTTCTCCTTGGTCACATTTGTAAATTGTGTCTGAAGTGCGGCAATCTTCATCTCGACCTCGTTCAATTGTTCCTGTTTTCCACGCAGTGTTTCCATCACTTGATTCAGTTCGGCTTCAGCCGTCAAATAGCTAAACGTGATAAATACACGAGTTATAAATGTGCAATATGTAATTAATTAATATGCATTTAAGTAGTTTGAACTCACCGATTTCGTTTGGGTTCAACAGTCTTAAATATTTTTGCATAGCCGTCAATAGCTCGCACCCAAAGGCAAATTGATTTACAAGCAAGTGACACTTTCTCGACGGATTTTGCATTGAATTTTGGATTGTCAATGTACACTTTGAGTTTCTTGAGGGTATTTTCAGAAATGTTGTCCTTATTGAAGTCGTACAATTTTTTGAGAAAACCAGCATCCGAGAGGAGAAGACGACTCGTGTTCCAATCAGGTTTAGCCCCAAAGAGGATGCACACCGACTCCATCACACTGTGAGGTCAGATAAGGTTACTAATAGTACTTTTTAATTGGTTTCCTTCAACGAATAAATGGATTTTGCTTACGTGCGGACAAGTTCGGGAGGCTTTTGGAATTGACGAAGTTCGTTGATGTCTTCCTTGTTGAGTTGATCGAGAGATTTGACTGCAGCTTCAAGTGCCTGATTAAAAATCAAGAGTGAAATTACATATTTTATTTTTTGCATGCAATATTTTTTACCGGAAGAGCAAGCGCCAAGTCTTTCTGTGCGTCCTCTGCAATGGATAGAAATTTGTTTGGAAATTTGTTTAAAAAAAAACATGCAATGTTATTAGGTAAATATCTTACCTGCAATGGCTTGGGTCTCTATTGCTTTTTCCTACAAGACATGGAAATCATGGAGCTTATAGTTTAATTAACTGTGCTTGGTTTGTATGTATGTTTAGCTATCGTACTTTAGCAGCAGCCTCCTCCACGGTCACATTTCTCCGCACAATGTCCGCCTCGGTTTGATCCTCCGCGAGTCGAACCATAAGATCTTCAACGGCTTGCGATTTTTGAACCAAAATTGGTTCCAACCCTTTTAACTCGATTCGCATCTGTTTCACGACTTCGTTCGTTTCGAGTAATTTCTGAAGAAAAAGTGGAATATTAAATTTTTTTAACGAGATGTCCAACCGTGAAATAAAATATAATTTGTGTTGCACTCAACGGATAACCCATTCTGAATACGAGCCTTCCCCTGGAGAATTTTGTCCCGCTGTTCCTTCAGCATTGTCCCGTAGAGATTAATGAGTTCTAAATATGAGGAGGGCGTCGTGTAGAAGCGGCGGCGCATCTCTTCGTAGTACCGAGCCGCCATCGAGGTCACGCTCTTAAATGGTTAGTAAAAATAGTGTATCATTGAATTAATTTACTTATTCAGGGAGAAATTAAGTATGTTACCTCACCTCATGAACAAAAACGGACACTTCAGCCATGGCTTCAGGGGTGACTTTGTTGAGTTGAATTTTTGACATAAGTGTCACCGCGACGGAAAGAAGAGCTTCAGTTGGCCATTCTGAAAACCAGTTAATCGTACAGCAGTTGACCAGGGAGGGGAACATACGACATCGAATCCTGAAAAGAGATTAATAAAATTGTAATATTTTTTAGAATAAGGGGACTCTTGCTCCTCACCGGAAACTGTCTCCAACCGGACTCATGCACAAAACAATGTGAAGATTGGAACGGATTCGGCGAATAAAATAGTCGTAAAGTTGGTCACGATCCGTTTCAGAAATTCCCAAGTTTTTAGCATCTGCGCGAATCGGGGCTAGCATTCGTTCCAAATCTTCCGGTTCTATGATCAGAATGTAAAGAAAAAAATATTATTCTCATTCATTAAGATTGAATTGTATTTAGTTATTTACCCAGAAGATTCGGCACCTCGCCTGATGAATAACAGGAAAGAAAGATATTCAATTTAAATGTGACATTTAGAACTAAATGAATTGAGATGAAATTTTTTCACGCACCAGAATTCAGGATATTATTGATATCTTCGAGAAACTCTTCGTATGCGATTTGTGTATCTGTGAAGAGGAAGACGATGGGCTCGTTCCTCATTCCGGCCGAGTCGTAAAGTTTCTTGAGATCGTCATGAAACGAGGAGTAATCATAACCACGCATCAGTTCGACTTGGAAACATCTACAAGAGACCAAAATCATAATTATAACTAGAAATAAAATTTGCATGCAAATCTACTAATAAGTTCTCACCGATATCCCGAAATATATGACGCCAACCGGGTCAGAGACTGCTTCCCAGTGCCACCAACCCCCACCAACAACGCATTTCCACGATCCGTTCTCAAAATTCTCGCAATTCTTGCCACATGTTCTGCCGCATCGTAGAAAAAGACGAGATTCATCTCCTTCGGAGTCCCCACGTTGTACTCGTCCAAATAATCGATGAGGACATTTTTAAGCTTTTCCTTGTTCACTATTTCATCATAGACACGATCCACCTTGTTGGTCCCGATCTTCATGAAATCTCCAAATATGATCCCTTTGCACTCGTCCGCATTGGTGAGGACTTTATACGTCGAGGTGCAGATTTCAGCGAGCGAGTTGCAAAAGAGGTGACGATCTTCCGTCGTGGTCAGTCGGTCGTGGAAGACGCGGAGACATTCGTGGTAGTATAATCTGCAGGAAATTAATTTTTAGTGAGCACTACTTTCAATTATTTCTGCACAAATGTTGCTTGACTATACCGAATCAAATGCGCCTTCCTCACAACGACTTCCTTATTTGCCTGCAATATTCCCTGAATGCATTTCGACAAGTCCCTAGACAAGACAAGAATTCCTATAAAACTCAAGTTGATGTTGGGTTAGGTTAGGTATCAACGTTCATGTTAAAACCCGGCTCACGCCAATGTTTACTTCCCTACTCTCACTCAATACTTATTCCCAACCTCACCCAACACTAATAATAAACCACTTTCGTTTTCTAATTTTAATTCATTAGTTTTGACTTAAAGTTTGTTAATTAATAAAAAATAACTCATCTACGATGGACGTGAATTTGAATGTGATTATTGACATCCCCCGTCATCGGCAAGAGATTGTGGTTCGTGACCAAGTTCCAGCATTTTGTCAAGTTTTCAAAATGATCAAACGCGACACTGAAGGAAATAGGTTCTCCAATGACAATGTACATGGTAAGTGTTCAATTATGGCTATTTGCTTGAATGGTTCAATATATATATTTATATTTGGCTAAAAAGAAATATATCTGAATAGATTCTGAGGTTGTGGCAACATTTTATAAAATTGCTCGTCCAGAAATTCCATCTGATGAGGATGAACCATTTATCTACGACTTAGGACGAGTTTCTCCAGAGCCACTTGCAACTGCAGCAGATTCTACACTTTCCCCAGCCGAAGAAGAGATTGTTGTCGACATGGTCAGACGAGCTGGTGACGATGGAATCGAGATTGGTGATTCTGGTCGATTCTTGGTGTGGAAAGATGCAGCTCCAAGAGGTTTTGGACAACCTGTTGCTCGTGTTTCGGGACAATTAAGTCTCAAAACACCAAAAACAGGACAGGGATCACTTTGGAATTATCCCCCAGTTTGTACTCAATTAGGTAACGGTAATAATAATAATAATTACATACATATATATGAATGAACTAAAATATATAGTGATAATATTTTTAATTTCAGGTTGTCGTGCGTTTAATGGAACAAGAGTGAGTGAGCAAAATCCGACATGTTTGAATCACAAGGGCCCCAATACAGGATTCGCAGTCATCGAATTTGGGACATTTGACAGAAATGGACAACGTACTGGAATGGATCATCGTATTCTCTCTTTCACATACGCTAATGGGCAAATGGAAGAACATTTGACCCTAGCCATCCAGTATATCAGAAGACCAGTTGGACAAGAAACAAGAAGGATAATTTTTAGTAATCGGGAGGATGCTGAAAAAACACTCGCTGTTTGGCAGACAGCTGTCCTGTTTCAAATTCTTCGAGACCCTACTTTAGAATACAACTCCACGTCAATCTCACTAGCAATTGGATTGGAACGAGAAGTAAAAGAAGAATTGAGACGAGTTGGACTGGAATTACGTCTCATAATGATGTTGGCCAACAGAGGTGAAGGTGAGAAGATTGAGTTCCCTTTTGGAAGACGAGCAGAGCCAGCTGAAAAATTATCAGACTTAATAACTGCTACTGACGGTGCTCTATATGTTGCTACCGATCCTAAAATCATCTATGGTGGCCAAACTATCAATGCCCAAACAACTAAATTACACTCGGAAACTCAAGGAGATGACACTATTGCCAAATATAGAGCAGAGTTTAACCCAAATGTCAAGATAATTCCACTCGCTTCAGTCCCCAAAGGTGTCAGATCTACTAATTTGAAGAGGATGGAATCTCATCTGCATGTCGGATTGTATGTGGCTTATCTATTCCGCCTAAGAAATCATTTGGACAAAGAGTTCAACCTCACTCATCCACATTCCTTGAACAAAGAGACAACAGCTTCTCATTTTGATGCAAATTCACGAGAGTTGATTCAGAGATTCGTGCTTAAAGAATTTGGAGCTTTGATTGAAATTTTTCCTTGCCCTCATTTCCAATTCATTATTTAACTATGTAATTTTTTGCAAATGTTACATGCACTTTTGTTGTTTGTGTTGAATATGCATATAAATTTCGTTATTAAAGATTCCTTTAAAAATGTTGCAAACCGCATGTTGAAGAGATAGTGCGCCTTGGACGGCGTGGGGAGGAAAGCAGCTGCCATGAATTGGTAAGTCGCAATTGACGCAGTCACAACCGTGTCCGCCATGTCGCGAACTTCTGGGTCAAAATCTTTCAAGAAGCCACGCATAATGGCCTAAAAAAATGGAGAAAATAGTTATATCCTCATAAATTGTGAGGAAACATTTCTATTGGGATTCCTTGTTCACCTTGTAAATATTGTTGAGCACGGTCTGCGTCGGAGTTGGGATGGCCATCATGCAAAAATGTCGGAGCAGACGGGGTGTGACGGCGTTCCTTCCGCCTCCGGGGGGTGCACAAGCCGCCGATAGGATGACATTTTGCAGCTCTCTCCAGTACATTTTTGCTCGGTCGTAGCATCCGTTAAAATCGAGAAGTTGACTGGAACGAATTTTAATGAAGTTTAGTCAATTATTTTTTAAGGGAGAACTTTAGCTATAAAGTTACCGAAGGAGTTCAAGAGCTGGTTGAGCCCCGTAGCGATCCAACTTTGGCATGTTGACATCATCAATGAAAACAATCACTTTTTTTCCCATTGGTGCCGAGAGGAGGGACTTTTTCCGCTTCTCCAGCTACAACCACAACAAATATTTCAAATTTATAAATCCGCTAGCACTTTGTGCGATAAATACAAATTAATTCACCTTTTCTTCAATCATTTCCTGTGTACGTTTGCTGGTCGTTTGAGCCGAAAAGTTCATGAAAACGGGGAGATAATTGTTCGGACCGGAAATGGTGGTGAGGACATATTTTGCGATGGCAGACTTGCCCGTGCCTACAGAAATAGGCATACGTTAAGTGCGTCCAGTTGATTTTTTATTTTGCTAATTATAGTACCAGTGGGTCCCGTGAAGAGAACTGCTCTGTTAACTGAGAGTAAAAGTTCCATGAGATATCCGAATCTAACGGTGTCAACGGTGGGGACAAGCACGTCGACAAACGGGACGGACGATTTGTATACAAAACTCGGCATAACTGAAAACGTAAAATGATTGAAATTATTTATTTTAAGTCATAAAACGTGCATTGAATATTTAGTCAAGAATATTTAGTCCAAGTCATATGACAAAATTTTTACCAGTTTCCCACGCATCCATCTTTTTAGTCTCCAAATTGTTAAAGTAACCCCAAAGCAGGCCAGATTTTGGCATTCTGAAAACAAGACCAAGTCTCATCCTCAGTTATGCACGATTAATTTAATTGCAAACCCTATTTTTTTAAACTTACTTGCACAACTCCTCATTTGCGAACTGTCCTCGAACAAACGCATCAAAAGCTGCATGGTATCGATCCTGAAGATTACTTCCGATAGACCAAATGTACGCAAAGAGGAAGACTTGAGACGTTTGTTGAAGAAGACGAGGCAGTTCCATGTCAAAATCAAACGTTTTCTTTTTCAGGATAGCCTGGAGAATGGCACACATCATGGAAATTTTCCCCATGACGGATTGTGGCATCACTTCACCTGCCCTGTAGTAGAAAGACTTATGTAATATTTCACACTCATGTAATTTCTGAAAGAAATCCAGCTTACACGCAATTTTTTCTGACGAATGAGAAACCACCGTCGACATATTTGTCAAAGAGCTGGAGAAGATAGTCTCTGATGGGGGCTTGGGCTGAGGTCAGATTTCTCTGCATCCACGACTGGACGAAAGGCTTCCACCCCATCTCGTTCGGGTCGACGTACACCATTCCACATCTTGCATGCAAATTGCCGTAGTGAATTTAAAAAAATAAATTACAAGTAATAACATGCAAATTTGCATACCTCGAAACTGTGGCAGGCGACGCTTGAGCCAAGTCTTGAACTGTACGTACATAATATTATATATTTTTTAATTTCGTCAATTTGTTTGCCTTGTTTTCCTCGTGCATTGAGCGATGTTTTGAACAATAAATTTACCCTCAAACATCATCCGAACCCAATTTGTAAGCTTGATGCGTTCAGAATTTGCTAGGCAGAGCATTTTATTATCGTCCAACACGGTGTTCATGTTTTCAATCCAGATGGCATCGACAGGGCCGTCGCAAATGATCCATTGGTGGTGGGTCATCTTGGGCTACAGTTAATTATTTGATGCTTATTTTATTAACTTTTTGTATTTTCTGGGCGATTTTGTGCACATACCAGGACAGCATTTCGAACCATGATTCCCAACAAGCCGTCATGCCACTCGAAAGTGAGGGGATTTATGTCCCCGTAGAGTTCTCCGATGGCGACGGCTTTGGGGTTGAGAATGTACGTGTCGACCGGTTGGTAGAAAGGATGGTCAACTTTTGCCTGGTACAAAGAGGTCAGCGCATTCTTCAGGACTCCGTAGATTGCCGTTTTGCCACCTCCGGTAGGCCTGCAGTTAAAATTCATTCATTTTGCATGGGTAAATTTTATATACGATATTTTGAAACGATAATTAAGATGCATGCTGAATTACCCGACCAACATGACACCATGTCGGACCACCATCGTTTCGTAAAGCTGGATAACTTTCCGAATAAAACATTCCGGCGCTTGGAGTCCTTTCTCAAGCGCACAACGGACAGATTCTCGTTGCAAAAGACCATAATCTTGCTCGGGAATCACGACACCAGGGAAAAGATCGGCTATGATGCCCTGATATAATTATTTTCATTGAATAATGCAAGTTTTAACCGGACGAGTTTGTGTCCGCAAAAATAACAATAAGTACTCACGTGGAGAAGAACGGCGTCATGTGCAAGAAATTTTGGCAAATTGGAGTCTCTCAATGCTCGAATAAGGACCACATTTTCGTTAATGTCTGGATTTGATCGTTTCAAACTGCCAGCCATAACGAGGACAGATTTCACAGCTCGCATTCCAAAGTCATAATGGTCCTGTTGGGATAACTGTTCCGAGCAGAGTTTGTACATTTGGGTCATTTTGTGAGCTAAGGATTTTGAGGATTCGAATCCTTCCGAGTATAAAATAACTTCCGCAATGAGGGCTGCAAAATAGAAATATGCATAATTAATTAACCAAGCCTCATTTAGGTTTATTTATAGGCTCACTATAATCTGGAACCATCATTGAAATCGGACGAAACAGGGACTTGAGATTGTCCGGTAACTCCGTACGTCCAGCATAACCTGAGCGCAATGAGTAATATGATGAGCACAAAAACTTAACGAATAAGAAATATTGCCCCAAGTGACGCCACTCGGGAATAAGGATACCTGGATTCATGGTGATAAAAGCAGCACAAGTCCGAATAAGTTTTATTTCATGTCCTTCAAACATGAATCTCGAGAGTCGTGCCACTTTAGCGAGTCGAATAGTGATAAGTTGTTGCGCAATGACGGACAAGACTTCAATGTCGATTCGATTAAACTCGTCGAAACAGCACCACCCACCAGATTGGGCTAGACCGGAAAAGAATCGTCCCATCATCTAAAAGAATAGCAAATGTTCCCTAAAAATTCCCTCAAAAAAATGTTGTGACGTAATTGATTGTCACCTTGTAGTCAAGTCCTTCCGAACAGTTGAAGACGACGCACATGAAGGCGAGAGATTTCGCCAAATCTTTTGTCGTCTCGGTCTTGCCGGTTCCTGCCGGTCCTGCCGGCGCTCCACCTGATCTCAAACATACGACTCATTAAATTTTGGAAGGACTTTTACCTCCTCCTTTTTGATTTCATGCCTTCATATTTCTTTACCTAAATCGAGCTGCAATGCTCCCATTAAACACAGATAGCAACGATCGGTTAGAGCTGAAAAAAATTTAGTTTATTAGAAATATTATTCATTTATTTTTAGAACTAGGCGTTTAGCCTGTCATACGACAGATAGAGCCACCTATGGAGCCACACTCACGCGATTCAAACAGTAGCGGAGCGAGTATGCTCATGTGTGCGTAGATGGCTCTATACCGGTGAGCAGGCAGCCAGTCAACACTACGCTTTTATATATAGGATGAGTGGCATAGAACTGTTCAACCGGGAGTAGTAAAAAGACGAGTAAAAACTTTGTGTTTTTTTATATTTGTTAACAAATATTGTCATCAATTCTCAAAACAATGTCATCGAACAAAGTAACCTCACCCTCTCCGGTGACTGAAACTGATAAGGTAAACAAAATAAGGATAGGATATAATACAGAAATTGTCAGACAATAATAATGTTGTGTTCATAGGTTTCTTCCTCCTCTGCTAAGAAGGCAAAGTATTCCTGGGAAATGATTCCCCAAGAGCCACCTAAAATTGATGACCTCCCACCGCAGTACAAAGGCCGGACCATTGTTGTGAGGGAGGTAAGAAAGGAGTGGAGCTCAGTGGGCAAGGTCATGAACATGAATAAAAGAGACAAACATGAGGATAAATCAGACAGTGGCGTGGGAAAAATAAGGGACACATTCTACGCTCTTGTTCGTCCAAAAGAAGAAGGGGATGAATTTGACTCTCCTGACTTCGCAAAATGTACTCCAGAGGGTTATGCCGAGAAGGTGCTGGAGCCATTAAGTAAAAACGAGAAGGAGGAGGCGATCAGGCAGATCAAGGCATCCAAAGATGGAATAAAAGTGGATGATACAAATAAACATCTGGTTTGGCGAAAAATTGCTGCCTATGAGAGACTAGTTTTGGATGATCACACAAATGATAGTACCGGAGGAAGAGTTATTTGCATGTTTGATGGTGAGAAATTTGGTTCATTTTATTAAAAACTGTTTTCTAAGTATGTATTTGATTTCAGAATGTTTCAAATATCTGGGGACGTCTGGTGCATCCCCATTTTGTCACTCCCATAAGAGCAAGTGGGAATACGTCGTTTCAGATTATGAAGACAAAGGAAGCAGAATGACAACATTTTTTCACGTCATAACCCCTTTACATACGAAGATGCGGAATGGAAGGCTAAACGAGCTAGTATGGCTATGAATAATATAATTACTGCCGGTGGGGATTTACAGTTTTGGAACAGTTACGTTAAAGAATTCACAGATGCAAAGTTACCTCCTCCGACTTGTACTGAAATTCTTGGTCAAAGACGATACTTTTCAACAGAAGAAGAGGCCAACAAAGTCTATGCAGCGAGACAGGTACTTAATTTAAACAATTAATTAACTCATTCAGTTGATCAACATTTTTTATCATTTTGTAGTTTGTCACACTTTTGAGAAAACTAGTCCCAGCAACATCAACATTTCGCTATTTGAATAAGAATGTAGCGTTGCCAAATGGAGCGGAGAAAGAAGTATTAGAAGAAATGAAAAATTGGGGAATGCAGCTCGGTATCTCCAAATACTTGGGTCGTGAATTCAGGGCTACCCTCCCTTACCCCTTTGGTAAAGAACGAGAAGGAAAAGACGTGATTTCTTCAATGGTGGTGACCAAAGAGCGTGGGGCACTCTACGTGGTGTCTAACCCACACATTAATTATTTCGGGAAGACCCTAATTGGTAAAAAGCTTCATTTGGCCACTGGTGATCAGAATGACACTGTGACCAAATACAGTTTGATGGAACATCACCTTCCCTGGGAACTGATTCCCTTGTCCTCTTGTCCTGTGGATGATTTGGAGACAAACGAAGCTCATCTTCACATCGCGAACTCTTTCGCCGACCTTCTTCATCTACATCAACAATTTGTCTCAGACCCCCCTTACACTTCTCCAGCAGGATCCACTCCTTATGACGCCTATCCTATCTGCCTTAATAAATTCACTAATGCCAAGTTCTTGGATGATACTTCGTTCACCAAAATCAATCAGTTTATGTTAAAGTGTTATGGAGTTGAGATCTACATTGGTCCAACGTATTAATTTGTAGCCTATATGTACTATTTTCAGAATTTGATTTAAATGTTACCTATTACCAGTAATGACAAGTCGGGGTGATGCGCCCAGATATTCGTAGCCATAATTGTACTGAGCATTAGCCATTTTAGCTACGACAACCTCCTCCCCAGAATTCCAGTAGTAGCGGAGTTGCTTCAACCATTCAAAATTGGAACTAACCAATGAATCAACATACAATGTAGATGTTAATTTAGTAGGAAGTTTAATTTCTGTAGAACGAACCTGGTTTCTACTTTTTTCACCACGAGACTTGTGATAATGTCTCTTCCGTGGACGTCGATGGTGATAAGGGCGCAGAGAACGGCTCTCACCAGTGGAGGCAGCTGACCTCGCACCATTGCAGCAAGTTTTTTGAGATTCTGTAGAGTTGATAGAGAACAAATGGGTAATTGATGAACAAGCAGATTTAGTGAATGAATGGACTTATGTACCTCAAAATTCTTCTTTTCGAACTCTCTCATCCCTAAAATTGAGTTCCCTGGGCCTAGAATGTTACGATTATTAGTATTAATTGTATTCCTAAGAGTGGTGTGACCATGTCCGTACCGTCAAGAATCATGTGGACGATTTGTGCCCACATTAATTGTGAGATGGATAGAACGCACTACACAAAGTGATCCAAATTATTAGTACTGATCATTCTGATTTCCTACAAATAATAATAGAATGGCTGACCTGTGATGGAAAACGCTGCACCCATTCCTCCCTTTCCATCAAGTGCCAATCTGTGAGACAATTCCTCATGCTTCGTTTTAGGGAGGCAAACATGGCATCCTCCACTTTCCCCAGCCATTCCTGCAACAATTTGCAAGTAATACGGATAATTGCAAATCACTTAATTAACTCTTAAAGTATGTATGTACCTCCACGTTTCCTCTCGTTTTGAGCCCCTTGGTTAAAGCTACTCTTTCCTCCTCTGGGGAAAACATGGCCGTAATGTCCTTCACCACGGCGGAAGCAGGACCACCAAACGTCAATCTTTGCACAGCGTCGAAGCATTTTCTCAAATGGGGTTCTGTAAATTAAAGACAGAAGAATGGTTATAGAAAAGACCAAGACTCGTTTCACAGTGAGTTCATGTACACACTTACGCACAGCCGATGCGTTTCGAGTCTAATTTCAAGGAGAAAACAGATGGAAAATTACTTTAACTCGTAAATTATCATATATATTGTTAAATACTAGCGAATCTCACTCACTTGAGCCAAGATTTCCAACAACTCCTCATTCGAGAGGAAGTAAAATCGAGGAAAGATGACTCGTTTCGACTCCAAATAGTCATCAAGGCACTTCATGATCTGCTCCAACAATTTGTTGCTAGAAATGAACACTTCGAGCAATCCGGGTGTCGTGGCCGCCTTCAGAGCTAAGGGGTTCTAAAGACGTCCCAATCGAAACATGCATTTGTAAAATCGTACATATTATTTAATATGTACATAGCATGCCGATTTACTCTGTTCGTTTTGGACATGATTTCCCTCCACGATTTATCCACCTGGGAAAACATTTTTGCCTCGCTTGGCAGTTGTCGTTGAATGTCCGGTGCGGAAAAGACGGATTCCAAATGAATCCAATTCCTTTGGCAGTTCATCCACTCGTCTAATGTGTTTGAAAATAGATCGAGAAGCTTGACCCATTCGTCCACCTTCGGTTTGATTGGGCCGACATGTCTCGATGACGAAATCGTGGTCATGTGGATGAGAGAATCGTCCAACAAAACTTGAATATCGTCCGTCCCACCAAGAATGAAGACGTCTCTTTGATCCTTATGTGACAGCACGATGAATTCCACGTCCTGCCAGGAATCCTCCACCTTTTTCAGTAAAGCTTCCAAACTGAACTCACTACTCGCTTGGGCTGACATTTCCTGAATAAATTCCGCAAAATCCGCAATCCCCTGATCCGTGAGCTGTAGAAGAGTCGTGGTTGGGTCCGTCAGCGTTATCCCCATCTTGGCCTCCATCACGTTCCAATGTCTCTGTCGAATATTTGGGTTGTGCAGATTGGCAATCCAGGGGAGCTGGAAACGCATATTGTCCACTTTGTCCTTGAGAATGGGGACGACCTCGTTGGGTGGCAGACCTTTCTCCAATTGCTGGATACTCTTCACGTAGTCATTCACTTCTCGCGTCATGTTCTCTGGAACGAGGGTGGAAAACGGGGTGGCGTCCCACTCCTTCTTTTGAACGTCCCATCTCGCAAGGGAATCCCAAAGTTGGTGACGAATCTTGGTGAATACGATGAGTTTGTCGAGTTCCTCAAAATCTGTGACGTCAACTTTCAACTTTTTCTGATAGGATGTAAATTTTGCCGCTTTTTCTTGATCGGCCAACAAAATGTCGCGAACTTGAGTTAATTTGTGGCTCAGAATGATAGGATCAGAGGTCGGATTGAGGACTTCGGGGGCCTGGACGACAACTCGGATTGTGTTCACGCGACCCCAAATCTCTTCCGTTTCAATTCGAAACTGTTCCATTAATTCGGCCATGAGTTTCTCCCTGTTGGCGGTTTGTGCATCGATAAGTTCACGCAGAGTGAGGAGGGTGGGTTGTAGGGATTCAAAGCCGGCTAAGTCTTCTGGGGTGGACTCGATTTTGTAGTCCTCCATCAGATCGAATAACTCGGCAGTAATGTCCAAGTCTTTTTCGATTTCTTCCATCTGCATGAAATTTTAGCTATAATATTGGCATGGCATGTCAATAATGTGCAGTTTATCACTCACCTCATCCGAAATCTCCTCCATGTACATTAAATATTTTACATAATCGTCCGCCAATTGGGGATAAGTTTGAAGGTGGTCAATCGCTTTCTGCATTCTCGCCGTGGACTCGACCACATTTTGCGCTCCAACACTTTAATTAACAACAATGGACAAAAGCTTAATTTTTATATCAGTAAAGATCGTCACTCAACTCAATAAACGGCTTAATTACACGGGCATGACTTCGTCAAGAACGTCCAGACATCGTTGAATCGTCGGATTGGCATGAGCTCGGAGAATGGAATTGTTAACGCGGAACACACCCATCGACTTGAGATCTTCAACCTTTTCCAGAGTGGCTTTCTGCTCCCAAAACTTTTCCAGCCAAAGTTGAAACTTTTGCACGTCTGAAATAACAGGGTAAAATCAGTAATTTTAATTTTATTAGCTTTGCACAAGTTCTAATTGCCTGTCTCATTTCGAAGAATGTCCAAATCTAGCTTCTGATTTTCTAAGCAGAATAAACGAATCGAGTTGAAGGCAGCAATGTACTGGTCCGACATTTGAAAGCTGTGACGGAGAATTAGCTCCCCAATTGTTCCGAGGCCGTCTAAATCATAATCCAGATCTAAAAAGAGTTTGAAACTTGGCCCTTCTCCGCACGTTTTAGGATCAACGTAGCCATTAATGATGGGTCTGCGAGAGAGAATAAGCAGGAAACAAATTAGATGCGTACATACATACACAAGCTGAGATTATTTTTATGAGTAATAAATTTATGTGCACTCACTGCGTGTACGGGTTGAATTGTGAAATGGAGAGCATATTGTCGTACGAAAGAACGGCGTCACGCCACGCCCCCAGCACGGTGTACCAGCCTTTGACATACTCCACGATTGAGGGAGAGAACACTAGACCTTCGTCGTTCCAAAAGCAACCAATGTCAAACATGGGTTCCGCTACCCCCGAGAGAACTGGCGACCCAAACTATGCAGGAGGAAGAAATAAGTTGCACATTAGTTCAGAAAGTTCAAAATCTTTTTGCTTTGTGAATTATATGTAAATAAGTTCAACTCACATGAAGATCAACGTTGTGCTGCAATTCTGTGAAAGCCTCCTCGTCTTCAAAATCTGCGTAATATGGTTCCGGAACGAACGGAAGTCTAGCGTGCATCTCCAAGACGAGTAGAAACATGGAGTTCTTCAGTAATTTGTGATAAGCCCTGTGCCACAGAATAATAATCAAGACGTTCAATAACTCTTAACAAAATACGTGTAATTTTAATTATTTGTGTCAATCACCTCTGAACCAAATAGTCGACTAGGCGAATAAAATCCGTGATGCGTTTGCACACTTGGCGTTTTTTCTTTTGTTGTGAAAATGATAACCATTGTCCAGGATAGTCGAGAACTATGGCCAAATTCTGGTGGTAAAAGGATTTATACAAATTTATCCATGAATAGCGTCTTCTGAATTTATTAAGCCAAAGGTATGATTACCTTTCCCAAATGCTGGACAGGCATCTCCAACTGTTTCATATAAAATTCCATCTCTTCTGGATACTGATCTGGAGAGAATCCTTCCTCAATAAGGGCTGCACGACAAGCAGCACCCGTCATTTCTATCACCATTCCTTCAAACGCTCGAAATCGTGACCCCACTCCATCCAAATGACGAATCTAAGGAAATATCAACCAGTTTCAATAAATATGTATGTTTCACAAAATCAATCTTTATCTTTAAAATTTTGTATGCGTACCTGAGACTGGACAAATTCTGGAAGAGCGTACGTTTCCCCATGTTGAATGTTGAGGAGTGACATGGTCGTCAACTTTTGACACATTTTTGCCAACTCTAACAACATAATTCGAAGGGGACGCTTCGTGAGGAAGAGATCGCGAGCAATATTGAACTTAATATTTCTCATCTTCTCCTCTCGGACTATGTAACGCCACAAGTAGAACGCTTTCCAGACGCGAAAGTTGAAGAAAAATGGAAGCTGTACAAAAATTACTCACTGAATATCCGTGAATTAAACATTATTTAATTACATGTCGCCTTCATACCGAGCGACATTTGTCGTAACATCGCATGTGGGTGTGGATGTGGAGCATGGAGATAAAGTCGGCCATCCCATTTGCAAAATACAAAGCCCCGTAACGACTCACAGTGTAGTGGATTCTGTTCCCAACTTGACTATATTTTACTATTCTGCAAAAAGCAATTAGAGACATTAGGTTTATGAACTTTAATATAAGTTAATTAATTAATAAACGTCTCACTTGAGGTTGTAGGGATTGTACTCTGGATGAGAAAATGGCAATGAATAGACGACACAAATGTAGTCATTATTGTAGTGTTTTTCCATTCGTAACAAAAGCTCCACGAATTGGGCTCGAGATAGAGCAACGCCTTCCGGAACTCCCCACAACTTTTGGGTGTCTGAAATTTAGGGAGTATTTTTAATTCATAAATCATATGCATATGCAAATACATAAATTTATACGTACCGATCGCACTACGAACAATTTCTCCTGGAGGGAGGCACTCTTGATATGCCATAGTTCTATCCAAGCATTTAGGATAGCCTGGGATTCCTCTGTGACCCACGTAGCGTTCTTTTATGCTCACTGGCTTCTTGGCTTCCTCCTCCAACACTGAACAAACCCAAAATTATTGATGGTGATTACGAAACAAAGTAAAATTGTCGAAATAATTAATTACGGCAAAGCTTCTCATTTAGCGACATATCAGATCCGCCCACCATCGTTCCTCCCTCTGTGAAATCGTCTTCATTAAAATGCTTCCACTCGGGTTTCTGTTATAATTTGCAATTCATAATTTAGAATAGATTTAGAATAAATTCCTAATACTCCAACCCACCACGACTGACGGCATCGCCTCCAACACAGCTTTGTTCTTCTCCAATTGATCCGGACAAATGCTTTCATCCTGAGGACGACGTAATCTGGTCGGCAATTTGGTCGCGCTTCCAGCATAGCAAGACTGTTGAGATGATTTTTCTAGGGTTCGACGTGACGTTGCGCTCACCACTCTGGTCAAAGTGGCCGAAGATGACCCACGGCAAACGTCATCTTCAGGTTTCTTTTTCAATTTTTCGGGTTCCACTCTGAAAATAAGTGACACCAGTTGGTTATTTTTTAGTTTACTCCCCGACCTTCTCAACTTTTAGAGTACTTTTGTTTGCAGGGCACTCTTCTCAAATTGCGTCTGGGTTTCGAATCCTCATCGGACGACTCCTGCTCAAAAATGCCTGGAAAGAGGATTCGTTTCTTGAGGTAGAGAATGTCCTCCTCTCTCGGCTTGAGGTTGTGGTGAAGTTGGTCCAGACGGGATACGCCGGCACGGGAAGAACCTATCGATGTCTGCGAGAGTTGGAAAGATGGTCCCATTTCCAGCGTAAAATTTGACTCTGATGGTGGCAAGATCTTATCCCTGGGACCAGAAGAATAGATATTTTGACCACCAGCAGCACCACCACCACCACTTTCGCGATTACGTGAAGTACGCTTTTTTGGGTGACTTGTTCTAAAATAAATCAGAACATGGTCAAGGAACGGATAATCGTCATGTCATCACAATCGTCACCTTTTCGGAGGACGTGATTCTTCGTCCTCCTCTGCTTCGTCCAACGAAGGTCGGCCGGGTCCGTGAACTATTCTATTGTTTACCATGCTCTTTCGAAGGAGACGCATAGCTTTAGAATCAGAATTTCTGGCAGGTTTGTCCTGCTCGCTCTCAACGTGATCCATTATGATCACCAAGACTTGTGAGTGGTGGCTCGGGCTCTGTTATAATTTATTGATATTGTTTTTAATTGGCGTTTAATGTTTAGTTTCACTTCTAGTTCAGCGTACGAAAAATAATATATGGAAATCTTGAGTAGAATTGGTTATGCAGGCTGGAAATAAACGTGAGAATATTGACCAAACTGCCGAAAGACGGAACGCTCCGTTGCCGTTAGTTACCAATAAGAAATATTCACAAGAGAACGTAATGATGATTCTGCAGACATGCATAATCTATAATTTTTCCATTAAAATTATCACATTCACAATGTTCCTAGTTTGGCTTCTTTACTGTACAAAATATAATGATAGCTACATGCCAAAATAAGTTGGTTATGAATATTATTTTCTTTAGTTTTCTTCATAATCCTAATAAATCCATGTTCAATTTTTTATCCATGCTGAGTTTTACCATCCATGAATATATTTCGCATAGCATATGTAGCTATGATAATTAGCATATCTGATGATTTTCCTACGTACGTAAAATTTCAATTTTTTTACACGTACATAAGTTATACATATAAATATAAAAGGGAAGTAGAAACATTACTAAAATGGCACGGGAGGTGGACTCATCTTAAAATATGTAGCAAAAGTAGAATAATAAAAGTAGAATAATAAAGCAAAATTCTAATCCGTATAAATTCGTTCATTATTAAAGTAAAATAAAATAAAAAGAAAAGCATTAGAAATTTAGTCTTACCAAATATATAATTAATTTTTTTTTGTTTCGACAATGAAAGATTTAAAATAATTGAAAGTTAATAAATCGACAATCATACGAAATTTAAAGGTTTGTTCATAATTTGTACAAATTAAGTATTGACGTTCAACATTTACAACAAAAACTCGCACAAAAGAATTCATACATTCAGTTACAGCCACCCAGCAAAAGTTTGCGTTATGTTTTCCCATTACACACAAATTTTTCCCACGGTATTATTTTTTGTAATAATATCTTTCTTGTCGTGTCGAGGTTAATAATTATGTAGTTAACTTTGGTGACCCAATTATTGACACTTTGCTTTGTCATGTAATGCTTTTAATTAGTATTGAGACCATTTAAACGCTTAGATTGCAAAGGAAAAAAACAAGAGTGAATAAAAATCTCATGCATGTATTTAGTTATTTATTTACTTTTATCACTTATTACATATTTGACAAGACATGCCTAAATTAAGACATCCGATACATATTTATGTACATACAAAAACTTGGCTAACATGCAATTTCTTTGCGTTGAATTACTTACGATAGTGTTTGTTGTTGTTTATTTACTTATATTTATATAAATGACAGTCTGTTTGCTTCTTGTGGTTGGTTAAGTGAATGATTGATGCGGTTAATCGTTAATGACCACGAACGAAACCAAACCAAGCCACAAGATAAAATATTTAATAATAGGTCTTCCCCTGCCGCGGCTTTTTTCTTTTGCTGATTAAATGAAATGCTGCATTACTAATGCTGTATTACTTAGCTTTATAAGAAGAAATATGACCAAGTGTAAACAAATTGATGTGACAAAAGTCTGAAATAAGAAGAAGGAAAATATGTGACACAATTCCATTTCATTGAAAATAAGGAAGGATTATACAGAATTTAGAGCAGAAGGGAAGAGTGAAATAGTTCAGCAAGATAAGCAAAGAAAAAAGTTTTTCAGGGACAGAATGGATAAGATGTGTAAGTGAAATTGATAATTTAGCCAAAGAGGAAAAAAGAGATAGGTAGCTAGAGATGTGTAAGTAGGCAGTGCGATACATAAAAAAGTGTAACAATTAAAAAATAGGCCAACTTTTCGCAATAAAAATAAAAATGTGGTAAAAAAATGACTAAGATTTTCTTCTCCAATTTCCTTAGAATGTTTTTCCAGCCGTGAATCTGTTGATCATGTCGAACGTCCATTCCGGTTTGTCATGAGGCGCGACATGACCCGCATTTCGGATAAATAAGTAGATAAGATTTCTAGCGTTTTTAGAATACCCGGCAATTTCACGGTTAACTTTCCATATTTTTCGCTCTGACGTGGCGTAGTCGTCCGAGCCCTGTTAAATTTATTTTAAAAAATATCCCCCAAATTCTAAATAGCTCCTAAATTAGTAAAAAAAAATACTCCTTATTATTACATACCTTCCACTTTAGTGATCTTATGAACCTCGCAATTCCCGTGTGTGGCACAGCCATGTCCAACTGTGACGAGTAGATGATCATTCTGTAATCGGCATCGAGCAATTCTTCGACCCATGGTTTCACGCTTTGGTGGAAGTCTTGCCTCATATATTTGAGGACGGAGGAATTGAAATTCTGATACGGCGTGGCCCCCACGTGGATCGCGTGGCGAACATAGTCCCGCTGAATGTACTGCTGGTAAAATCCATACGTTTTGGGACGCGTTTCCTCCAAGTAGTTCTTGTTGAAGTCAAATCCTGTGACATTTTTGAAATAGGTGGGGAACGGGGTAAAATCTCCGTGAAGAAGTTCATCCATTAACTACATACATTGAAAAATATCGAAAATTTAAGTGTTTTGCACGTCGTTTTTTTCTGCGTTTTATTAGAATAAAATTTGAACCTCTGTGTGTAATTATTGTTACGAAATAGACATTTTACTTGCTACGTCTGGTTTGTCTCAGGATTAGTGGGAATTTAACAATATTACGTGAATTATGATTTCGTGGTGTGAGTAAAGCAATCATTTTAATGTTTACTGTAAATGATTGAAAGTGAGTGAATTGAATTGTTTCCCGTCGTTGGAATCAAGAAGCATTCTGATATTAAATGTTGTAATTTTTAAAACGCCTTTAAACGTAGGGTGCCTCCGTTTTTGCATTCTTATGTGTAAGCTTACACACACTGTGCAAATACGTACGTACATGCAGTAAATGTGGATATCGACTGTATGGGAAATTATTGAACTTTTCTTCACTACCATTTACTTTTTGGTTGCGAAATCAAATTATACAATTTCCCTGCTAAATGAATTGTTTTTATATAAAATGAAAAACAAAAAACTTTAGGGTTTAGGCTGGTTGGTGGGTTTTAATCAGCATAAATATGAGTATGAGCTCTATATGAGTTAAACAAAATAATTTATACTCAAATTTCCAACTTGTAAATGAATCTGATTTAATAATCAGATCGAATTTTCTACTTTTGCATCTCATTCATAATGATTTTCTCTCATCTGGCATTTAATTTTAAATATAATAATTCTGCTAGACATATTTCCTGGCGTATGTATTATACAAAAAAGCCTACCTATACAAAAAAATCGTGAATTGTTCCAAAGCTAATAAGTAAGTACGTCACTTTTAATTTTCAATATGACAAAATTGTCATATTTTACAAATTATTATGGTGTTGTGATTTACTCTCCTTTTTCTTGTGCATATGTAGGTATTTGTTATTGTTGGTTGGTATTAACCTTTACTTATGCAAGCAGAATTGCAGCAATAAATAAATATGTATCTGGGTCAGAGATACATAAACAATGCTCATGTACATAAACTGCACATATTCATACTGAATATCTACTAACCTCTCCTATCTGTTTATCTTATTCACACCGGTAGGAGTGGAGTAAGGCAGAATACGTTATCTATAATAAGATAAGCTATATGCAGAATGAAAATGAAACCTGTGTATGTAAGTATTTAGTTAGTCATGCAGAAATAATGAGATTGTGACATAATATGGGATGGACGAGACCTTTACACCATTTAGTCGCACAGTCTGTCTTCACACTTTTTGTCGTGTCGTGTAAAACAAAACAAGACGTACAAATGAATAGTCTTCACCTTTATCATACATTTTTAAGCCAGAAATGAACTAATGACGCGATGATGGATAAGACTGCGATTAGTTTAATTGACTCTCAAGTTACGAAGAAAAATGCTAAAAATTGCACTCTGGTTACTTGCTCAGAGATAAAATCTTAACTTGGTTGGATGCAATTTTTTTGCATTGCATAATTTTTGATTTTTTTGCTTACATTGTCGACATCCAGCCATCTCCCCTTCGAAATCAGGTCCTTACTCTCGGCATACTTTTGGTCGAAATGAGCCCTTCCATTTTCATCGATTAGTCCGATGTTGTACATGAATTCGCCAAAGTCAATCATCGACACGGGATCGACGAACGGAGCTCCGAGGATTAGACCGCGTAGATTTATCCGAACTGCGGGGAGCTCTTGGTTCGTTTTGTGAATCTTGTATGCAATGCTGAGTGCGTATTTTCCTAAAGAGAGAGAGGAACAAAATTGCTAAAATTTTTGCAAAAATTTTGCAAAAATCTAAAAATGGTTACCTCCATAAGACTGCCCCGCAATGTAGAAATCTCTCGATTGATAGTTTGGGAAAAGGGTGAAAAATTGGGTCAAAGCGTTATATAAATCGCGTGAGACGTCTTTTTCATTTCGGGCGTACCCGTTTTCATCCTCAGTAAAACTGAAGCCTATTATTTAACGGCAATAATTTTTGAAATTTTATAAAATATAATAATACCCGGGTAATAAATATTTAAAGCAAGCAACCCACCACATCCCACCGGATTATCGATGTACAACACGGAATGCGTCAGTGACCAAGGATTACTTCTGAAGCGAAGATAACTCTTCGAGTCGACGAGAAATGGTCCATGTTCGGTAAAAAGTCCGAACAACGAGGGTGCCCCAGGACCTCCTTGCAACCAGAGGACGACAGGAGCATTTTCAGAGTTGTACTAAAACGGAAAACATTTTCATACGATAAGCTACCATTCGTAGTGGATAAGTTGCCTTATCAGTCTCACCGCTGCGGGGAAGAACCAAAAGAACATGTTGGAATTGTAGGTGGGGTGCACATTAAAGAAGCCCGAGTAGCTTAATACCTTTGAGAAAGAATAAAATAAATGAAAGTTCATTGACTCCAGGGTTAAAAAAGTGAAAACTCATTTATACCAAACATGAGTTCATAATAAAAATAAAGACGCACCCTCGTGAAATTGGTGACCCTCGACAAGTTTTGGGCACGTTCGATCTCTCCTCGCGTTATGTATGGCGTCACGATGAGACGATCGCTGGATTCACGATTCTCCGAGAATATATTGGTCACCGAAGGTCTGCTGGGCGACGGGATGTGTTGCGACATCACCGCCACGCCAAAAAGCGTTACGACGAAGAAATGATTTGTTAATGATGTGATAAAACCCATTTTATAAAGATCCGTTCCAAATTTTGAACAACTTTTAAAAGAACGGAGTCACAAATTTCACTTTTTAGTTAGTTACTGACTACTTTAAATATTTCCGACACAAACTCACATTATTATTGAACAAGGGACACGCAACGCACACGGGAAGCTGTTTGATGGCAAAGGATCGAAATTGGACTGAAATGCCGTGGGATTGGGGAGTCCATTTTCAATTTAATTGATTGGTAGAAACATAACATTAGGTCATCTTCGCTTCACATGGCGTTCAAGAAATTGCAGATCTTCTGTGTATACGATATCGGATGGAAAAATACATGCACTATCGTCGTAAACGCATGTACATGAGTAACGTAATGGGTGACATAATAATAAAATCGTATTATTCACACAGAGTTGGATGGTAAGTAAATGTGTGTGTTGAGCTGTTTTTTAAGTTCAGGACAGTGAAAAGTTCTCACGGATAGTGCAACAATCTCGCTCAGATTTATTTATATGGGTTGGGGTTGCGTTGCATTTACACTAATAAATTCTGATAAGACAGTAAAATGCAGTTAAGAATTGGACTCGACGTTTCCAAATATTGCTGTGTGACTCTTCTTGTTTGATGTCTTTGTTGTAGTAAGTTATGTATGCAAATAAGAATTGTATTCCGTGTCTTCTACATATTTAATCGATTTTTGCCAACTACTGACTGTTGGTAATTATGCACACCTTTAATTATTGCTTTTGACTTTGATTTCTGCAATCTGATAACCATTTGATATTGAAATTGAGCATTTTAATTAGATGCATTAAACAAACAAGAAAGAAATTGAGAAGAAGGGAATGTAAGATAACAATAAGTAAGCATTTAAGAAGGAAAATTGTGTGACATTTATGTATAAAAGTTTATCATGATAAGAAATTAGTGACTTAATTGCAATAAGTCTTGCATGATTAATGAAATGAAATGATTAAAGCCAGACAAACATATTATGGCGACATTCATGGGTAAATTGATTTTTACAAATTTTGGACAGTTTAATAATTTGCGAATTTATTCGCCATTTTATGAAAGATTGTCATCGGATAAACGATGAGATGACTAACTGAACCTTGCAAAAAAGGAGGTGGGATCGGAATTTGGACCCTGATCGCTTTTACAGTTTGTTTGAACATGTTTGATTTGTTAATCTTAATTTATCTGCTTCATTACCAAATGTCTGTGCACATGTTTGGCTTTTGGGGGGATTTACCTGTCAATACGTGTGAAATAAAACTGATATGAATGGATAAATTTGTAACTATCGTTTGTCACCCGTTTCGTGGTTCGACTGTCTCCGTAAATTGATGGGTTTTTTCGTTGACAATGATAACCAACTCCACTTGTCAATTTGAAGTGATAAGATACATAATAATTTAGGATAAGCTACGACTTGCATCAAGTAACTGCTGCACTCTTATTTTGGCAGTGAATAATTGGATTTGGATATTTTCTCTGGTCATTTAAATAAAATGAAATTATTTGAGATTTTCCTCATTTGCGTCTCCGTTTATTTTGCGGCTGCCGAAAATGACAAAATTTTACCAGATGACGCTCTAATTCAAGAGTGGTTAGCTGATCAAAGAGATCATGTCGGTGCCAAAGCGGAACGCGTATTTGTCAACATAACGCATGGAGAACTGGAAGGGACGACTTACGTGGCCCTTGGTGGGGACACCATTTACGCGTGAGTAGTATTATTGACAGCTATAAAATTATGAATTTCAGGGTTAAAATAAATTATAATATTTGTATTTCAATTTTGAAAATTTTTAAACGAACGTGTTACCATTTTTATGTAAAATATTTGCATTTGTTAGTGTAAAGTTATATAAAATGTGTTCAGATTTTGAAATGAGAATGATTTTTACTTTAGAAATAGCATAGTAATTTTGTCAACTTTACACAGTTCGCAGAGAATAAAACTTGGTACATGCGGTAGCAAAATTATTACCGGATGTATACTATCCTACTGAATTTGTACTCATTTTTAATTCAATTTCTACCGACGGGATGATAAAACTGAATTTAAATATTTTACACAGGTATTTAGCGATCCCGTACGCAAAGCCTCCCGTAGGAAACTTGAGATTCAAGGTTTGATTTTTGCAAACAATTCTAAATATATATCAGCTATTAATAAATAATTAAATTGCATTATTAGCCACCTCAACCCTGGACTGACTCATGGGGCACGTCCACACGTCCAGCGTACCTCCACCCTGACGCCTGTCCACAATGGTAAATTGGTATATTTTAATGATCATGATAACCAAGATGGGATGATAAGAGACAGAATAATTTAGGTTGACCAACACAACAACTGCGAGTGAAGACTGCCTCTTTCTCAGCGTTTATACGAAACGGGTAACAAATCATTTTGACAAATTGGAGTATTTTCCAAATATTTTTACAGTGATAAATTTCACATTATTTTAGAGGTCGAACGAAACCAATGACCCCCTTCCAGTCATGTATTGGATTCACGGAGGTGGTTTCTTACTCGGGCAGACGTCTTATTACACGGCGAGCAAAATGTTGGAAAATGACGTGATTGTCGTCACTGTTCAGTGGGTGGAACAATAACAATCGGGGTATTTTAATAAAATGCAATTAGTAATAAGACTTTTCACATTGCAGATATCGGATGGGACCCCTCGGATTCTTGACCACTTTGGACGACGAAATCGCTGGGAACATGGGGATGAAGGACATGGTCATGGGTCTGCATTGGGTGCAGGTATTAATGAAAGCAAATTTTCAGAACGTCTTTGGTGTACAAAACATGCATTTCTTAATAGGAAAATATAGCAGCGTTTGGTGGAGATCCGGGCAGAGTGACGGTTTTCGGGGAGGTAATTTGCAATGATTTTTCGTAAATCCGTCATTTACTAATTTATTAATTTCCACTAGTCTGCCGGCGGTGCTGCAGTAACTTTCCTGCTGGTTTCCCCCTTAGCGCGAGGTGACAATTAAAATTTCTTGAAAATCATATCTATCCAGAGATTTACATACGTTATAAAATCGAAATTCTGTCTTTATATAGGCCTGTTTCATGGCGCGGCGGCAATGAGTGGGTCAGCCATAGCGGAATGGTCGATGGACCGAGAACCTCTCAAAATGACGGAAAGATTAGCACTAGAATTAGGGTGTCCGATCGACAACAGTGGCGAACTCCTACTGTGTCTCCAAGCTATGAATTGGATGAACATTTCTAGGGCACATTTTGAACTAATGGTAAGTTCAACGACTATTAAATGAATCAATTAGTTGTCTTTTTTCACCCCTCTAAATTTTTTCTTAGCTTAACACACAAGCCACCGAATTAAGAGCTAACTTGGCTGGAACCTCTCCCACGATAGAACACGATCATGCAGGCGCTTTCATTTCCCAAGGTGAGCAAAATATTAAAATATTTTGATATCAAAATATTAAAATATTTTGATATCAAAATACAAAATTTTCAAAATATGAAATACTTATTAGAACCACTCGAACTCTTGGAGAACGGCCTGGTGGAAAATGTTCCCGTGATGATGGGCGCAAATCAGCACGAGGGCAGTTTCCTTCTCGGAGTCGCATACGCCCTACGACTCGGATGGAATAATACCTTGGATGACCCCGTCTACGTCCATCAGAAGCTCGTCGGCGACCTTTTGGCGACCTGGGGAGTTTACGAGAAGACGAATGGTGCCTCCATGTCGCAAGCTTTACTAGCCGGTTGGGTTCCTCAGGACAATTTGAGAAATAATTTTACAACGATGCAGTACGAACTGATTGATGTGGGTAGAAAGAAATAATTTTGAAATTTTTAGCTATTTTTATATAAAAACATTTTTATTGTTTGGCAGATGTTCTCTGCACTCTTTATGAAAGGTATATTAACTCAATTCCTTAGTACATACTAGTATTTATGTTTTAAGTAACTAAAATTCATTCACTTTTTAGCTCCAATTTTACGAACGGCAGAAATTCTAAGTCGGAAAGTTCCCGAGGTTTATTTCTACTCTTTTGAATACGCGAGTAGAAGCAGTTTATGGAATTTTCTGGCACTAGTTCCAATTATCGTGCCGGAGTTGGCACCTTTAATTCCACCATTTGATGGAGGCGTCACTCATGGAGGTGAGAAAAATTAGATGTGATTTGGGAAAATTAAGACTTTCTCTTTCCGAGTAAAAATGAGATTTTTATTACAAATATTTCCCTATTTTATAGACGATTTGCTCTACATGTTCAGCTTCCCACAAGTCCCAACCCCCGCAGATCGCGCAATGACGAAAACATATTGCAAATATTTTGCAGATTTTGCAATCACTGGGTAAGTAAATAATTTAATCGAGTGTCATTTTAATGTAATCTACTTGTTCAATCAATGTCACTAAATTCTTACACAATATTTATTTATTAATAGCAAACCGTCCCCAAACTGGGAAAAATTTTCGATGGAAGATCCAAACTATATGCAAATTAAGTCCAACCCCGTATTAAAGAAGCATTACCCAATGGCTTGGAAGCAAGGGTTGACTTTCCCTGAATCCGAATAATAAATAATTTTCGACACAAATCGCTACAAATCCAAAATCCAATTCAATCCAGAGATTCACCCATTCAATTCACTTCCGCATTGTTCTATTGTCATCATGATTCCGTTGTTCTTGCATAATTCCAAAATACGCCCAAGTATTGAACATTTTATTAAAAAAAGAGAAGATTGAAAAGAGGAGGACGAGAGAAATTACTTTATGATTTTCATTTTGAAATGACAATTTCATAATTACTGCTTTTCCCGTCTCGTCTAAATATATACTTGTTTTGATTACTTGGCCATTTATTATTTGGTACTTGATTAAAATGTAGAATGAACACAGAATGATGAAGTTGTTGTGTAAAATGTGATTAATTTCACCACGAACGAGGAGGGACGCCGTTGCTGGTCGGTCGGCATCACCATTTCATCTTCCTCATCATCATCATCATCATGATTATCAAAACCAATTTGTCAGATTGGTTGGTTTGGTTTTGTTGTTGGTCTCTTTACTTTACACACTTTTCAACAAGAATTGAATACGCAGAAATGATGATGAGATGATGAATTGGATTCTCTCCCTGCCTTTTTGGATGAGAAAACTCTTTGAAACTCATTCACGAATGGAATAAATAAAACTCCTCTTCCCTTTCCTGCCTGGATTGGATTGAAATAAAATAAGGGTCCGAACAACCGACGGTGGTGGGCGGGCGGTGCTGCTCCACGACAAAAATCATGAAACAGCCCGGTGTGGGTAGAATAAGTCGGATTCACTCACGATTTATGTATGCATGCAGTACTTACAACATTTTGCTACTTTTACCGGCATTGAATTGCCTTCAATTCAATCTTTGAATCCAATCCAATATCAAACCAACAACAACTTTTAGTTTTCTTCACCATCACTTCGATAGAATACCGACACGCACGCGGTGCCCGGTACAAAAGTGGAGCTAGGAAAAAGAAACTATCCGTAGAGCGATGGAAATGAAAAATTGGTAGAGAAATTTTGACTGCACAAAGGTGTTATGAAACAATTTCTTTTATTAAAAGTCTGCTCAAAAAGAAAATGGTTGTGGAGAAAGTCGTCGTGATTTATTAGATTTTTACTTCTACCTTTACTTATATGCACATGTGGATGTTTATATACGCATAATAAAGGCATAAAATGGGATTAAAATATTAATTAAACAGTAAACTATATAGTAAATGAAAAGTGGTAAAATTGCAAATTGCAAAACCAACCATGTATGTACCATGTAAAACTTTGGTATTTAGACACATGACAGAGGATATAGTGATGATGTGATGTTACACAGATTATGAATTATTGTTAGGTATCCATTGTTTGATCCTGTGTCTGCTATGGTTCTTTGTTTCATTTTTGCACTGAACACCAGCAAATATAGACCGGGATAAAATTATGTTATGTAAAATGATGAAAAAATGGTTGGCCTTCACTTTAAACCTGTTCGGGATACAATGCACACATACTCGTACGTTTTTTATATCATTTGCGTGATGATTCACCTCAATTCTGCCATTGGGCCAAGCAAGCCTATATACTTATGGTTTTGGTAGGCATAATGAAATGTAATAATAATAACACGTATAAAAAGGGTTAAACAAGACGAGGGGTACGAATACGGTATATGTACAAACACAAAATGAGTCAAATTCCAATACGTTAAAACGTGCAAAACTCTCATATGCAGCTGATTCTTTCACCACCACTTTCTCCTCAAATTTAGAGATTTAAATAAGTAACTTAATCACTTTGGTTAGTTTGTTGCTTTACTGCATACATCGTTAACACGATCGACCTAGAAAGCTTAATTATCTAATTAAAACACCCGAATTTATTGCTAACGGAACTAAACCTTTACAATTTAAGAAAGTTAAAAACTTGATTTACCGTTAGAGTTTCAGTTATAAAATAACTTCAATTATGAAAAAGTTTACGAAACATAAGACAAAAAGTTGTAATAACAATGAGCAAACCTCACCAACAGTGCTATCCCCTCGCAGTACGCCTCCACCACGACCACCCCCACCAAATCCGATGCCAGTATTACCACAAGAACTACCACCACCGTCACCACCCGCAATTCGTACTGTTCTAGAGCTTGGCCCCGTTAAAAATCTCGTTTTTCAAGGAGGTTCTGTCAAAGGAACGGCGTACGGAGGAGCGGTTGGAGGCCTACATGCGGCTTTTGCGAAAAATGGTGAGTAAATTAATAAATGAAACACACATAACTGAGAAATTTTGAAATTTAAGCATGACAAAATATTTCCAGGCATGAATTTCGACGCACAAATTGAAAATGTCGCTGGAACCTCGGCCGGAGCAATTACCGCGCTCGCGCTTTCACTCGGTACGGGCGTCGCTGAATTAGTTGACACAATTGGCAATACAGATTTCAAGTCATTCTTGGACACAAAAGCGTACGAAATTGTGTCCAACATCAGCAACGACTCGTCCTCACTTCCTGCCAAGACTTCCGCCGCCATGAATACACTTCCCTTGTTAAATTCATCCTTTGGTTTGGCATCAGGGCAAAATATTCTCGACTATTTGGAAGCTTTTGTTAAGCTAAAGACGGACATTAATTTCCTCACTTTCGGAGAATTGCACACATTAGTGGAGGAGGATAGAAAGTTGATGAAGGAAGGGTTGAGGAGGAGTAATTTAAGGAAAGATCTTTACGTGGGTAAGTGAGATCATGGAAAAAAATTGCGAATGTATGCAGATTTAGTTTTATTTGCCAATTTTTACATACTTTTTTATCTAGTCGCCTACAATCTGACCCTTGACACCCCACTCGTCTTCAACTACAAGGACACCCCCGACTCCGTAATATCAGACGCTGTCCGATGCAGCATGTCCATCCCGTACGTATTCATCCCACACAAGAATTTCGTCAAGAAGGACGTTGATGGTGACCTGGTACGCATCGAGGCGTCAGAAGACCTCTGGATAGACGGCGGTATTACTGACAATTACCCAATCTGGGTGTTCGACAAGCTATTAAAAGCCCCATACGCTGCCACGGTGGGATTCTACCTCGTGAGTAGTGAAGAAAAGAGAGAGATTGAACAAAGAGGACCCATCCCGAGCCATTCCCCGGATCGGAGAGAAATCAAAAACATTCTAGACTACACAAAAGCCGTGATTGAAACGGTGATCTCTTCCCAACAAACGTCTGCCCACAAGCAGGGGAAGGATATCGAGAGAACCGTGTACATCGACCACCTCGGGACAAACATGATGAATTTCGGGATGACGATTGAAGAGAAGAACAACTTGGTGAGGTCGGGGTGGGATTGTGCTTGTGATCGGTTCGGCCTTGGGAACGAGTATGTGGGACAGTGCAAATTAGAGATTAAAATTAAGGAGGAGGTTGTTGAGAAGAAGAAGAGGAAGAAGGGAGAGATGAAGCTGCCCGAAGGGGGAAATGGGGACGGGGAAAGTAAGGAAACGGTTGAATCGTCTGGAACACCGTCGCCCGATTTGGACGCTGGCACGGACACGGCACCCATGCAAAAGTGCGTCATTGTGTAGTATTTGTAAGAACTAAATGCCTTAATTACCTCAATATGATAGTGTCCTTGTGTAACAATATGAACATATATTTAAATATAATCAATAAAATGTAATTAACGCATATTTACTGATATGCGGATTTGAATAATTCCATTATTATTTACATAAATTTTTGCATTATAAAATACGCAGAGTAATCATATTGTACTTTGTATCAATTATTACATTTAAAAAACCAATAAGAGTTAGTACTGGAGGCAGAGGCGTGACAAGGACAGAGGTTGTTTTATAATTTTACAATTCTAAACTGCACAAAAAATTAATTAGTGAATTGTACAACGATTTAGACTGATCTTTGAGCATTATGTGATAAAAGTCATCGTTCACTCTAAAAATGATTATAGGTCTCGTTGGTTCACGAAGGGTTTTCAAGGTCATTGGAGCGTTCCAAATGTTCCATGTAACACCAGGCTCAGTTGCCTTTAGATCTGGGTAGCAGACTATTGCCAAAGTATTGGCAGTTTTATCATATTCCAGATACGAGTATTCTGTAGGGAAAAAATATGGATATGGCTTCGTTTTTTATGTGCGATATGCTGTTTTTAATGGGAAAAATTTCCAATCCTCTTCAAGAAGACGATCTTGACGGGGAGTCAATTTTGATCCATTCCGTCGAGGGCGTTTTGGGGGGTTACCAGCGCCAAACGGGGCTTGAAGATTAGACCCTGCGAGATCCTGGGCATATATAAAATATTTGTTAATTAAATATTATGACTATAAGAGAGCAAAGTACAGAGATTCACACTATTATATTGCCCGGATTCAAATTCTAAAAGATGTAAAAAATACCTCAATCTGTAGCTCTGGAATAAGATTATTCTCATTATTCATTATTCACACACTTAACACACATTTGATTTGATAGCCATTTATTTCTGGACGACAATGTCGAGCCCATTCAGTCAAGGTGCGAAGGACAACATTCTAATTTTCATTCCATCATGAGAAGGGCTGAAGGGTAATTTACAGGAACCCTCTTCCAAGAAATAGAAAGCCTTCGTTGCACTGATTTCTGCACGAAAGAAGCACCGATTTCATATTGATACAGGCATATATATGTACATGGTACGACTAAAATGAAAAATGCAATCACGTGATGTTTCTTAACTTAAATTGTAATTACGTAATAAAAATGAGTTATTTTTAACAATAATAGCCTGAGTTTAATTATTGGAAATGTAATGCCTTTTACGCTAAGGAGTCGTTAAGTGTAAGAAAAATAAATTAGATCCGTTATTTTGCACCTTTGGCATACGCACTTTGGCTGTGACGATGATTGGATTTGGTACGAAAGTAAAAAGGTTTAAAATTGATATGATAACAACACATTCATGAAATACATAAATACAAATTAAGAGTAATTAATCTGAGTGGAGTGAATTTTACGTCCAGATGCGTCCTTTGTTATTTAGTGAAGCACCACAAGCAAATTAGCGCATTCTTCCCGGAGAAAGTTTTCATTCATGGACATCTAAATGACATCTTCCCCCTTTTTCAGTCGAAAATTTCAACTCTGACAAGCTTTTTCCCTCCAGAGTTCATTTTAGAAATTTGTTTTGTTTATGTTGTATCCAACTATTTACGTGTGTATATTAAAGACTTAAAAGTTTTGGACAGCACGATTTCACCCATATTTTACATCTTTCACATGTACATAAATATCAAAATTATTTGACACTTTATCAGTCTATAAGGTTACGACAAATGGCCGAGTTATAAAATAAATTTTCATTTTTATTAGCCCGAGTCAGGGCTTATGGAACCGTCATGTTCGTCCGTCCGTCCGTAAACACGATAGTAAAAACGACTTGAAATTTTTACCATGTACATATTGGACAAGTTAGGAAACGAGTTAGGAAACGGAATCGGTAAAGTGGTCGACCGGTGGGGGTCATGTGAGTAGGTAGGATAAAATTTCGAAATTTCAAAATTGTCGTAGAAAACCGAAATTTGGTACAGAGGTAGCTAATGATTTCTACTAGAAAAAAATGAATTTAAGTTGGAAAAATTTTCATCTTGAGGGACCCTATGGAGTGACCCATACTGGTTTTTCAAAATGGTCATATCGGACTGAAATTTGGTAGACCGGTTGCTTATTGGTCCTAACAGAAGAATATGAAATGACATTGGTAGAATTTTATCTTGAGGGGCCTTGGGGTGACCCACGCCGATTAGAAATTGCTTTAAAAACATCATGTTTTAAACATGAAATCCGGCACGGCGATGCTTTATGGCTTCTCATTAAAGAATATGGAGTTAGAATGCCAAATAATAGAAAATACCTAATAAACATTTCAGCATCCACACCATGGAGGTTGGTAATATTATTATGTCGGTTTCGAAAAAAATAGAAGTGAGCTCGTACTCACCGAGTCAAGGACAGAATCCCTGACTCGGACCAAATGGAGTCTGCACTGTAGATTTCGAAAAATAAAAGTTGCTAAAAATATCTGTAATATATGGGTTATATTACAATAGGAAATCTAATTTTTAGGCTTTTCCAGATGTGCTTACAGATTTTTCAAGATGCCTGTCTGTGCGCACGATAACTCTCTTTAAACACAAGCTAGCACCCTGAAATTTTGCGAAGTTCAAAAGTAAGGATGAGTTCAAAGATGGGCAAAGATGTTCAAAGATGGTCGGTTAGGTCGGTGGGGGTCTTTTAAGTGGTTACGGGTTGACTGAAAAAATATTAAATGTCATAGAAAAGTCCCAAATTTGTCGTAGGAAGTTGAAATTTTGACAACGGGTGAGACCGTAGGGCCTAATCCATACAGATTTTTCAAAAATATGCCACTCCACCAGTCAATACTTGTTTTGACCGACCACCGCAACGCCTGACTCGGGCCAAATAAACGCTGCACATTGGAAATTTCAAGTTTACAATTAGACATAATACCCTCGAGATTTTTAGCTTAAAAAATCAATCTAAAAATTACGATGATTTCATCTTTCAGAATTAAGTCTCTATGTCTGCCCATTCAAAAGTTATTAAAGGTCAAAGTAGTTGGTGTCTGTTCGAAGGACTTCAGACACCAATGATTTTAAAAATATTTATTTTATTTGTAACTCGACCATTTGTCGCAACCGTTAATGGAGACGCGTTACCTAGATACTTAAAGTCAAGCAATCGTGCATAAATATAATGTATGTATCAGTCGGAAATATATATCATTTTTCTTAGTGAGGCAAATACCTAACAACGAAAAATTTTTACTAAGTATGCATTTACCCCACCCCAAAAAAGTGAAATAATTCTATATCTCGGTCATTTCTAAACCGATTTTGATGAAATTTTGCACAGATCATTGTTAGGGGATGTGAAAACGATTTCTGGTCCGACTAAGCGAATTATCCACTTTTACTAAAGTTATGGGCGAAAAGAAACAAAAATTTGCCCTCGCAGGCACATTTCTCTTCATCATTCCACTTTGGAGCATCACATAATCCTAAGCAATTGCAAAAAAGTTACATCAACTCTTTCTGAACATTTTAAGACCGAGTTGACCGAAATCGGTTAAGAAATCGCGACGTTATTCAATTTTGAAAATTGAAAATTTAGTAGAATTACTCTGGATGCAAATATAATGGCCGTGCTGCAGTGCAATAATGTCGTTGACAACCCAATTACAAGTTATAAATAAACAAGGTCCCAAAAAATGGGAAATCTTAGTGAGTCGGTGCAATCTGAACTAAGAAATTAAATTAGATTGCAGAATTTTTGCATCACCGCTCTCATTTTTACTGACTGGATGCACAAATTTTGCTTTGCATACGGATAAATTCTTAAATATTAATTTAAGAAGTCAATGCAAGTCTTTGCATTTACTAGTTAAAGAGAAGCGTGCTAAATTAATTGAGATCAAATATATATAAGTAATATAATTCTGGCTGTTGGTCGTAAAACAATATCCCTGGTCGTCGTTTTTAAGAATTTTTGAGCAGTTGCTAAGAAATGGTGCATTATTTAGAGGAATAATTTACTGGAATTAGATCGCTTTCAACGTCAGTTTCTCGCCGGTAATTTTTTAGCCTGAGTCAGGGCTTATGGAACCGTCATAATAACCGTTCATCCGTCCCAAAACACGATAGAGCCAAAACGACTGAACCGATTGACTTGAAATTTTTACCATATGCATATTGGACAAAGTTAGGAAACGAGTTTGAAGATTGGCGAAATCGGTCAAGTGGTTGACCACTGGGGGTTATCGGAGTGGTCAGAGACTAAGTCCCTGGCTCGGGCTATATGGAGTCTGCACTGTAAATTATGTAAATTCAATGAAATTATTCCTCTAAATTTTGCACCATTTCTTAGCAACTGCTCAAAAATTCTTAAAAATGACGACCAGGGATATTGTTTTACGACCAACAGCCAGAATTATATTTTAGAAATGCATCCAATTATAAATAGAGTAGATTTCTTAGAGCGGTGATTAAAAAATTCTGCAATCTAATTTCATTTCTTAATTCAGATTGCACTGACTCACTAAGATTTCCCATTTTTTGGGACCTTGTTTATAAATATTTTACATGAATAGACAACTCTACGAAGTGATATCTGGTTATGTGAATAAGGTTGATGAAATTTAGAAATTAGTTCACAAATCCATTTTATTTCCCACTTGTAATGAAAAGGCCTACTTGACAACCTGCTCTCATAAAATGGTGTTTCATTGAGTATGTAAGGGGAAAGATCGATCTATGTAAAAAGGACCGGCTTTTATAGGGATGATTTGAAGGGACAAAAAATGAATGATTGGATAATGGTACACTCTGGACTGCATAAATTTTGTGTTAATTATTTGTCGTGTTCACATTGCTTGGAAAATTCATCAATACGATGGAGTACTTACGATAAGATTGAGATAATAAATCTTTCACATATACAGATATTTTACGTACACTATACAGAGTTATAGTTCTATAATAAAATACAGTCAATTGTGAGCAACTCATTAATCTCGTCTGATTCTATCACATCACAAGATGACATGCCTCGTAATTTTATTTGATCAAGATGACTTTGATTCTGTTTGATTCGTTGCTGAGAATGTGCACCTCCTGGTAAACGCCGACAGCCCTGCCCCTTCATATGCGCTGTACGCCCTCCCGAATTCGGGTATTCCTAAGCTTACTTTCACATTTGGAACATGTATTTTGTAACGACGAATGTTTATGTATGTTTTCGAATTTCAGGATTTTCACTACAACATTCACTCTAAAAAGGAAAATCTACCAAGTTGAGATTTCAGTCCGAATTTTGATTTCCGGGATACAACATCTAAGGAAAGAAAGTTTAGTTTTTTGGGGCTAGTTGAGAAAAATGGCGAGCAATGGTCATCCCCACGCATTTTTAGTTCAAGGTGGTCCTTTTGCCCCCGTGGCGAGTGAGATGGTTCTCGAGGAGTACATGTTTGGGAGGAGGAGGCAGGTGGGTGGGTGGGTGTGGTTTTAGGGTGAACGCTCGTATTTTTATACGAATCGTCTCAATTTTACTTACACGTTTTCTAGCGAAGGAATCGTACCACATTCTCCCCTCAACAGTTATCCGAATTGGAGTCTCTCTTTGGAAAAACGAAATATCCCGATATCATAACAAGAGAGGAGATTGCGATAAAAATTAACTTGTCTGAAGCCAGGGTAAATTGTTCTTGTCAAATTTTTGCTATATTTTTTTTTACATATAAAGCTACATAAAAGAATTTAATTTCAGGTCCAGGTTTGGTTTCAGGTAAATAATACGTTGACTTTAAAGTAGTAAAGTAATACTCAAGTAAATAGAAAGTTAATTAAATAAATAGAACCGGAGAGCGAAATGGAGGAAAAACGCACGTCTTCAATTTATGCAGGACGCTTGGCGCATGAGATATTTAGGAATGCATACCAGCAACACGGACAATATTGCGAAAGGGAATGAATCCACGACCCCACCGGATGCGCTGTCAGCATCTTCGCCCTCATCGAAAATCCGGCCTGATGAAGGCGACGACGATGACGACGAGACGGGGAGGATGACCACGAACACTCCCCCACTTTCCGTTACGTCCTCTTCGCCAGGGAACTTGAGCCCGGGTTCAGATAACCTTCGTCACGGGGGGACGGAAATTGGGACAAATCGACTTCTTCTCAACCAAACGAGAGAGCATCATAGTCACCAACTTTATTGTGCGGAACGACTCCGAATTGCAGCACAGACGTAAGTTTTTTTCGGAAATTAGAAAGAAAAATTTCGGAAATTTTGACTTGGTCTATTATCTACAACTTTTTTTTCTGTTCAGATTCTGCATGCTCCAACAACAAAGTCAGACTGGATCGTCTCCTAATTTTGGTGGGATGTCGTCCCCCACGTCGCTGCTGCCCTCGCTTTGTCACTGTCTCCCTTCCCCAAAGGAAGAACCAGGACAATTTGGCCACCTCCAGAACAGAGTCCCTACATCGTCCCCCTCCTTCCTGCATCTCCAGCTCCAACAACCGCACCCCTTATTTCATGGGAGCATTTTGTCAAAAGGTGGAAACAGCAGTCTCATCGTCCCCAACAAAAATTCTTCCACTACTCCGACGACCGTTAATACAACGGGTGACCAAGGTCAGTCTCGTCATCACAGTAATTCGTCACCTTCAGCGTCTCCTTCGTCTTCTTGTGATTCTTTCCACCCTTCTGTCGAAGGTTCTTCCAGCAAGTCGCCCAGTCGCACGATGAGTACTTGAGTGATCTTCAGTTTAAATGTACATGCAAACATATTTTTATGCTTAATTATGATGAATATTTATGTGATTTGTGTTACTTTACGCAATTGTAAATAAAAATTAACAGCGAAAATGTATGCAATTTCAAACTGAGGCATATTGAGACTAAGGTTTTAATAGTAATCCATCAAAGGCCACAGAAAGGGAAAGTGGATTTGTACATAATCGATTCGGCATTTTTCAGCCCATTCCAGAATTCTCTTAGGGATTTAGGTACAGTTATATAAGTTGTACATATGTACTTCTATCTCCCAAAAATGGGAGCATTTGCATGATTTAAACTTGACGAATCTTTGTAACTTTCTCTTATTTGTTGGAACACGATATTGACAAATTCCAGTTACTTGAAGGTCGCATTGCGCTGTAGCTTTTAAATCCGTGCATCTCATCCCCTTTGTTTCGTATCCTGTCCAAAAATAGGGTTTCATTTGTAACTTGACCCACATAGGGCGGAGTGCACTCTGTTTTTGCCCAGGTTTCAACCCCAGGTATAAAAGATCGACAAGTTGGACAAGGAAAAATCAGTTTGCTTTCATACCTCAATCTTGTCTCATCTCATTAAGAAAAAAATCGGGTTGAATTTCAATATGAAACGGGTAAGCAATTTTTTCAGGGTTGGTTTCCATCAGATAAGATTTTAAAGTTTTTTTACTGTTTTTCTTTCCAGTTCGTTTTACTGTCCTTGTTGGTGGCATCCGTCCACGGCAACGGGTACGGTGGGAGTGCCCCCTCTGCCCCCAGTGGTGGATACGGCCAACCACAATTCGCCCCCGCCGCCCCAGTCATGATGCACTACCAACAACACTCAGCCCCCCAACAATACGGAGGTTATTCACAACAGCAGAGCAGCCCATCCTCCTACAGCGCCCCCCAAAGGTTCGCCCCCGTCGAATCAGTCCGCGTCGCCTTCTCCGATAACCACATGGGAGGTGGATATGGTCATCAGAGCTACTCTGCCCCTGCACCCGTCGCCGCACCAGTCTCCGTCTCCTACGGGTCAGGATCATCCGACTCTGGGATGTACACGGGCGGATATGGAGGTCAAAGTTCCGAGAGTCACCACGGAAGCTATGGAGCCCCCGCCCCAGTAGAAACTGTCCGCGTGTCGTACGGATCTGGATCCAGTGATGCTGGTGCCTACGGAGCAAGTTCTGCTGCCCCATCGTCTTCCTATTCGTCCGCCCCCTCGTCCTCGGACAGTTATTCTTCTTCTTACTCTGCCGCACCCACCAGAGCTCACGTTCCAGTGGAGACGGTCCGTGTCTCATTCGGGTCAGGGGCTTCGAGCGACTCTTCTTCCTATGGGGCAGCCTCCTCTTCCTCCTCCTCGTACGGATCATCCAGCAGTAGCAGTGATGCCGGGTCTTCTTCTTACTCTGCCCCCGCCGCATCCCCCTCGTACTCGACGTCCTCTGCTACTTCGTATGGGTCTTCCTCCACCAGAAACAATGTCCCAATTGTGCGACACACCCAGGACATTTCTTCTTCTGGACATAGCTACGAGTAGGTTGAGTGAGCATGAGGAGGCAAATTGAGACGATTTTTGCGAGACTTTATGATCTTTTTTTCAGTTTCGCGACTGGGGATGGAATCTCTCACAGTGAGACGACCTCTGTCCGTCAAGGTGCTGGGGGATACAAGAGCTCCGGGTATGGAAGTTCCGGATCTTCCGGATCTGGGTCTGAAGTAGCCAAGCATGGCCGATTCTCGTACACTTCTCCGGAAGGAAAGAAGATCTCGCTCAACTACCAGGCTGATTCGCAAGGATTCCGTGCCCAGGGGTGAGTTCGGTATTAGTTAAATTACTAATTGTTACTAAATTGGCAATAATTAATTTGTGATTTTTTTCTCACAGCGACCACTTGCCCACACCACCCCCAATCCCAGCCGAGATTGCCAAGTCTCTCCGTTCCTCCTCCGGATATGGAGCTACTAAATCTTCATCTTATTAAATTAATTATATATTGATTTCCATTATTAATTTCACAATATTTTGTGTGCTGTCCTAATTGTTGTGCTGTTTTTATATTTTTTTTACCAAATAAATAATATTTTACAGAAAAATTATCAAAGTCTTTTGAAATTATGGTAATATTAATTGCAATCTGGTCGGAAGGAGGAGAAAATTTGCATGATGCGTTGCATGTCCTGTTCTTCAAATGTTTCTTTTAATTGCTGCATTTTTCAAGGATTTACTGAGTCTGATCTATAAATATTATTATTATGATAAACGATGGCTAACATTAACCTTCCATGAATGGGATGCAAATTGCTCACAGTTAGCGGACACGACAGTTATCAATTCGTGAATAAAATTCACATTTGCGCTGTATCAATTGTTAGAAGGTCAACAATGCAAAATTGTATTTTGTATGTTAAGTATGCAATATATAAAAAGGAGGCAAGTCGTGTTGAGGGGATATCATTTCATTGTCACGAGCCAGCAAGATCTGTCGACACGGATTTACATATCACCATGAAGTTTGTAAGGTTCATATATTTCTTGGAATCCTGAACCTCTGTAAATTGTTATTTTTTTTGCGGTTACAGGTTGGGGTACTTATCTTTATGGCTGTGGCAGTAAATGCCAAGCCCAGTCAAGGGGGATATGGTGATAGTGAAGCTCCAGCCCCACCCCCTGCTTCGTCAACCTCTGCTTCCTCAACCTGTCCGGTACGTTGCTAGATTTGGTTTGTGAAAGGCCAGTGTGATTACTTTGTTATTTATGCAGGTATGTCCTCCACCACCACAGTGCCCCCCACCTCCACCAGGATGTGGCGGACTTCCACCCCCTGCCGTCCCAGCTCCTGCACCTGAAGGTAAATCGTCACTTGATTTGACGACAACCCCACCAGCAGCAGGTTCATCTTCCGCTCCAGCTGCACCTGCGCCTGCAACTACAGCGGCGGCATCTTCGGCACCTGCGGCGCCAGCACCAGCGACAACTCTGCCCCCAGCCGCGGCATCTTCGGCACCTGCTGCGCCTGCGCCAGCGACAACTGTCCCTCCAGCGGCTGCATCTTCCGCTGCGCCTGCCCCAGCGACAACTCTCCCTGCAGCCTCATCTTCCGCTGCGACAACTCTTCCCGCAGCGGCCCCATCTTCCGCACCTGCTGCACCTGCGCCAGCAACAACTCTGCCCCCAGCGGTCGCACCGGCCGCGTCAGCATCTTCTTCTGCTGCAGCCGCGCCCACAACAATGCCACCCTCCCATCCCTCGTCTGGTGGAGGTGCTGCTGCATACGGCAAATAATTACCAAATAGTCTACATTTCAAATAATTCATTAATTTCAACACTTTTACTCTTACTTGAGCTGTCTGTAGCAAAAAACTCGTAATTTCTTTTCGAACTACATACTAATCACTTCCCATTTATTACACTAATACTCTGACGCTGTACGTACACCCATTTACTTTTGCATGTCGTGCGTGCCGGCCTAAAACAGTCATAAATAAAAATACGATTAAAAAACCAATCAGTGAGTTGTTACGTTTGCTTGTTAAGTTGACCCAGTTGCATTGCTAATCGTGCACATATTTCCAGGTATTGGAATATTGAATATTGAACAACCGTTTTAAAAATGAGACTTGACCCGACAGGTTTTTGGCTAATATTTTATGCATTATATGACTTGTCCTTGTCTTTAATACATATGCGACGATGTTAGCGTCTCATGCGAAAAAATGGTTGGAGTAACAATAACGAGAATCCTTGTCGCATTTCTTATTGTGCAACCAGAGGAGGGACTGTATTATAAAGTCTAATTGGCGATAATTTACAAAACTGCATCTCATAAGCTTACAGACGTAACATCTCCAATGCAATGAATGCACACGAGCAAATAAACTTGAGCCAGTTTTTCAAAGAGTAAAAGTATTTGTTCTGTACATAAGTTAAATTAGCGGTGTGTATGGATGATGGGTGTATAAATAGGAGGATTCTAATTGACAAGAGTACAATTCACCAGTGGGAGACATCAAGAAGAGGAAACAAGATGGCGAGCAAAAAAATGGCAAGTTTACAATTTTCGGATAAGGGTTTGATTATGATTTCATTGTGTATGCGAATTTGTGCAGGAATTCGGGATTGCGGTTTTGCTAGTGGTGAATTTTGTCGGGGTGACGATTGGCAAACCGGAAGTCCCTTCGTCGTACCAAGTCCCGTCCTACGCTGCACCGCCAGCCCCCACGGCGCCATCATCGGGAGGTTACCCTTCTCCTCCGTCGGGATATCCTCCCTCTCCTCCTTCTTCTGGATATGGTAAATCCTCCAAAAAATTCGACAGATGTACAAAGATGGTTGCGCCGCAACTGCATATGAAAGTCAAGCTGGCAAATGCAATTTGCAAACTTGAGATTCATGCACTTCTACCATGTCAAATATGCCAAAAACCTTATGAATTTGTAATTGATTACAGGAGCACCTCCACCACCGCCCCCACCACCTCCTCCAGTTTATGCGGCTCCTCCTCCCCCTCCTCCACCACCACCAGTTTATGCAGCACCCCCTCCACCACCACCAGTTTATGCAGCCCCACCCCCACCTCCAGTTTATGCAGCTCCACCACCACCTCCACCCCCACCTCCACCACCCGCACCAGTGTACGCAGCCCCACCCCCACCACCACCACCTCAGCAGTCCTACGGTAAAATTATTTAACGAGGAGTCCTCATGAGTCTATAGTTCTCAAATTTTTTTTTACCGAAGTTGAAGTTTTTCCCCAAGAATCATGCATAATTTTTTTGTTTCCTTTTAGGTGCCCCACCCACAGCTCCGCAAGCTCCACCCCAACAATACGGTTAGAATTTGAACAAATTTGAAATTACCAGCAGTGCCTAATACATTGTTCTATTGTTTTTAGGAGCTCCTGCCCCACCACCTCCATCCGGGGGATATGATTCACCTGCCCCACCCCCTCCATCCGGTGGATACGATTCTCCTGCCCCACCCCCACCTTCCAGTGGGTACGATTCTCCTGCCCCAGCTCCAGCTCCAGCATATGGTATGCAAATTTTGAAATTAATTGTTCATTATCAAAATTATAGATGATAACACACCTTTCCAAACTCTTACAGCGGCCCCTGCACCCCCACCTCCACCACCTGCAGATTCGTACGGCACACCCCCAAAGTTTTCAAGCGGACCTTACCCTTAAATTGGTCAAAGTATTGCTAACTTAAATATTTAGCAAGCCTACATAGCTCACTTTTAATACTTTTTTTACCACCCTAATATATGTACACCTCTATGACCTATACTCAACTCGAGCAAATTCACAATACTAAAAACGAACTATTTAATGAATGAAAAATACAATGCAATATCAAATTTCACATTCTCACACTCAATTTGTTTCCTGCATCTGCAATAAAATTCTGAATTCATTCTATGAAATACAATTGATTATTAGTACTGATTATTGATTAGTATTGATTATCTTTTTGTTGCATGCAACTGTCATCATCATCATCACCATCGTCATCCTAGCTTAGCTCGATTTGCCACGATTGCTTGACATTTAGTGCCTAGTTACCCTTAACGGTTGCGACAAATGGTCGAGTTATAAATAAAATATTCATTTTTAAAATTATTTTAAAATTGGTTTTTCTCCCATGGACGAAAAACCAATTCTCCAGCCAAAATATTAAAAAAATAAACTGTAACCCACGACAATTTAAAAATGAAAATTCATTTGTAACTCGGGCATTTGTCGTAACCTTATAGATTGATAAAGTGTCAAATAATCTTGTCGATTTGCATATGAAGATAACAATCATGCGAATTATTGACGTGCACAAGCACAAATGTTTTACTGCCCCATTGTTGTTGTAGTAATAGTGAAACTGGATCCGGGAACGGGTCCCGCGTGTAACCGTCAAAGTCTTGCACCTGCTGAACCTGCTGCCAATTAACGGTTGACCAAGTTTCACTTTCTAATTTTCGGCACAACTCCGAATTTATTTCGCCATGTCGTCGTCATCCCCATTGGAAAACTTCTACTTGGGGAAAACCCTTCACGAGGGGATTTTCTCAACCGTTCAAGTGATCAAGGAACGGGATAATCAGAGTGGACGAATTTTCACTCTGAAATCTGTGGATAAAAGTTATTACGCTATTCATAAATTGGTGAGTAATTAAATTAAGTCGAATTGAGTTAAATAGATAAGTTAATTAACTTATTTATTCCAGGAATCATTGCTGGAAGCCGAGACTGAGCTTCGATCACAAAATGCATCACAATGGATTGTTGGATTGCAGTCCTGTTTTGAAGATGACAACAAGAAGATGCACTTCATTATGGAATATTTACCTGGAGGAAATTTTATAGAGTTGTTAAAATCGTAAGAAGTGCAATAAAATGAGTCAGTTGAATAAGTTCAATTAATTTATGATACTTAATTGATACATTGATAGAAATGGAGGCCGAATGGAAGAACAAATGGCAATGTTTTACATGGGGGAATTAGTGCTTGCAATAAATGCGGTGCACTGTTTGGGATTTGCGCATAGGTAAAATAGTATTAAAATGAACTGGAAATATGCATTTGGTTAAATAATATAATAAAATCGTATTCACAGAAATGTAAAACCAGCAAATATTCTGCTCGATGGGAATGGTCACATCAAACTATCTGGATTTGGTTCAGCTTCAAAAATTAAAGACGGAAAAGTTTCTTCTCCACTAACCGTAAATTCAGCAAGTTATGAAGCACCAGAAATACTGAGGACTTTAGGAAACGAAAATTTTTCATATGGTGTCGAATGTGACTGGTGGTCATTGGGTGTCATTGCATATGAAACTATTACTGGCGTCCATCCATTCGAAGAATCATCTGCTATTTTAGTATTTAGAAAGATTACTTCAAAAAAGGTTATACCTTTTACTCACAATGTCACAATTCAAAATAATTAATCATGGACTTATTAAACTTATCATATATTCAATGTTTTTAAGCAGACGAGAGGATCGGTAAAAATTCCGGCAAGATCGAGCCAAGATTGCAAGGATTTCATTTCTGGATTACTTCTAGAGCAAGAGGACCGCATGACATACAATGACTGTATTTGTCACCCATTTTTCAACGAGTTGATCTGGGATGGATTAAGAAACGGTGTGCAAGATAAATCATAATCATAAATTAATATTAATTCTTGTGTGCACATATTAATTTACTCTTTCGTTGCTTCCTGCCTCTAGAAATTGCTCCTTTGAAACCAAATTTGCATCTCGACGATATTGGCGAACTTGGGGGTGGAAAAATGTTTAATGTGAACGATTGCGATAACTCTGTAGCCGCCTTGGACGATGATCAAATTCAGATGCTATCAGACATGACATGCCCTCCCACAATGGCGAACAATAACTTAACGTTTGTCTACACCAATAAATCAAAGTCAAAATTGGTGGATATTACTGAAGAAAAGGAAAACACAACCACAACCAGTGAGAGAGGAAAAGTCAATTCTTCCCATTGGAGCGTCGCTGAGATGATGGGTGAGAGCAAGTTAGACAGCAAAACGAAAAAGAAGAACAACAGTAGTGCCGATCTTACTCGTTTGTTGAAGGAAGAAAATGAAAAATTGCAATCAGAACTTAACATTAAGACGGAACAGCTCATGGGCAAATTAAACGAGATCCAAATTCTTCAAACACAACTCCACAAATCGAGTGAATCTATGGAGTCTTTTGAAAAACAGGTCGCTATATGTACCAAAGAGAACCAACGTCTCAAAGCCGAACTGGAAAAGAAAAGTGGAGAATTAGCAAATGAAAAATATGTCCGGGTCGGATTAGAAAATAAATTGAGTAACATCAACTTTGCGGCAAAGCAGAAGGCGAGCGCGATTATGGCACCTCGACCTCCATCAACCCCTGGGACTCCATCATCTCGATGTGGTGGTGACACAAGCATTCATTCGACTGAAGTGTTTGAACTTAAAGAACAAATTGCAAACTTGATGGCGTCTGATGGCCAGAAGGATGACATGATTTTGGATTTAAATGTTGCACTTCTGGTTACTCGACATGAATTGTCGGTCCAAAAGATGGAGAACATCTGCATGTACAAAAGAGATACAGGCGGGTGTAACATGTTTGTTGAGGTAAACCTGGCAATTTTCTTGTACCCTATTTAAAAAATATTTATATCACAATTTACTTATTTAAGTAGTTCAATATGTATTTTCAGGATTACAAACAAATAATCGCAGACTTCCAACCAATCGTGACGCAACTTATGGCAGACATAAGGACTCAGCATAAAGAAGAAACTGGATCTGAAGAGGTTAAGAGTGGTACAATTCTTCCCGAGAACGAAGATCAGGGACAAACCCAGGTGAACAAGTGGGACGAATCTAGCTATGAACAATTTCTTCAATTGCCACAACAAATCGAAAAAATGCACAATGATCATGCATCTTTGTTGGAAAAAGTTGTTAATGACCGAAAAAAGATTGCAGAATTTTTAGGCTCAGTTCAGTTACAGGTGGATACCTGGACAATGTTCAAGAAGAATAACTCGTGAGAAATTATAATCATATCAGTCAGGAGACAACAATTTCAATCAAAGTGTGCATTTCGCTTTAATCATTTTTAGCTGAGTGAATGTTAAATATCTATGTCGCGTGCAATGGTAGTGGTGTTAAAATTCTAGTTAAAATTATGAGTAAAATGTTTACAATTACTTATTTATATTTAAACGACTTGTGAATTGATGTCAGTATTACATGTGGAAAATAATAAGTAATGAATGCGCGAGTATTGATTAAAATAAGTCAAGTATTTATAAAACATTAGGTAAAATTAATTTAAAATATCACAAAGTAGTTTGATTTTTGATTTAGCTTTAAATTAATTCGTTAATTAAACTTTCAAAATGCTGATGTATCCCGTTCCAATTTTTCGAGTGGGTTTCTGTAAAATCAATAATAAAATATTAGTACTTTGACTTTTGTAAAAAAAAATATATATGTAAGTTGCACTTTATTATTTGATTCGTTGTCTAACCTTAACGACATATCCGTCCCAGTTCCCCTTCTTTGTTCAGAGGAACGGACATGTTTCTCCAAAAGTGGGAGGAAATCAAACCTCACGAACGTTTTAATCTGAGATCTCGCCCCGGGTTTACTCATCATCGTGGCCAGATCAAAAAATTTTTTACTTTTGAAGGCGAAACTGGATTCCATCACGGACTCGAAAGCAGGTAGAATGAAGGAAGTTTTGAACGGGGTTTGACTGAATGCCAAACAATAAGTAATAATTCCTATGCACAAGTTGGTTAAATCCCCTCCTCCAAAGTTGGCATAACTGGTAAGAATTCCGGGGAGAAAACGCATAACGGGAGTCGTGTGACCCTTCTTTTTCAATGCGGAGACGAAATGAACAAAACGCGCATTCAGTTTAGAATCCTTTCCTGTACAGCAGTTCGATATGATGGCGGATACACAGGTCTGGAGGACGTAGAGCAATTCGTGGTCTTCTGCATAAAGCATCACTCTCTGCGGAAACAAAATTATTTCAGTATTTACTTAGTATATCGATTAATTATTACAATATGTAGATACATACCACGCCGGGATGGTGATCAAATTCTTCCAAGTCACTGGGATCAAGATATCCCAAGAGTGCAAGATGCGTTAAATCATTAACTTTTTTCTGGAGAAATGCATCTGTCCAAAATCCTCGAAAATCGACGATTCCTTTAAAAAGCTGGAAACAAAAAAAAATTGTAGTCAGTATGAAATAATTAAATATAATTATGTAATTAGACCAAGACACGGATGAAACTCACATCGAATAAATAATTTTTCACGGCAGAGACGACCCATTTTGACCACCGTTCCCACATTGGTGCTCCCACGAGGAATGGCGGAATTAGAAGCGTCATCAATTGCATGCCAACACTAGAAGAGTCACCTTTGACATAAAATCGACCAAACTGCGAGCCTCCGCGTCCTCCCAACAATTGGGTGCAAAACCGGACAACACTCGACACCTTCTCCTTGGCCTCAGTCTTAAAAATTCCATTCGACGAAGTTACAGCCTTGACGAGAGTGGGAAACGGCCTAAACATATTCTGAATATCCATTATGCTCCACTCTTCCCGAGCAATTTTCTCACAAAATTTGTCCAACAAGTCTGAATTGGAAGTGCTAGAAAATCCTGGTTCGAGCACAATTTCACTTAATCGATCAGAAATGCAACAATCAAACGCATTCAGACGAATCCAAACTTGACACCATTTAGCGTATCGGATCAGATTTTCAAATTCCTTATCGCCACGAATTGCCAATAATCTTGTTACATAAAACTGGGTAATTTCAGGACACGTTAAATCGTTCAGTGCGAAATGGTCAAATAATCTGGTCACAGAATCTGGTCCGATTTGATTAGAAATATACCATTTAGAAATCATGGTCAAATCTGCAGCTAAAATTGACATTGGTTCCACGTCTGTCGTTGGAGTTCGATATATTGTTGAAATCGCGGTTTGGGTTAAAAATTGTGACGTCCTTTCAAATATTTTTAACGCGAGTGCCTTCCCTTCAGGTGATTTTGCTGGAAGCGGTGGCGATAAGAACAAGTTGGAAGAATTTTTCTCTGAATTTATTATCCAATTTGTCAAGTTTGATAATGTGCGTAGGGTGCGGACGACATGGTTGGGTCCACACGTGGTGAGCCACATGGTTGTGTTGGGACTGATGAGGAAGTCTCGAGAGAGATTGATTTCGCTGCTCAAAGCTGGCGTTCTTGGGAGGGTGTCGAGGAGTTCAAAATACACGGAAATATTGTCCTTCTTTCCAGAATCAAAGGGTGCTTGAGCAAAGAGCGAGGTGATTTTGCTCATCAATGATTTTGCTATTTCTTGTGAAGCGATGGACTCTGATTTCTGGAGGAGGATGAAAATTGCGGTCGAAGTAGCACGGAAAACGGCCTTTGACCGAGCAGGGGTTGATTTCCCATAGTGTAAAATTTCCTGCAGTCGGTCGCACATCATCGTTGTGTCCGACACAGCCCAAACTAGTGCGAGATACAACGTGCTCACACGAACGAGTCCAATTTCACCGAAAACGCCAACATTGTTCTTGTTCAGATTCATCCCCAATTGAGCCTTCAATTTCTTCCATTCTGTCCCTCGAGAGGTGATGGCATGTCCTACGAGCACCTTCAAAAATGAGAGGAATGGATCTTTGGAAACGAAAGTGTCCATTTCTAGGATGGGCCAAGAAGAACGGCGAGATGACGAGGATGAAGGACCGGGCGTGATTTTACTGTTGATGTCGATAGTCGGACAGACGGATTGAATAACTTTGAACCACTTGTCCACTGACGAATAATTGTCAAGTGCGCCAGCTCCCACTGAAATAACATTTAATAATTATACAATGTTAGATGATATTTAAATTTAAATGCTTACAATCCCCCATGAATTTGTCCACCTTCTCCAACCACGGTTTCCAAAGGGTAACGACAATCTCCAATTCGAATCCCCAGTATTGCGACAGTTCGAAGAGTAGTTGGTATACAGGACACGAATTGAGAGCAGTGATCCCACCACCACCACTGTTGCTGGTTTTCCATTGTTTGACGAGAGAGCTGACGAGCGGATATCCGTTGAATTTTAAGGTCTCCTTCTTTTCTCGGAGTGGAATGTGCTGCCCGTTCAGGCTAAAATCTGATAAAGTGGCGAGATGAGTTATAAGCCAGAGGGGAAAAAATACGACTTCGTCGCTGTTTTCTCGTCTGTTCTTCGTCCAAAGTTGTAACGAGTCGGTTAAGGTGGTCCAGAAATTTATCTGACAAAATGTAAAATATAATATAAAGTTAGCTACAATTTCTTGCAACGGTTAACCTTCTCGTCGTCGATCGAAGCATCGCTAACTCACATTCAATTCTTCGCAAAGTAAACGAATCATTGTCCACAACTCTTTGACGCACCAACAGTTGAACGGAGTCTTGTTCATGGGAATTGAGGAAGACGTCCCCGTGCTCCCAACTTGAAACATTGCCCACGCCAATTGAACCAAGTCATCCAAAATCCAGGACAATATAGAACTATTCATGCCATAAATAATGAGAAGTGACCATCTTACGTCCAGAATGACGTGAAAGAGGTGATACAGAGCGGACGAGGTCTACTCAAAGGACAAGAGCATAGCACGTTAACGATTTATCATATTTTTGTGGCTATAGATGCTTCAATATTATATTATTCACCTCATTTCCATCCCGATGTCTATTTACGAATTCTGTTAAATATCTTGGCCATCCATCGCCTTCTCCTTCATGCCACACGACGTGACCAAACACGTCTTTAAACGAGGCAAAAAACTGGTCCAGTTCATCCATCGAGCGCCACATTATCGATTTTAATTGCGATATCCTGCTAACCATGACGTTGAAATAATGGACGACTTGTTTTCTGAGCTCCCACGGCGCTTCCTCATCATCCTCATCCAGACCATTATTCTTTGGATTGGCCAAGATTTGAAGGATGTGAATATTTCTTCTGGCTAAATTAAGCAGCAATTTCGCCTCCGTTGGTTCCATGGGGTCGAGAACACGGTGAAAATAGTGACCACGAATAGATAATGAGAAACGACCACTATCCACGTCCTGTTCATCCTCCATTGTTGCCACGATATCCTGGTCATCTTCATCATCACGGGATACAGACTGACCAGTAAGAGATTCTAAGGCCGTGATAAGCTGTCGACGTGAAATAAGCCCGTCCGAGGCGAAAGTATGGTCATCGTGATTGTTCCAGGCAGGTCGTGGAGCACATCCTTTGCAGTTGAAACAAAATAGCATTGCGGATTCTGCATCTAAACACATGGAATATCAATTTGATTAAACATTAATTTACTTGAATTTGATTTATAACAACAAATACAAAAAATAACCTCGAACCTGTTGATTCTTTGCTGACAAAGCCGCCGTCCCCACTGTGCCCAAGGATGGGTGATAAAGGTGGCGAAATAGAGTCAGAATCCGAGTCCAAGTTGCCACCCATTTAAGATCTACAAACAATTTGAACAATTATCATTTAAAAAATAATTAAATCACAAAATGAATGATTTGTTTGTACTTACTTCCACCGGCAGTGAGGATGCAGCCGCCTTAAAATTTTAAATCACACGCTTCTCACTTTTCGTCCATAATCAGAATCAAAATCATGCAACGGAACGGAGTATAGGAAAAAATACAAATTGTCCGTTGATAACTACTTATCTACCATCTGTTATGCACTTAAAATTAATGGTGAAAAAGTACAAGCAATGATGACAGGAAATGTGATCTATGTACATATCAGCGGATGCTCAGGATTTTATTTATTCATTATCAGATACATACAGAGACGTGTAGGTATAAATTGCATAAAAGGTGATAAATTCTGTAATTTTTAACATCACATATAGTACGACCGGCTGGACGCATTTTAATACGGGTATCAAAAAGACATTTTGAAATTTTAATATTTAAGCACATGATAATTTTACTTTTAGTAGTACTATTTATTTTTGTTATTTATTTGAAGCAAAACAAAATAAAAATATAAAAACTAGCCACACAATAGTAATACTAAAAGTGAGAATCAATCTAGTTGTTACTTTGGTCTGGATAAATAACTAACTCTAAATACGAAGCCTACGCACGGATGAGTAGAAAATGGTATCGGTTTGTACTTTCGAGTGAACGAATTTCCTTGTCCTACTGACATGAAATTTCTATATCAATTTCATCCACAATTGCTGGACTTTTGGGGCCGAGAGGACCTAGAAAAATGCAATGTATGTTAATTATTGTGTATTTACATACAAGAGAGTATTCATTGTACTTAAATGTAATGGTTGTAAACTGTGTACCTGGACCAGGAACCCGAAATGGAAGAACTTTTACGCTTGGTGGAAGAAGTGTTGGAGAAAGTTTTGTTGGTGGGGGCACCGCCACGGTGACTACTGGATCCGTGGACGATGGTGGTCGTGGGATTTCTTCATATTCCTCATCGGAATCTTCTTCTTCTCTTCGATCAGGTCCACTAATTTCGCTTCCAGTAACACTGGAAGTTGATCTCCCAGGCGCTTCCACCGTAGTTGTGGCCAATTTAAGTCCAAGTGGATCACTCCCATCAAATCGGAGAATATCGATGCAATCTACGGATCGTATAGAAGGGTCGTCTGGTTGGACATGCGGAAAAGTAGCTTTCTCCTTCTCTTTGGATGGGGAAAATTTTCCCCTGTTTGTACAGTCCTTCGTTTTGATTCGAGGATTTTGGTTGCTCTTTCTCTTTTTGGGTGGCAAAGAGGAATCATCGGAACCTTCTTCTTCGATAACTTTGCGGATATCCTTCTTGCTCATGCGGTTCCCAGTTTCATCGTCAATAATCACGTTACTCTTCCAAGGAGCAGTTGCACGGCCACTCACACCACGACGTCCTTTTTTTGACTGATTATTTTTGTTTGTGGCCTTGTTTTCCACATTATTTTCCATACGGTGTTCTTGATAAGTTAGATTTTTAAAGTGGGGTGTATTCTTTGGAGATTTTGGTGGCAAGCTGCCCAAATTAGAGTTTAAAATTGCACGTTCTTCTTCCATCTCCTCCCGAAGCCGGCGTTCAATTTCGGTTAAAGGTTTATTTCTTGGACGGCGTCGTTTCTTTTTGGGTTTACCATCTCCACCAATTACGATGTCTTCTTGGGTCTGCTCTTCCTCGCTATCCGTTATTCCTTCACCGGGATCGAATTCTTGACAGGATAAAGCTGAACTTATCTGACCAGAATTTTTTCTATCTTCTCGTTTAAACTTTGCCTTCAATTCGGCCCGTGTCCGACTCGGGAAAAGGGTAGTCATCATGGAAAAGTCGGTCCCGCACATACTAAGAGCTTTGTAGAATTTTATGGTTTCTGTGCAAGAACAAGTGGTTATATAGAAAATCGCAAATATTTCTTTACAATATTTAGAGGGATGTTATTTACCTCGGTCACTCCAGTCATGCCCACGTCGGGCATTTTTCTTGTTTCGGAACAACCCTGAAGAGCCCACGGCAAAATCTGCTCCAGACACGGTTTCCATTTCAGACAATTGTTTCTTGGCTCGTTGACTTTCCGAGGTTTCGACAATCTATACAATTAAAGAGGAATTGCTTGATTTTACTTGTTTTAATAGAATATGGAATTGATAGTTACATTTTCTACATACCAAACTTTGTTCGTCCAAAATTAGTTGTCCATCCGGCCCCACTTTGACACGAGGTCCAATGTTAACCGGAGTTTCTTTCTCTTTATCCATGCTCAGAGGCTCGGAGTAACTTTTCTCGGGTGACGACAAAGATATCGGCATGTCCCCAACTGTTGCACGACGAGCTGCAATACCGAGCTTGGTATTGTCAGTGTCTAGCAGTTTCTCATGTTTTACGGAAGCAGAGAAATTATTCCCAACACTACTGTCATTGCAGACTGAAGAGGCACGATTATTTCTTGCAGAAGATTTTTCTTTACCCTTTTTTCTGTTCCAAATAACAAGGAAAACATGAAAATTAATTATGGATTACTTACTACAATTAAGAATTAATTATAGGTGTATATTATTTACGGTGGATTCCAAAATGCGAAGTGCAAAATGGTTAATTGTTTCCTTTCTTCTGGAGATACTGAACTTGTGTTAGAAATATTCTGATTCCCCTTGGATAGAAATTCCTTCCGTAATGTTTGGTACTTTGAAATGGTTAAGGAAGGCGACGGTTTGGCCAACCTTTGTCTCAAAAGGTCTGAATTGTTAACAATAGAGTTGGCAGGATCTCTCATACTGGAATTACTTATGCTAGAAAATGCTCCCTCCCTCGAAGAGGGGGTGGAATTTTGGGATCGGTTGTGCTGATGATGAGATTCTGGTACTTCAGGCGTTCGTGGGGCAAACATTCCACTGGGAGAGGGCAAAGACATGTATCTGTCAAAATTAAATTAATTATAAAATTTAAATTACTATTGTAATAAGTATTGTTAAGAGGTAACTGCTCATTTTAATCAGTTAATTTGCCTAAAAATTCGACTTACCGTGCAACCTCATGTGAATCTGCAGAGTTGGAGTTTGAGTTAAAAATTGCGAGTTGTTTATTGCTGTTATTATTAACTGGGCTGGGGACAGGGGAAGGTCGCTGTGGACTTGGTATAGGCTGAGGAATGTATCTCATTGGACTCGCGGATGGTGATGGTCGCTGAATTCCTCCCGGTGAGATGGGAAACTGATAAGACGAGTGAGGGTCGAAATTGGGTGTCGTTGGTCGATCAATGACGCCATGATGATGATACTCCTTCGTTGGTGAAGAGATTGGTGACCTAACCAATCCGAGAGTATATTCTGGATAATGTTTCTTTATTGGAGATGTCGGAGCTGGGGTGCATGCTAGAAGGGGAGAAGATGACCTAATATTACTTCGAGAGGGAGAAAAGGATTGTTGAGATGCAATGGTAGCACTTCCGGAAGTAGTTTCATGCGATTGAGGCGTTAAAGGAGACGAAAGAGAATTTGAAACGATTGGCGTAAGGGGACGATCAACCGTGGAGGCGGAGGGACGTCCCCCACGAGGTACGTTGATAACAGCTTTGATTCTGTTACGCCGCATCGTTATTTTTCACAATTAATTTTTGTTAAACGTTCAATGCACAAATTCTGCTGGAACATTCCAGACAATATGTTGAGCTTTGTATCCCCTCAATTTTTATATAGACACGTTTCAAACTATTTATTGTCTCAAATTTGTTAACTTTTGATTACGTATGCAATTAACGTTATCAACTTTAATCACACTATCCCAAGGTTAGTGCAATAAAATTCAAAATGTGATCATTTATTGTTGAGACGATTTGAACTTCCCACACTTTACAAAGCTCAGGGAACAAAGGAATATGCATTTCTTTGAAGCGTGCGAAAAATTTGGCAAGAATTTTATAAACAACTTTGATTTTTTTGTAATTTGGATAAAATTGGGTTTCTAATTTCGAGAATAGTCTGAAATTCATTATTTTATACGTCAATTTCTAATTTGTGTAAGTTTAAAAAATTATTTTTAATGAAAATTCAGAGAGACTAAATCATTCCATTGTATGTATTGGCGCGCAGGTTTGAATTTATTCAAGTTTTTGTGTTCCACTTTGTGTGATTCAGTTTGAGAGGAGAGAGCAAAATCGCTCAATTGTCGACATTAATTTTTGAAAATTTCTTTTTAAAAATTCCAACTTTAATTTTTTCTTTAGTTTAAATTAAGTTTAAATATTGTAGTAACGGTGGGTTTGTGTGGGAAGGGAGGGATTGTTGGAGAGGGAGGTGTGTAGAAGGTTATCGAACTACAGTTTACCAGGAAGTCTTGTTGCTGGCTGACTTGTGACTTGCTTGCTTAAAGTGTAGATTTCAAACTTTTCGACACGTTTCTTCGATAACGACACTACATTCTCAACAAGATGGTAAGCGTGTTATCAGTCGTAAAACGAGAAATTATTTATCATGGTGCTGGTATTTGAATTGGCAAATCGCCAAACAATCGTGCAACAACCACGTCAACAACAAACAAACCATGACCCAACGACGCAATTTCTCTTATTGTTCTTCTTTCCTTTGATAATAATCATTCCCAAATTGCGAATCACAATTATCAAAATTTGTGATAACCAAATATTAATAGAAGGCCATTATTAAGTGGTATTTAAGGAGTATTTTTTGTCAATTCCTTCTTTGTAGCACAAACTTAAATCAACTCAACGCGATAAGGTGAAACGATTCATTTCTTTCACCCAAACCAGTGAACAAACCGCAATTTTCTGCCTTGCTCAACATGACTGGAAATTGGAGCTAGCGTCGGATGCATACTTTCAAAATCCTGACAGTTATTGGAGAGAATCATCTACGACGACAGCAAACACGACAAATTCACATAGTAGGATGCATCATCAACAGCAACCTGCAGCTGATAGGAAAAAGATTGAGCAATTGTTCAACAAGTATCGTGGTGAGTAGTATTAAAAATGAGGGAACAACTTTTTAATTATTAAGTAAAATTGAGACGGCTGTCATGCATCGTATTCCAGATCCCAATGAGAACGACAAAATAACAGCGGAGGGGACCTTGCGTCTTTTACAAGATCTCAAACTCTCACCAGATTCTCGACTGGTTTTGATCATGGTGTGGAAAATGAAGGCAGCAACACAATGTGAATTTAGTAGAGAAGAATTTCAATGTGGGCTTAACGATCTAGGGTAAACACGATTTTAGAACTATTCAATTCGCAATTAAGTAGATTACAGCAGAAATATGTAATTTGCATTTAATAAATTTCTTGTAGTGTGGACTCAATTGACAAATTAAGGAATAAATTGGGCATCGTAGAGCAAGACACGATCAAGGATCCCGTGAAATTTAGAGATTTATACATATTTTCCTTCGCCTATGCAAAAAATCCGACTCAAAAAGGAATGGAATTGGAGATGGCGATTCCCTACTGGCACATCCTGCTGCATGGAAGATTTCCACTATTGAAGCTTTGGTCACAGTTCCTCACGGTGAGTTCTTAAATATTTGTATTGTATTTATTTTGGTTGGGTGATTTTTATATAATTTACATAATTTATATAATTTAATTCGTGGTCATTTTGTTACAGGAACAACACAAAAGGTCAATACCACGTGATACTTGGGTCCTCTTGCTAGATTTTTGTCAAACAATTCAGTCTGATTTAAGCAATTATGATGAAGAGGGGGCCTGGCCAGTTTTGATCGATGACTTTGTCGAATGGTGTCGTCCACGCATTTCCTCCTCTAAATCAAGTCAAGAACAAGTCAGTTCGTCTTAATCGTACTTAATAATAATTAAATAAACAACTCGTCAATGTAACAGCGTTGATAGAGGTGTTGGTCAGATCAGATAACATGCATTTAGTTATAGTATATTAACCTGCTACGATTTGTAATATTGTAATCGAGTAAGTGAATTGAGACTCATTTGAATTAAAAAGTAATTCAACTTTCCTTTTATATCAAAATTACTAGTTAATTAAACGAAAGTCATAATAATATTTCATAATCCGACTGACAGAATTTCTCCTTTTCTGGTTACAAATATTACTTCTGCCGTGTAAGTAATTCATTCAAAATGTACACTCTGAAGTTATAAAAAATTACCTCAGCTAAAACAAACTTGTTAAAGCGCTAAACCACACAAGCAGGGCTCGGTTTCAAAGACGCTAATTTTAAAGTCGTTGGGGTACGTAAATATTCAACACGGCACATAAAAAAGTAATACTATTGCGTCCCTGATTATGTAAACCAAGGAAAGTTCACAAGTTTTAATCAGATTTGAATAGTACTGTAACTGTAATACGACATTGCATTTTAATGAAACAAGCTTTTGACTATTTGCAATATTCAGTTTTATCTGCATTTCTATAAACAGTCTTAACAGTCTTATTTAATTTTACCAGTTTAGTAGCGGTAATTGAAGATTAAGTAATTCGTAGTTATTAAGACGTATCCTTATCTGTTTAAACTAAAATATACAGTCGCAATTTATGTTGCGAATAATGTGATGAGTGATCTTATGTAATATTTAACGTATTCTACATAGATAAATAATTCATTTGAGTTTACTAATTATTGTAAATGCAGAATATTTTATTTGTAATAATTAGTAATTAGTCTTTGCGAGAATGACTCTGTGACTTGATTGAATTGTCAGAAACTCTTTGCGTAGCTAAGAAAACTTATTTAAGAACTGCAGTAAAAGCGCAAGTTGAATGCATTTTTACTTCGTATGTGCTAAGCTAGCCAACAACAAAATGTCAACGATTTTACGAATTTTAGGCCGAGAATTTTTTATGAGATATTAATAAGTAATACTTAGTAAACGAACCTGATGATGATAATTATGTAATTCTATGTATGTTCTTATGCTAACAGCAGACGAGGCAGAAAGACAGACAGTTTATAGGTAACGTGTGTAATGATGGACGAAGTAATGAAAAATATTGTTAAGAAAGGAGAAGAAACGCAATAATAAAATAAAATCATGCCATGCAACTTGCAAGTCCATTCCTTGTGAAATTATTTACTTATCATGAGTTTTTGATGAATGTCGATTTTATGTAAATCCCCATCTGCGATTATGAAATGTACTCATGAAAATAATGCATTTTGACAATTTCATCCATACAATTTTAGGTGCATCCATACATATGCAAATTATTTCATGCTAAAAAATTAAATCAAACACGTTTGAATTATTTTTGACAACATTTTAATACTCTCTCCATTAATAGCTAATTACACATAATAAAGTTTTATTTCATAACACGAATATTAATTTTTATGTTGAATTGAAGGCACGTCCATTCTTAGTTCAGAGTGAGGCATAGAGAGAGAGATTTAAATAGATGATAATTTTAACAGTTTTTCATTCTCTTTTACAAAGCATATTTGATCATCAAGAGGAAGGAGTACAGATTTAATTCATTCTTCGTCTCATAAAAAAATCGAAAATTAGCAATAACAAAATTCTAATTGTATTTACTGGCTGGAAAATTTTAAGATTATCTTTACACAAGATAATAATTATAAATATATATAAGTAAATTACTTAAACAATATGGAAATTAATTTATTACAGACGACAAAAAAATGCAGATTCTAAAAAAAAACTATACTATATAAGGGCCATCCATAAATTACATAACGCAAGAGGGGGAAGGGGGGGGGGTCTAAGGCTCCATGTGATATCGTGCCTATGTTGCACATGCCTCAAGGGGGGAGGGAGGGGGGGGTCTAGAAAATCGCGATTTTTGCGTTACGTAATTCAAGGACGGTCCCTAAAATAACAAACAAATTAATAATACCAACACCAATTTTTGTCTATAAATTTACCCATACACCAAAAAATCCCAACCCAAAAAATAATTTACCCCGGTACCAAAATCCCCCGCAATACAAAAATTATTATTGTACAAATTATAAGGAACTATCGAACGAAACGGTATAAAATATGTACAACAAAACGATTAGTTAATGTATAACAATTAACAAGTGAATAATAACAAAACAAAACTAGAAAAGTTTGCTTCAGAAATATAAGAACTGAACTGAAGTAGCCTAAAAATCACAAGTTTTTTTAATTTTTTAATGGGGTCACTAGTCGTAAATACCCGATGATAATATGATAATGGTATGCTGATAATGGTTGTGGTATTGGAGGCAGTTTAGACGGTCAGCTATAAGACAAATAATAATAACCTGCTTATCGATTACCAGAACGAATAAATGTTGAATTAAATAAATAATTAGTAGCAGCGATACATAAGTATGTAATACAGATTTGTCTATAAACGTGGACCTTTCTCACTAAATATATATGAAATCCAAAAAATCTCAACTTTTTCTCCTGTACAAAATTAAATACAATTTCTTCTATTCAACATCATAAATAATGACTCAATAAATTAATTGTCTAAATTAACGAGTTCAATACATGATGAATGTACGTCTCAGATTCAGATATACTCAGAGATAAGTCACGATTAAATGTATCGATATTTAGGAAATTATCACTTGAACGCCAATCAATCAATCTTTTCTCTGATACAAACATATATAGCGCACAATCGTAACGAGCGAGATATTAACGACTAAAATTAACTAATTAACTAGGTAATAGTTGACAAAATAGTAGTACGTAAATAGGGCTTTTCTACATAAATGGTTGAGAGTGGATGGATGGGTGGGTTGGCCGCGTGGGTGTGGTGGGCTTGGAAAATGGTAATAAATAGCACTAGGACTGGTCTCGTTTTTTGGGAAAGTTGAGGCTTAATTTTCGTATTTTTGGCATAGGTATTTTTTTTTAGTTTTTTGTAAAGCCTCACGTGTAGAAAGCAGTTTTCCCTATTTTATCTCATTTTTTCCACTTTTGAGACAAACTGTAAAACGAAACACCAGTGTAATGTTAATCAATCCACGATGAATGATTGATGAGCGACTATAAATAATTAAACTAACTAAATTATGCATGTAGGTACAACAACGTAGTGGAGTTAAATATTCAAGTTGATTGATTTCAAACTGATTGATGAGATTGAACATGTACATAATATGGTACAAAATATAGTAGGGACACGTTGTTATATAAATACTAAATTCAGGGACAGGAGAACGAGAGGAAAATTAATCAACTATCTATAACTAATTCTATCTAACTACATAACTATAATTAACTATTACGTAATAATAATGGTGAATAATTACGTTTTTCTTGGTACATGAATATATATCACACATATTAACTTATCTAATTAACTGATTTCTTGATTATCCATGATGTGATGATGATGTGATTGAAATGATTAGGTAAGTATGATTGATTTAGTAATTAATTAGTCGACGGTGGGAATTGTGCCCTCAATATCTTGGTAAAGATGAGAGATGTTTCTTGCCTTAAAGTTAAACATACATATGGAAGCAGCTTATCGTGTGGACCGTATATGGGTACAATTTCAGGGTTTCTCTTCCTCGTCTCAGGTACGAACAAATGTGGTCACTATTTGCACTGGATGATGGATTGTTGCGGTCTGGACGAGGACGGTGGGGGCCCGTCCCTCTCCCGGCTAATATTTTTCATATCGAGATCGACATCCACCTCGACGGCTTTTCCGCCCGACAGCATCATTCCCGGCGACATGTTTTCATCGTGAGATTCTACATCAATCAGATCTGTATTAAGGAGAGAAAAAGGAAACAGGAAAAAATAAGCGGTTTGTTGTTTGTCGTTTTCACAGCCAAAAAAAAGATAAGATACAACAGCCCTCAGGTTTAGCGTTAGTATTTATCGGATCAAAAAACGTAACGAAAAGTTATGTATTTAGGTAGAAAATCGTCACGGATTGATTCATCTATTTCATAAATTTGATTTGTAACTCACCACCGTTGCTCCCATCGTCAGATTGACCATAATCCTCGTCGAAGTCCATTTGAGAGTTGTCCCCCTCGCCGGAATTTGGGCCGGGAGGGGTGCGTCGGTCCAAGATTAACTCTTCCTCGTTACTTGGTTTGCATGACGTCGTTTTCCAATGAGTCCTCAAACCACTCGCGGAAATGTACTTTTTGCCACAATTGTAGCATTTGTAGGGACGCTCATTGTTGTGGAGGCGTTTGTGCAACTTGAGGTGGACAAATTGTGTAAACCTTGTGGGGCAGAGGTCACACGCTGTTTGGTTTGAGACAAATGAACATTAATTAATGCATTGTTTATATAATGAAGGATGAGAATTCCATGGATTAACTCTTCTTACCGTATGGTTTTTGGCCAGAATGGAGGCGCAGATGCGTCTTGAGGTTGGATGTGGAGGAAAATCTCTTCAAGCAAATTTCACACTCGTGCGCTATATTTGTAGTAAAATTAAATTGTTATATTCAATAGAATAATTAGAATTTGTAAATTCTTATGTAAAACACTTACGCTTTTCGCCCGTGTGGACTAAATGATGCTTTTGGAGGTGGGCAAGTTGGGTAAAGGACTTCGTACAGGTTTTGCACTTGAAGGGACGTTCGCCAGAATGAGTGCGCAAGTGGACCTGAAATTTAAAATCAAGATGCATGGAATTAGGAATTGAGACAATTGTGAGAGAATTTTTCAAAGATAATTTCAAAATTTTTTTTGAAACCCACCTTGAGATTAGACAACTGTCCAAAAGTTTTCATACAAATGTTGCACTCGTAATGCATCTTGCCATCCTTTTTCTTCAGTGGGTATGGAAGACTGCGATACCCTCTCGTCCCCCCAGGACTGCAAGCACCCTCGTAATCCGAATCATGCTCCCTCGAACCATTCGAGTCAGACCCACCCGATCCGAAACCAGACCCACCCATCCCAGGAGGTGAGATTAGTAGGGGAGTGAGTTCCTTGAGAAACGACGAGTTTGTGGGGGGAAGTCCTCCACGACGGTGAATATCGGGATGCGAGAATGGTGGACTGTTCCCACCACTCCCACTGCCACCACTGGACGTGGAGGTGAAGGAATGGTGATGCAATCCGTTGGGTGGGGGACCGTAATGTGGCGATGGAAGTGGGGATGGAATCTCCTGTTTGTTACTCCCACTTCCAAGAGGCGGAGGAGGAGGTGGATGATTCGACGTGTAGATGAATGGGGGCCGAGAATTGTTAAAGTTTTCCATTCTGAGTTGAAATTCTCTTTGGTGTTGGTGATGCTGGTGGTGCAGTTGTTCCTGCGATGGAACGGCGGGTTGACCAGGTGGAGATGACCCGGTTACATGATGGTGGGGGTGACCTGGGTGGTGAGGAGGTGGGTAGAAGAGACCAAAGTGTGGTGGAGGACCATGCAGCGGAGCATGTGGAGGAGGTCCACCATTGTTAAAGTGGTGTTGGAAATGATTTGGTGGTGGTGGGTGAGATGGTGGGTGACCATTGTATGCTTGTTGCGGTCCATGGTGATGCCCATTTGTTGGTGGTGTTGGTGGCGGTGGAATGTTATTGTTATGTCCGGGACGCAGGAGTAGGATGGGTTCATGTTTTGGACTTGTTCTCATCATGAATGCCGCAGTAGGGGGGACAGCAGGGCCCATGTTTTTGCTCTCTGCTGGTGGTGACGATGACCTCCGTTTGTTGGAGGTTGATGCTTGCTGATGATGGTTTGGTGGTGACGGGCTTTTGTGATGTGGCCGTGACGCAGCCTCCTGTTGGAGCGAGTATCGGTGTGACTTTTTGTAAGAGTAGGGATCCTTCAACTCCATGGGGGAGAGTTGGTGCGTTTTTGGTGGCGAGGGTGGCGACTGGGCTTGTCCCGAGTGGAGCAGAGATGCCTCACCCCCGGCGAAGCGACGGAGTAAAATGCTTTCCAAAATACCAATAGCAGCGCCCGGTGGGGGCGACTTGTTCGAGGGGAGACTATTCGGAATATTGGAGGCCGGGACGATGGACGAATTTGTGGTCGTAGAAGTAGTCACCACTTTGATGGTAGTCTCACCATCGTGGGATTCCATCTCTTCCCTACTCCGCTTGGGAGACGTGCCACCGCTCGTGGTCAATTTTGGCGACACGACGGACGACGACGAGGAAGACAAGGTGCTCTTCCCTGAGATGGAACTGCTCCGGTGCAGCTTAAGTCTGGCCAGGTGCCCTGTGTCTCGATGGGGTGGAGATGATGGTGGTGATGCCGGTGGGGATGATTTAATGACAATCTTTTCCACATTTTCTGTGGTCGCTTCACTGCTATTCGCCCTGTACGCCTTTGTCATCTTGATCTTAACTTTGCGAAACTCATTGCTGGCTCCCTTCGTGACGGTGACGGTGTCACTGCAGGCCTCTTCGGCAGAGCTCTTCCTCCCCTCTTTCGCCGCTGGGACAAGGATTTTCGTCACGGTTGTGGCATTGCTGAAATCCAGGATGTAATTGTTGTCCGCATCATCTTCAGAAGATGACGACGAAGAGGAGGAGGATGAGGATGACGAGGAAGAAGATTGTGACGAGGACGAAGACGTCTCGCCCACGCCCGGCGGAGTCATCACGGCAATGTCGTGATATCCTTGGGAATGGTAACCCTCATCAGATCGGACAGACCTCTGACCGACATCACACTCTTTTCCGGAAGGTGGGGAAAGTAACAAGTTTTGGTTGACGGGCAAAGAATCAGAAGATTTATTTCCCGTTTCCGTATCTGTTGTTGTTTGTGGAGGAGGAGGTGGTGGAGGTGACATTTCTCCAGCCACACTTTGGCGTATCTTCATCAGCATCAATTCTCCAGTGAGAGGGTATTGCAACCGCTCGGCAAATTCGCGACAATACCAGACTAACAATTCTTGATTGGGCATGATTGGCTTGACCGTGTAGAAGAAAATTTGCATCTGTATAGTAGTAAAAGAAGCAGAAATGAGGAACAAGTACTTCAAAGGATGCTACTTCCGATCGAGCGGGGAAATTGAGATTGATCATAATAAACTTACGTTGTACTGGCAGGCGATCAGATTTTGCGCATCCGATGAGTAGGCCGGATTTACATATCTCATCCAATTTGCTTTTGAAATGTCGAAGCCATCAACGTAATAACTCAGCTCACCATCCTTGTAAATCTGCGAGAAAATAAGAGAGCTAATTTTATTACCACTTTCACTCACATACGCCTATTCAAATTACCCGAGAAATGCAAAAACCATGTGTGTAAGTACAAATTATGACGTACTATTCATGAATCTCTACCCCACAAAATCAATCTGATTCAGGTTACGCAATATGTAATATTTTACATAATAATTTACGTAATGAAATCGAAATTACAATCAAGGTCAAAATTAGCTCAGATTACGTAAACTTCCACCTGCCGTTGTATGTAATAACTTTACTGTGAAATGATTACAATCCTAATGCAGATTTTACCTTGGGAAGAAAGGAGGAAGCAAAACCGAACAACCAACACAATAATAACTACAGCTATCCAAACACCAGCTAATAACACGTACATAACTAACTATTCAGTTTGGGCGTATAATACGCCGCGTATTAGTATTAGTACCAAGCAGGCAGTTATTATAGTGCAGGCAGTTATTACAGTTTAGCTAATGCTACTTCGGAATGGAACATTAAAACATGAAATAATAAATAAACTCTTCTAACTACGCAAACTATTTAAAGTGTACGGTCGGAGGAGAATATAGATCAAATTGAATTCATAACAATAATCGTCTCAACATGCATAACAGGAGAGCAGTTCGTCTGCTATATGCACATAAATACCACTGGGTACGAGTTACTACCTACAAAAACTAAGTAGTTAGTGACGCTATGATATGATGCGAACTTGAAACGGGAAGAGGTGCGCTTATTACTAAAATTGACTCACAAAGTTATTCGCAATGCATAACGTATATTCTCCCAAATTCTAAAAGTAAGTCTACTACTTTTCCTCCTCGTGCGGATGACGGAGATTCAGATTTCATGTTGTTATGATGAGAAGAAGACGTACTTAAATATGCCGGAGTGTGTCGCAAGAATAACGCTCACTCCACGCGCTTTTAATCCCTATTATCGCATTCATAAGTAATCTGTGTACATATGTATGTAACCGATTTGTTTGTCTCCACTCTTAATGATGCGGAAGGTCTCTCTCATCCAGCATAAGTTTAATGAATTTGTAATTGGGCAAGATCGGAGATCGGCATGGACTCTGTTGCATGCTTGTAATGTAATCTCACACTCTAACTGTCCGTCGCCAATTTAATGTGTTCGTGCTACTACAAGTTTCGCATTTTATTTATGCATACGACGAGACCATTGATGATGATGATCTTCTTCTTCTTCATCCTTGAGCTTGGTTTGGCTGTGATCATGATTCATTTAAATTTTGTGCTGGATTGAATTCATGCCACACTTTTATTAAGCGTATGATGATCGTCATCTCCGTGACATTTCACCTTCGTCCGTCGTCGTATAATAATAATCTTACAGCTAACAAGCTATACATACACAGTTTCATTCATGGAACTAAATTCTTCGCTTGGAATTTCAAATTCGTTTTCCTTTTCGTATTCAATGTCACGTAGTTATCTATCCATCCCCATCTCGTGAGTATAGGTATATATGAAATGGGATGGAATGCAAAACAGTGTGGATAAATACATACACGCGTCTGCATGGAATGAAATGAAATCATCGTCTTAACCTTAAAAAGTCAGACAACAACTGTGCATGCATTTTTTTAATAGGGAGAAAAGAATTGGATCAAAATCAATGTCACACACATAACGACACGTCTGGCTCATTTTTGATAGGACAGGGATAACATCAACACTATTGCGAGTACGTATTATGCATCTGATGTATTCCTCTAAAAGTTTGAACTGCATCCTTGCACAGCATTTCTTTATTATTTCCTCGACTCTTGGCACGGATACCAGAAATAACAAACCTCGTCAGCAAACGGATCTGCATGCGAAAAATGGAGAAGAACTACGCAGAGAGAGAGTGAGATAACGTGGAATATAAAGATGTCAATTGTGGTGCCGTGTCCTCGATTTTTTTAGCTCCCCCCACGGTATGCGAGATCGTGTAATGTGTCGTCGTCTCTCTGTTGGGGTGGCATCACAGTAAAATGCTCTATTTCCATCGGTAATGAACCCTGCATCATTACACAAACAGATCCATACAAATAGCGTCACTCGCACCATGTGATACTTACTGGAGAGAAAATAAATAGGATATCATGACGATGATCATTGATCATGACATGAAATCCTTAACAACAAATGCGGCGGCTCTGCTAATAGTAGCCTATTCAATTTACGAGTTCAGTGCCAATGCCAAAAAACTCATGCCATGTTTTCCCCCTCCTCCACAGCTATAAATATTATTTGCCAAACTTTATATTAATGTTGCGAACCATTTCACTTTCAACAACTCCCCCATCATCATCATCCTGCACGAGTGGAGTGGATTGCAAATAATGGCGAATATAATGTAATGGTGGGGTTAAGTAAGTATGGGGTTTTTGCAATTTTAGTACGAGTCAACTACTGGAGGATTGGATTTACAGTGTGAATTTTCAATTTCAATCCGTCCATACCTCTTCAAAGTAAATAGTTATCCATACCCAGAAAAATCTATTGTTTGGCAGTACACGAAAAGCTGCAGTGATGCGAATGATATTAATGGGATGGATTTTACTTCTGCGATCGGTGTTGATGATGCAACTTGATTTTTTTTCCATGAATTTAAATTGCTTTACTTTCGCTTATTTTCTTTCCCTTTTCCTCAACCAGGTTCATTTTCATGACGCTAATAATTCTGTTTTCTAACGTGTCGTGAAGTCAGCCAGAGTATTTACTGGAGAGAAATGAACCATGAATTTATTTATATAATGAAACGAAACAGACAGCAGAACACGAAGAATGAAATGGGACTCGACGATGATGAAGTGAAGCTCAAGGTTACATATTTAGCTGCTCTATTTTGCCAGCCACCAGGAATTATTCCTAGATACGATACAATAATACGGACATGATGCATAATAAATAGTATTCTACATAATCCATTTCAGGAGAGGAGAAATTGTTAGGTAATAACAATTATAATTGTACATAGCAGCGTAACTCTTAATACGGGAGGCACGCAAAAATAAATAAGCAGGAAAAAGCGATTATGGTTTCAGGATTATGAATTAGATTTCGTGTGCGTGTCTGGAGGATCCAGTTCTGTCCTGACTCATAGTTTAAACACTTTTGGTTTTATGAGAGCAATTTTATAACTAAATTTTTAGAAAATTAAGTGTACTTACCCGCCAAAAATATTTCCGACAAGCATTTTCAGGAACTCGATCTGGTGGGAAGGTATTTCCAGCGAAAGGTCCGAACCGGGTGCCAACTGGAATATAGCCGTTACTCCACACGCCGAGACCCTGTCGTAAAGAATGAATGTTCACGATACGGTCACAAACAACAGTGGAAAAATAGTGACGATTATTTTGGTGACACTGATGACGGACATGACACTGACACTGGGCAAGGTTATAATATTATTATTATAGCACAGTGTTTAGCATTACAAAAAAAAGAGAGCAAATCCACTAATGACACCTCACCAAACCAACCAAAATGACACTACAACAACAATCCTCGTGTAATGATAAGGTACAACTTTAGGTTGGAAATGAGACTAAAATCAAATCCAACCTGCTTCTGTCTGCGTGTTGGCTAGAGTGACTGGAATAGAATTGCACACTTTTACTTGTTGTTTGTTGGCCGGTCGGTATCGGTGGTTTGGTTGGTGGCGAATGGCATGTGTGGTGAAGAGTACGTAAAATAATAAAATTGATCTCATACACGAGGAGGTATTTAAGTAGCGGATCATAATAGTCCGTGTACATATATCTGCTAGTTGAGGTGGCTGGGAGTAAAAGTGTTGCAAAATTCACTACTACTTTACTATACGTACGTACACACGCCACGCCACGCAAAATCTGGACGAATGCGAAGAAAGTAATCTTCTCCCTCGAGTGTCATAAAAATGGGATCCATAACTATAAATATGTTAATCAGGAGGAGACTCCTCGTATAACATATTGCGTATTGAATTTGAATGGATCCAGTTACTACTTACAACTTGACGCTGAATGATATCTTTTTTCTGAGACGATTATCATGTACCTCACTCAACCCGACACGATATGCTCGTGTCACTCAAAATAGCGAGATTATTATTTATATACGCGACACCACCACTACTACGATCCGATTAGAATATGTACGTACAACTAGTAGACAAACAAATGCTTGATTAAGGAATCGACTCGACCTTATCCTTCCTTGAGATTTGTGATTTACTTAAAACTAAACTTAGCAAGATAATCTGTAAGTACACGTTCCAAATTCCAGACAGCAATAAATATGAAATTTTATTATAAATATGATGCGCGTGCACTGATCGGATGATTTCTGGTTGATAAAAATATTATACGTAACGTCATTATTGTTAGAATTGACTTACATCATTAATGACGCCGGATGGCTTCAGAATTAGATTTCTCGGGAGGGAAGCTTCCGCTTTGTTGGGCGCATCCTCGGGAACGCCGGAGAAATCGTGGGCAAAAAACACGGTGAGTTTTTCATAGTCTTCCTCCTTCAACTTGGAGTTGTCGTAGGACCCGTCCTCGTTCAGGTGGGAGGACGACAAGGCTTCTGGTAGTTGTTCTCGTGGCGCTTGTTGTGGTTCTGGGGGAGGAGGAGTTGGGGATGATCGCTTCACGACGTCGTCACCATGCGCGGGGATGAGAAGGGTGGACGAGGACAAGGACCGGGTCGGTGGGGAGACGTTGTTGTTCGAATTGGCGGGGTTGAGACCACCCCCACCGGAAGAGGAGGACCGATGGTGTCGATGGTGATGGTGGTGGTGATGTCCGCCTAAAGTCCGGTCGGGTTGGTTGGTGTGATGGTGGTGGTGGCGATGACCGTGACCACCCGTGGCGGAAGAGGGCGACGTGAAACTCTGAGTCTCCGTGACTTCTCCCATTTCAGTTAATTCGAAAGGCGAGATGATGATGATGAATTTTTTTTGTTTTCTGAAATTTTTTAGGAAAATTATGTTATAGTAAAAGTTCAAAAATCGTACGCATGTACATATGTAAAAAGCCGGTAGTAAATAAAATTATTTGTGGTTTTGTACTTATTAATTGCATAATAAAGCAAAAACCCATTATGATTTTAGCATTCTTATAATTTTCTATTGTTTTCTGTACACATATTTAAATGACATGCGTAAAATAAAGTAACTTTGTAAGTATGAAGAGAATAAATAATAGGAGGTCATAAGGTCATTTCCGTGTGCAACAACAATCAGAAAAGAAATGAATTATTCCTCCAGATGGACTTTTACTTACTCTTCATTTCAATAATTTGACTCATAAAATAAAATAACATGAAAAAGTGAGTAAGAGAGAAAGTAAGAGGAGAGAAAGTCAAACCTTAATGCAGGCAGGCAGATCCACTTGACAGTTTTTTTGCTTCTAGAACTCTAATGTTCCCAGGAGGGAGAATGACATAACTTCCGGTCCAGGACTGGGTATGTACGTGGTACGTCTAATTCAGTCTTCTTGATATGGATGAAGAAATCGGTGTGGACCGGATTGGACAGGACACTGCAAGAAAATGAGAGGACAGCCTTGTTTTAATTTTTAACTAGTACTCAAAGTAAATTTAAACAATTTGGTCATCGAATGCGGAAGATTTTTTACGGGTTTAATTGTGTCACCACCACCACCACCATTCAGTTAGTTAATTGTGCATGGTGTGTGTGAACTAATGAAACAAGTTATTAATAGAAAATGAAACAATTAACGCTAAATAACAATGGGTTATTAATATTATTTGATTAATGATTTCTGCCCATCTTATTTTTGACCACACACACCTCGACAGATCCTGAGATCGAGTCCCAACACCCAATTTTCGGGGGGACTGACTTTTATTCCGTGATTTAGAGTCTAAATCACTAATCCGACTAACCAACGACCTTGTGCAGCGTGGGAGGATAAATTAAAGTATAAACAGGAACGTGGCGATGGAATAATAACAATTCGAACGTTTTGTTTATAGTTGACGTTCAATTCTAAAAAGTGAAGAACAATAGAATTGAATCCAAACTCGTATCGGCTTCCGGATCAAGTTTTCTATAATAATTCTTGGAATTTCGTTCGAATAAGAATAGCTTTGTGGGTTAATGGTATTTGGTCGAAGGAGAAAAGAAAAGAGTGCCATGTTAAATCAGCGAGGAAAAGCGATAGCCATGTGTACATATGTAGATTTACTTCCTTTGATCCGGATAACAAGACTCGCATGATTATGCAGCCTGGCATTTTGTAACGTGATCCAAACTAAATAAATAATGTTGTGCAACCACTTTCTTGATATCCTCCCTTTGTCTGGCGGGTGGATTAAGCAGGCTGACTTTGACCTGGAAATGTCAATATTGAAATGAAATAAAATACGCCCTAGAGAGAGAAAGTAGACGGAGGAGAAGAAAGCAGCCCCACCAATCAACCCAACCATTCGTCATGAAATGATGGGTAGAACACAATCAAAAGGCAATAATGTTACGACCCCGCCCCCCCACCCACGGGGGGTCATGAGATGAGAAGTGGTACTAACTAACGTATGTAACAACATATGTAAATTCATACGTATGTAATTGGACAGCTCCAATTTTAATCAGCTCCCTGTTCTTTTCGTTACCTCGTCATCATCAAAGGTATTAACGGTAGGATTTCAAAATTACATGTTTTGCACAACCCGACCATCATTATTATCTCCACTTGATCCCATCCACTCGGTCCACTCCAGCCAGATGAAAACCCTTGTTGAGATCCGTTGCATGGAAAAGTTTACTAAACCAAATGCCCAAATAACCATAAGCCTTACTCAAAATACGTACGTAAATCATAAGTATTTAAGGTAAGGTCAAGGCCACGTTGTGGCGAGGTCACCCGGCCAGCAAGTCTAACATTGATCTTAAGACGTATGTATGCGTACCTCCTAACTATTTAAGAGTATCTATGAATTAAATATAGTGGTCGCCCTGGTAGGTTGGTACATAGGCATGTATGAAAGCATTAATTTTTATACGAGTATGTACGTATCGATCGACATCATAATTATTGTATCACTAACTATTATGAATGGAGAAAATAATTTCTGGAGTAAGAATTTGCATATTCACTCTGCCTGGAACTTGGACGAAACAAAGGCTCAATTGATCATCACCACCGTATTCATGGTAAATATTGGATAAGTCCTCGTGATTAAAGAACTGAACCCATATTTACATTTATAAACAAGGAAGTCTTTATCAAGTACAGTGTCGCTTTTATGGCGATATTTTGCAATACATTTTAAGAGGGTGTGTTAATAACAAGGCTTGTCAAAATTTCATGAATTTAATAAATAAGTAACCTCCAAAATAAGTAATGCATGCATTGAATCCTTCTGAAGACATGGATAATTATGATTAAATTGTGAAATGAAATAAAAATGGGCAGATCCCACAAAAACTGAAAGGTAAGTATCTCATCTTCATAATAGGGACGCCCTCTCCATGCACTAATTCGGCTAATGCTGCCTGGCGTATGTATCCGTATACCGTCTACACACTCCTGACCTCGTCGTCACCACCGGCGTCACACGAAAGAAAACCATGAATACGAAATGCTATCCTTGACTCTCTCTCTCTCTCAAAGAAAATGCCACCATAAAAAAAGTGTGAGTTAAAACGGGCTAAAAATAAAGGACGCTTAGAAGCGGAGTAGGAGCCCCATCAGAACGTTAATGTCATCTCGTGCATGCTTTATAATATTGCTGCCCTGTCCCACTATGTTGTACAGACGAAGGTTTTTCTTCTCATGTATGCAAATTCCGTCCGTGGACGTGGACATGATGGGACAAGAGCCAGCAAGAGAAAGTAGTTTTACTTTGGGGATAAAAATCGCTCATTTTTTGGCCCAAGTTCAAGGCCGTGTTTGCATGTGTCTACATATGCAAAACCAGGAGAGAGAAACCGCAATGTGTCATGTGTTGTGTTTTTCTCTCTTTCTCATGTTGTAAAGTTTTCGAAAGAAAATAAACATATAAATTATGAAATGATTTTTTCAGCGGGGGTGGTTGAGACTGGGAATATTTATGGTTTCATAGAAGTTACATACATATGCAAATCAAAATGCATGCACCGACTGAAGGCCAAGTTCCAATGTGTCTGGCAATTTTTTTTAGAAAAGTATTGCCAAGCTCATTTTTTAGAAGAGGAAACATATCTCAAAATAAATTTACTTACCGATATCACTCACAGCTAAGTAGATAAGTACGTATATTTTTTCAAGGCAAGAATTTCATGACATCCACCAGGCTAATTTTTCCCCAAATCGTTCAGGTACATGGACCACTTAATAGTTTATATTTTGTTAGGAATGAAAATATTTCGCAAATATATCAGTCCAAACCAGGCACTCAAGAGTAGTTACTTAGGATCACATTCAGTCTAAACAATCCTCACTAATTATACGTAGCACCAATATAGAAATATAAATAGCACCGATTTATCTATTTCTGCATCTATTTAATTCTCAGTCTCAAATTTCTCCATTTAATTCAGATCAAGTTCCACAAAGTCAAGTTTTAGTTACGCAAAGTAAAATAAAGTAAAATAAATCTCTCCCAGAACGAATGAATGAATGGATGAGACGGGTCACCGACTGTTGGTAGAAATTTGTCAAAACTCAACTAATTAAGTATTCTTATTCCCCAACGAAGCAGCAGCCAGGCCACCCACACAATCACGACTCAGAGGAGAACAACTCCTCCACGGACAAACTTCCTTCCTCCCAGAGAGAGAGAGAAAGTGGTGGTAAAAGTGTGAGGATGAGTTCCACCAAGTTGGAAGAAAGTGGAGGTGGAGGAGGACGACGACGACGGAAATGATGGTGTGGGAAGAAGAAAGCGGGCTCCCCCTCGTATTTACTTAGTTTTATTACGTGAATCTACTGCTTACTTACTGCACTACGGAGGCAAAGAAGAAGAAGAGGACCGTGTTTTAGCGTTCTGACCCGTCACACCACTCCGGACACACTGACTCACTCACTTACTTTCTCTCTCGGGTAGTAGACCAGAGCAGGATGAAACCCTGAAATTTCCTTCACTATGACATTGACACATGCTCACGGAACGGCATGAAATTGTGGAATGAATTCAACGTGGATCCGGTTGGGTCTGGTCTGGTCACTACTTCTCACATACGACGATACACTACTCGAACACAAGGTAAAAGACAGAATGGGTAAAAAACGATGCGTACGCTGCCCTTTTATACGTGCCTTTGCAGGGCTTAATTTAGAAATTGGATGTACTGGACAAGCCATAATGCATACACGTTGGGTTGCTGAGTGGTGCGAGATAAGGGGCAAAGGTCCTGTCCAGAGGGTACTTGACCAGGATGGAATGCGCACTTTTTTCTCCATTCCAACTTTTTTAATCCCTTCTTTACAATTTGGCTTTTCCAAGAAACCAAACTAACGAAAGAAATTTTCTAAATTAGGCGACAGCATTAGCATTATTTGGGTCTAAGAATTTACGAAAATCGACCACGCCGACCCGTGCATGTATTGACTGGTTGTTGATTTGCTAGGTCGGTCGGGTCGTTGCCCATGCATGAATACTAATTTGAATTAAGGAGTCTCTCTCCTTTCTCATATGTACCTGCATACCACACAAGTTATCAACTATATTTTTCCCCTTCCCATGCATGCATGCACGCTGACCGATTGATGGACGCCAAACGAGGATCAATGAAACCACGTCACACGGAAGTCTTGTGTAAGGACAAAACAAGAAAAATAAGGCGTACCGTCGTCACAAAACGCACACGGGGAGAAAAAATCGATCCGCTTATTTTTCTGCACTTGTCTCAAATTACATAAAAAAAACTCTATCCCCCTCCACAAAAATGCGGACAGGTTTAATAAATAAGTAACAAAGTGGATCGTGTCGTGTCATTTCATTTCATTTCATTTCATGGTGTGGTCACTTTTACACTTTTACCCACTCGACATATGACGACGGCCTGGCAAATTAAACGTGTTTATAAATTTATTATGCCAGTCAGTCGGCGGAACTTACTTTCACTCCCAAATCCTTAACTAAATTGGTAGCGTCATAACTCTCGTAATTTGATGGGATGCATAATACCCGCCAATTATTGGATAACGTGAAAGGTCACACTTTGAAGTGTGACCATTATCAAAATAATGATAATACATACATAATAATGACGGATGATCAGTAAATAAATGTGTGAATGTAGTACATACAAGCAAGCTCATTAAAATTGGATCTAGCACTATTCAGAGGGAGAGACAGACATCTCAAGGTTGCCTATTTTTTATGCATTCGTCCCCCTCGCCGTCTGTTTACATGGGACGATATTTACTTTACTTTCCTTCTTTACTTTCACTCACTCACTCCAACTCGGTCCGCACACAATTCCGCCTGTCTCGTCGTCGTGTTCCCATTCATGTATGTAAAACATTGGCTCTTTCTCTTTTTTAGCAGTGAGTGTAGGAAAAGAAAGTGAATTGAATTGTAGTTTTGCATATGAAGCAGCCAACGTATGTAGGACACGCGAGAAGAATACCAACGCAAATAATACGTACATATCGTGATGCTCTATTATTGCTTATTATTACATGTGGATGAGCGAGTTGGTGAGTGGGTGGGTGGATTGGATATGGTTGAGAGAGTAGAATACCCGGGTATTATGTATGTACGTGCGGGTGAAAACTATGGTATTCTACTACCCGGGAGACTAAAGGAAGGAAGGAAGGACACTATGTAGTTTTTAACGGATTGATGGAAATGAGACCCTCCTTGATGGATGGCATCCATTTGAATGAACTGAAGGGCGAGTCCTGGCACTGACCTATATTCCAATACCGGCGATCAGGTTGCATTAGCCACAAATTATTTCGTGTCAATCCTTGAGGATCGCGACATCGGGATAAACACAGATAAATAAAATCAGACTTGGTGGTTGGTGGATGGATCCGATCTGAATGGCGATCTAGCCAGACAGCAAATTTGATTGGTTGGTAGTGACAGATTTTTTTTCCACCAAACCCACAACTAAATCTGTGAGACCACAAACGAACGATAACCAAAGTGAGATTTTGTACGTGAAAGTTTAAAAGTTTGAACTTTCACCTTCCTACATTTCCCAATGTTATGGCGTGTTTTTTGAGATGAAAACTCTCCCAAATGAGAGCAAACTACATAACAGAAACCAAACCACAGACCATGGAACACTTGTTCTACTCTTTTCGCCTGGAAGAGACAGGTCAGGGCTGAAAAGTTGAGTAGGAAGGAGACCAAAACCTTTGCAAACTAAATCAAAAACTAATCCGAGATCGACAACTATTTCGAAAACTGAGGAGATCAAACCAGGAAGGGAAATGGGGACACATTCATGTTTTTTGAAAAAGTATATTAACTATAAATACACACATGCAAACGATCAGATTCCCAATAATTGGATTATTTACCACTCATTTAGTGCCCACACTAATTAGTGATGGGTCATTTTGATACATAGTCTAGTCTGCCATAATTATGGCAAAAAACTGGAGGGAGTGGTCCCCCTTTTTAGCGGATGACGATGATCGACCATGAAAGAGAAAGACCTCAATTTTCCCCGTCCATAACAACAACAACTAGCCCAATATGCTCCAGGACTAACTAACTTTAACCTCGTATCTCAAAGTCTCAAGGACGACAGAGTGAACCGAATAACAACAAGAGCCTACCCGATGCCTAACCCTGACTGGATAATAAATGTTATGCCTTATTGCTTGCTCCGTATAAATGAGAATGAAACATGGACACGAATATGTTCCACCGTACCCACTTACTTTCACCCACTCGTGCTGTGCATACATACGTATCGAGTGAGTGACTATCCACTTTTATTTTCGCAATCGTTACGAAAATTGCGAATAATCATGACCACGATGATACGGAGAATTGACGAAATTGTACACCTCCTAAAGTTGCAAAAGCACATTTGGAGCAGAGGAGGAGAAAGTAATAATTGACAAAGTAACTAAACAAACAAACATCAATTTACTTTTACTCTTCTTCTTCTCCGGCCTGGCAATAATGTAGCGTAACGTATCATCATCATCTCGTCATCCTGCTCGTCTCTCTCTAATTACTTTTCGAGATGGATAAATGTATTCCACGAAATCATATATGTATCTACTTGCCCAGGCCACCTGTGGGTTTTGCCTGGTTCTAGGCGTTTTCCAGAGACAAATATTGCACAAAATGTGAACATGGCACAATTAATTCGCACTTTTTCGCCACGCGTAGGTAAAAATCGGGGGAAAAAAATGGGCTAAAATTACAGATTTTTGTCCTTGTTATTTATCCTCAGAGGAAATCAAATCTTTCTTCTTTTCTCTTCCTGTAAGCACTTTTAGAAAGAAGGTGGGAAATCGTGCCCGCCATAAAATAATAATCTGTCCATTTTTAGAAAATTGTGATGGACAGGCGGACGAGGGGAAAAAAGTTAATTAGATTTTCACCCTGGGAGATGGTGGCATGGCGGAAAGTAGAGTGTAGTGTTAGTTATTATACGGCTTTCTAATTTCGTTTTCCTTGCGTAACGTAATAACAACAAGGAAGAAGACCAAGTTTAATACTTCTTTATTATTTATTACGAGAGACTTGATCCACTTCTGGATGGAGAAATTGGGCAGGCGGAAAACTAAAGAATAACAAAGCGACAACAACCTTGACTCATTTCTTGCCATGTATAATTTTACCTTGAAAGTAAATTCTCCTTTCACTCGTTTCTCTTCCTTCCTCTTCCTCCTACTTAATTCATACGTAGTTGCGAAGGTCTCGCCTCGGAGTACCACCACACCACCACCACGGGCAGTAGATAGAAAGTAGATACGTGGTGGTTGGTGGTGGTGGACGAGTAGGAAGTAGACGCTGAAGGACGCAAATTGGAAAAGCGGAAGAAGAATGGAGAAAGCTAAGCCACGTTGGTTGGATTGGATTGAAGGTAAAAGTTGATTCGATAGCGGAAGGCGTATGAAAATATGGATGAATAGAGTTTCGAAGGTGTTGGGCTGCTAATACTTATCTTATTTGCATATCATATACAGTGAAACGCTTTCATACCGCATGCATCCCACATCCGGTAAAAGCTTCCATTGTAAAAAATTCAGGTAAAAATCTATGTGGCACAAATACATAACTACATATGAGCAAATATCTAAGTATGTATCCGAGGTGAAAGAAAGAGTGCAAATTTTATGCCTTGTACATGCATCTACACTTTACCATCGGCTTTTTTTCCGGCCGACCCTGGAATTTATATTCGCCTTTCTTCATGTTAATAGTATTCGCAACACATTCATAAAGCGAACATGATAACCATCTCAGGTTCATTTTTGTCCTAGAGCCAGAACCAGGAGGAGAAAAAGAAACTCGAAAAGAAAGAAGGACCCCAGAATAGATTTCATAAAACTTGCACACGTAACGGCATGGATGGATTTGGCAGTAGGTGAGGAGGAGGAATATGTAAGAAATGGTGAAAATGCATGCATCGCAACTAATATGCAAATGTATGTATGCAATAGTGATGAAGGAAAGTTGTTGTGTTGTGTGTGGCGTCGTCGTCGCCGTCGTCGTCATTGAAAGCAATCCGAGTTTTGATCAACATGCAATTTTCACATCTAAATTTATCCCCGAGATGATGAGTGTGCCGTGCATAATGGGTTTCTCTGCTTGGTGGAGGAGGCACACAGTTACAAAAATAATATTTCTTCTTCCCTCCTCAAATATGACGACAAGGAGTGCATAATGAAAATGTTAGCGACGACGAGCTGGCAGTTAATGTGTAGATATTTTACGTAAAGGTGTGCACCTAAAGAAGAAGATTGATCATTCCGATGCCAATTTTGATAAAATGTCACGTCCCTTCGGAGAAGGGCACTTAACAAAATAAAGAAATAAAATGATTTAACTACTTTACTCGTGAGGAGACTGGAGTAATTTAATTAATTAAATAATCACGAAATTGGATGCATACTTAACGTACAAAGTATGTATGTAAGTGCATTTGCTAGTAAAAAGTGTAAATGTGTAGTAGTAAAAAGTGCATATATTTACATTTCATGCAGAAATTAGGCCCATAGCTATACACATAATTGCATTCCTCTGCTGCTATTTATCTAATCTCACCGTGACCATCACCACCACCCGTCAATTT